TTGGCCCCGCCCCATGCCGATTTAAGCCAATCCAATGCTTTCCCAATGGGATTGGCTAAAAATCTGCCATTTTGATTGTCACAAAGGGGGCGGAGCCAGCGCCGGCAACCCATGCGGGCGCTGGAAATAAGGTGAGTTTTATACTTTTATAGCGGGACTAAGGGGGAGCAAGCCACCTAAATGGTGGGTTTAGCACTACAGGAATATATGTTTGTGTTCCTGACCCTATAGTGATCCTGTAAGACATTTTAGTTCTAAAGATTTGCTTTTCTACCCTCTGATGTTCAAAGCAGTCGTAAAGATTGACAGCTTGTGCAAAAAAGGGCCATAAATATATACTAAATACAAAATAATAGTTAGGCAATCTCTAAACCAGTATTACCATAATCCTTTTAACTAACACTAAAGTGTGAACTGTTGAGAATTCAAAGAATTCAAAGAATTCAAAGTAAGTTTCAATTTTTAGCCCATAAAAGCCGAAATGGAAATAATCATTTTGCCTAAAAGTTGCAATGTACACATCTACAATAAAATTCCTGATAGTTCCTGACACTTTGGTAAAAAAATAAATAAAAAAAACCCTGAAAGGTCTACTTTAAAGTTCTTTGATTTTTCCTATGGTGGGAGGGAAGCTTCTGTCAAAACAACTTGAAACTGGGAGATCTAAGTTGAAAAAAAGATTTTTTAACAAAACTCAGCAAAAATTCCACCAAGATGACATCAGTATGTAGATAACCCCAGGTTATACATTTTTATCATAGGCATGTACTTTATTGAATTCAGTTTTCTGTAGGGTATTTTAAGGGGAGGGAGGGGGGAATAGCTCAGTTATAAATATATTTAATACATCTTAAGTGGAAATCTGATTTTGTTGGTAATGTACATCATTTGTAGACAGCTTGGTAAGGGAGGGGATTATCCCCAAAATAAAAACTTGACAGCTGATAAAAAAAAAAAAAATGAGACATAATGACGAATGTACAGCATTATCACAAATTAAAGAGAAGTATGGAATGATTCAAGGCAGTAATCATTAAATAACTTTTAAAAGCATGTATATCTATCTTTATCTATAATAACAATAAGAATTGATTTACCTAGAAGGGTATATAAAGTTTTTACAGATTTTTAGGTATACACAGTGGTATTGTAACACAGCTAAAATTGTACTTATTTTATTGAAATGTGCAAATTCCAATAACTCCAGGTGTCTGAGCATACTACACCAGTGGCAAAAAGATGTGAATCTGGGTAATTATACATTTAGCTTCCAAATCTGTTTTGTCCCTTCGGTGTGTCCACAACATAAAGTCTGCATCAGTTGGATAAATATTACTCTATACTTGCTAGTTTAATTAGTGCAATGCATTCTGTCCCATCACTTTCGATTCAATGACGACACATCAACAGTGGGAATTAGAAGCTTAAGAAATATTGATGTGGAAATTATTGCATATGTAAAACAACCCCCTTTTAATTAGCTCGAGAAGTGGCAACCATAGGTGCTATCCAATAGGTGATCTTGAAAAATTCTCCAACTCAGCTAAAGTCAACTATTTTAATTGGACTGGTATATGGCAGAGAATTGAGCAGTGAGACTGCAGGAGCATGATGTATACTAAAAACTGCTTCATTAAGCTAGAGTTGTTTTGGTGTTGATATTGTTCCTTTAATATACTGGCTTTATGTTAATCTCCAAATCATACATCAGTATGTAATCAGGAGACACACTTTTTAAAATTAAGAGCTAGGCAAATTCAGCATTCATACATCTTAATTCAATGTAACTCAATTAAATCCTAGTTAATTTCAAGGAGATTTCAACTCATAAACTAAACTTTAGGGCAAAGTGCCAGCCTGAACATATTAGAAAGTGTACTTCAGTATAATTTATTTTAATTAGAACACACTCATAGCATCACCAATCAAGCGGAGCCACACAATCATCAAAATATTTTTTTCTGTTGTCATATGGTATTTATTATGACCTTTATAATTCTTGCCAACTATAATGGTATTGGGCAAAGAGATCAGGTCTCAGGCCATAAAATTCAATGATTGTTATCAGCCAAGATAAGGGCATTTTTTGTGAGCAATGTGAGAATGACATCACTTGTAATTTCTGAATCAGGAGCACAATAGCTAGTTTGATCTTTATAAGGATAACTGTGTAAATGGGTTTGAATATTTAATACTGTAGAGATTTATTCAAGTGTGATTTGCATGGAATTCAAAGTGATCTTAAAATTTCAGACGAAAATAATCAAACCAAACACATAGCTGTCTTGAGGACCTGAAATTTAAAATTCACTTTACGGTCCAGACAATACACACTTTGGGAGGAGAGTGATCATGGCTTGCATTTTGTATAATAAAAAAGACTATATAAGCATCAATGGGAAATGCAAGCCACGATCCCAAGATGAGTACGTTCTGCCCTAGTCTGAGAGTGTTGTGCAACTAAAGCAAGCTTAAAGGGGCACTTTAATGTCAGGAACACAAACGTATGTATTCCTGACACTATAGTTCTAAAACCATTGTTTAGGTTGTCAGCCCCATTACCTAGGGTTAGAAAGTTGACTTACTCAACTTTTTCCAGCTCTGCGTGGGGCTCCTCGTGTCTTGCCCCGCCCCAACCCACCTTCTTGCTTGACATCATCAGAATTTGATGATCTCAGCCAATCCAATGCTTTCCAACAGATTGTCAATTCTAATGATCTCAGACAAGAAGGTGGGACTCCGGCAGAGACAAACACTATGCTGTCCAATCAGCTTCACCCCATAGAGCGTAGAGACGCTGAACATCAGTGCTGACCCAAGAAGTACTTCTAGGGGCCATCTGAGTGGCTGCCACTGGATGTGTCTCTAGGCAGCAATGTAAACACTGCCTTTTCTTTGAAAAAAAACAGTGTTTACATTAAAAAGCCTGCAGGGACTGACCACACTCACCAGAACAACTAAATTAAGCTGTAGTTGTTCTGGTGACAATAGTGTCCCTTTTAGATAGAGGTCTTTTTTTTGCTTGTTCCTATTCATCCTCCCTATTTGAAGACTGAAGGAACCCAAATCAGTAAAAAGTTGTTTATATGCAAAAAAATAAATCCAAACACCCTTAAGAAATACTTATTTGTTACGAATCTTAACTAAGAAAAGTGGGTCAATCACCATGGAAACCAGTGGAACAAGCTGACCTATTGCATTGGTGCCTCCTCTCGTTTTATATTTTTGCAACATTTCTTAGAGTTGAAGACTTTGATAAATTTCTCCCTTTGTTTCTAACAAAAGGTAGAAACCATAGTGAGTTTATTCTATGATTTGTGGTAAATGAAGGACCGTATTGCAAAATATAGGCCAAAATAGACATGGGGATATTTTGGCATATATGTATTCATTTATCAATTCACTATTTAGTGAAAAAACAAATCTTACCAGTGTGCGCCAGACATCGTGATAGGTATATGTCTGCTAGTCTAACGTCTGGAAAATAAATGTCTGCTACCTCCTTTATAAAGCTTCAGTTTTGGTAACCTCAGTCAGAGTTTATTTTTAGGAATGGTTTGTGCTAAACGATGTGTGTGCATATGTAAGAAATGAGGATTAAAATGCTATATTTCTAGCTCATTTAAAGGAATGCACACCATCGTTTCTGCCATAATGGCTTTTTTTTTTTTTCTGAGAAAGAAATGAAAATAATTTTACCCAATGAAAGTACTTTGATGTCCATGAGTATGCTTAATTTGTCCATTTCATGTCACAGGACCTTTGCAAGAACTTTCTAAACAAAACGTTCATGTAAAATGGGACTTCAGCATTTATTTATTTATTTCGAAAATATTTTACCTGGAAGGATACATTGAGATTTCTTTTGTTTTCCAGTATATCCTGGGTCCACAAAACATTACATTGTTACAATAGGATACAATATTACAAAAATACAATATACAAACAATATATAAATTTAATACATAACAGGTAATACATATATTCAACTCTGACAGGTGCATTCTGTGCTGACGTATATGGCCATAGATCTCTTAAAAGATTTTAGATTGAATGAAGATTTGACTGTGTCCCTGAGGTTATTCCATAATTGTGGTGCTCTGTAGGAAAATGAGCATTGAGACACTTTATTTTTGTATTGCGGTATGCTAAATATCTTTTGTGATTAAGGTAGAAGAAAAACAGAAACTATTTAATATACAGTGGGGAATTATTTTTGTGAAATATTAGTTCACAATAGAGATCTACTTGTATAAACACAAGATGCATTTACTAAGAAATGAATCCTTTGACATACAGAGCTATACTTGAGGTGGCATTTTCTTGCCACAAAGTAAATGGTTCTATAAAATATGTTGTTACTTTTGGAATAAGACAAGTATGGCACTGGTAAGGATCAATATACAGATGTAGCTCTACTTGCACACATGTGCCAGTTTACCAAGACAGACATGCTTTTTACATTTAGGGTGAATTAAAAAAAAAAAAAAAAGAAGTAATTCTGGGAGGGAGTTGTAAAAGGGGACTCATCAGCACAAACATTCCACTGGTTTCCATAGTAACTGCTTCTCTTTTTAACTTTGTAACAGATTTGCAATCCATCTTTATGCTTAACCCCATAGTGTTTGGACCCAGCTGATCCTGATGGAGGAAGGAGACTGCAGACAGAGCAGGCTCTGTGAATAACTCCTGCAGTGTCTGTCAGAAGGAGGGGAGGGTGACCTGTCTGCATGGGTGGAAGGTATTTTTGCCTATCTCTGCCAGCCTGTCTGTAATTTCCAGAGGGGGAGGTATTCTGTTCCTGGTAGTCAGTGGGGTGTGCTCAGTGAAAGGAGATTGTGTCTGAGCCCTCTTAGCAATCTGCATGTAGGGGAAAGAGAGAGGTAGTGTGTGTGTGTGTATCCCAGGCAGGCTGTCTGTGTGCTCAGTGAGAGGGGGAGGGGGAGAGCAGTCCTGTCTGGCAGTCTGTAGACCGCCCCAACTCCGCGCATGCGCAGTCCCTGCATTCCAGCATGGCGCTGCAGCCCGGCAGTGGAGGAGCTGCGCACTGAGATTGCAGCGGCCCCGGGGACCTTACGGAGCAGGAAACTCCGACTAACCCCCTTCACTACTATCACTGGATCTCTCACCCAATTCTCCAGACGGCACCCAGGTAAGAGCTGTACTCTGGATAACTCTTCACACCCTCCCATCGTCAACCCCAGGATACTTACACCCCCCACCCCCTTCCCCTCTATCTCATGTCAGTGGTATTTAAATCCCCCTGGCAGTATTACCTCCCCCAGCCCTATTATCCACCCCAGGGTATTTAAATCCCCTGACAGTATCCCCCAGCCCCACTATTATCCACCCCAGGGTATTTAAATCCCCCGGCAGTATTACCCCAGCTCCCACCATTATCCACCCCAGGGTATTTAAATCCCCCTGACAGTATTACCCCCCAGCCCCCACCATTGTCCACCCCAGGGTATTTAAATCCCCCTGGCAGTATTATTCCCACCCCCATTATCCACCCCACGGTATTTAAATCCCCCTGGCAGTGTTTTCACCATCCCAGGGTATTTAAATCCCCCTGGCAGTATTATCCCCCCCATTCTCCACCCTATGGTATTTAAATCCCCCTGGCAGCATAACCCCCTCATTCTCAAACCCAGGGTATTTAAACTCCCCAACAATCCCCCATCTTATGCCAGTGGTATTTAACCCCCCTGGCAGCATGAGCCTCATTTCTCTACCCCATGGTATTAAAATCCCCCTGGCAGCATTATTCCCCCTCATTCTCATCCCCACGGTATTTAACCCCCTACGACAGCCTGCCTTCCACCCCCTGACAGCATGCTTCTCCCCCTTAGAGCTGCAGAAAACACTTTGTGGATGGTAACTCTATCACACACCATCCCATACCTTTGCCCCCCTGCAGCCACTTATTCCAAATGGAAGATAATTCTGCCTCCCCATGGGGTAGAACAGACTTTTTATTTGCCCCCTAGTGTGATGGAATGAGCAGTGGGCAGTGAGTGCTTTGCTCTAACTCAGTGGATTGTATAGTTTAAGGGGGGCACACAGGGGTTAACCTCTTTCTGTGGCAGTACTTCCAATAGAGGGTTAAAAAAATGTTTTTGTTCTGTGCCCACCCCACCTTGGTGACTTCAGTATTGTCCCCCACTGTCCTTCACAGAATTTGCAGCCCCCCTGTCCCCCCTATCTTTGCCTCCTGGAAATGCCACGTAGGCTTTAGTGACTGCAGATGGAGAGAGAGAGAGGATCCTGCGCCCTCCCAACTCACTTTTCTCCCCTCCTCCTTTTTTCTCCTTCTTACTTTTTTCATATGTATTTTCTTACTTCAAGGCCAATCGTCTTGCTTTAAAATTTTCAACTATATTCCCTTATTATGTGCCTATTGATCTCCCATTAGACGGGTGCAACCCCCCTCTCCCCTACAGTCACAACAAAGGGCTATTGACTTTTTGTATGACGTCACCCCACGGACAGTTACTTGCTGCGGGCGGGCTCTAATGTCAGTAAAAAGGGGGTTGGTGGGGGTTACCAGGGTCTAGGATTATTGCTATTCAGGGACCGAATTAGTCCTCTGGATTTAGTATAGATGGACACCCCCACTCCCCCCCCCCCCTTTCCTAAACTTCTCAGCCCCAACCCTTGTAGTTTGATGTTGAATGTGTGTTGCTTAAAAATGTTTTTCTAAACTTTGTAAATGAAAGGGAAAACAAAGAAACTGCAAAAAAAAAAAGAGCCCCACGTGATGCATTTACTCTTACAGTGCCCTGCATTACTTGGCACTTCCATGGAAGTCGATGTTTTATGAAGTGATAAAAACATAATGACACTTTTACTCAACATTCCTTTAGCAATATATTCACAGATGTGCTAGTTAAATATGAAAACCCAAGCTGCTTCTTAATCTATAGCATTTGGAGTCAGCGTTTTTCAGATTTGCCTTAATAAATATGATCTGTGGTCTCCAGACCAAGAGACCAGGGAAGTGAAGTAGAAGCATTGAAATGATCTTGTAATATCCATCACAATGTTTACAGATCAATTAATCTATTGAACAGAACACCTGATTGCTGTCTGTGGTTTTCTATATAATCTCTTAGGTGTATTTTTACCGGTTATGTATCTCATTGAGTTACTTGGAAGAACTTTGTTGAAATGTAGCAATACTTTACAAATATGACATAATAATTACATTTGCCCTCTAAATTTTTTTTTTTTTTTGAATGTCATTCTTTTGTCTCCTACCCATATAAAAATTGATCTTGAAAACTGTTTAATCAATTCAGTGGTTTAACCCCTTAAGGACCAAACTTCTGGAATAGGGAATCATGACATGTCACACATGTCATGTGTCCTTAAGGGATTAAGGCAGGATCAATTTTTTTTTTAAATCTTTTGTTAATCTATAAAAGTGACCCTTTATACAATATCCACTGTAGGATACAATCAGTATAAGTCCCTTTGTAGCCACTCCAGAACATAACTAGTTTGTCTAGCAACTTTGTGTTACTGTTCACCATACATAATTTCAGCTAAAGGATCCAACAAAATGTATTAACACCTTGTTCTAAGTGTCTGTCTATGAGTGATGGGGCAGTTTTACTGCCACTGCATATTTACAAAACTCATTCTTTGTCATAGGACTAAACCTCACTTTCTAGGACTGATGAGCATTTTAGAGAGAAACTATACAGTCAATCATTTGCTTTTCCCCTGATTTCAGTGTGATACAAACTCGTTTTCTATTGAGACAGAATTGTTACGTTGTAAAACAAAAATGGTACTTTGCTGTTTATTTGCATTTGGTTTGACACACATACATGTTTATACATTGAAGCAGTGATGGCCACCCTCGCTTCTCCAGATGTTTTCATACATCAGCTACTAGCCCAGCTGTGCATGAAACAAAAATATGAGTTTGCTAACTTTAGCCAGGGCCTCACAAAGCAGACTTTCAAATGCCATGCATACATTCCTCGTAAGTTTCAGCTTTTTGTGATTAGATTTCTGGCGTACCCATTTTTATATATTCCTCATGGATGCTGCAGTGGGCTGTCTTCGTTTTACAGCGGTTTCCATATTTAAGTGTTAGAAAGTCCAAGTTCGTCTCTGGCCAAAGCAGACATTGTTCCAGTTTAACAGCTGTGCGATTGGCACCCTCTGTCTCTTTCCTCCATACAAATTCACCTCCAAATTCTCCTTTCTCTAAACTATCCCAGTGCGTTGGGGTTGAATTCCATTACCGTGAATCAATGACCATCTTGTAAAATGTAGCACGAGATCTACAAAGCAGGATGGAAATATCTATGATCCCTCTATCTTCTGCTTACATTTTTCCACTCTTAAAGTAAGGGGAAAAAACTGTTCTCTTTGCACATTATTCCACAGAACAAGCTGCCACAAGTGGAAGGCTTTTGTACATAATATATTGTTTTAACAAGTTTACTACCCCCTCCCAGTACACTTGGCCTGGGTTATACTTAGGCACTACCTTGGCAATGGCATTGAATAATGAATGTCTAGATGTGTTTTCTGGCAGACCTCCTCTGACTATAAATAGCCCTTTCAAAAATGAGTAAGCTAATACTCTGCTAGGCTGGATTTATTTTCTCTCCATATAGATTTTCTTGCTTGCCCATAGAAACACAGTGACTTCCTTGTTCTGTCTCAGTAGCTCTATGATATCGGATCTCCTTCACCTATCGTTGTAATATTCAAGGATGAGCTGGCTTTTTTGTTTAAGGTTTAAACTTAAAGAGGAAATACTTCTTGCCTGAAATGAGCAGTGAGGAATTGTTTGCATATATGTATATAATGAAGTAGGGCAGAAGTCGTGTGGAATGACCATAGACATAGGTGACCCTTCACAAAGTATCATCGGGTGTCTACAAGAGCTGGACCTTGCGTGCGTCTGCTGATGGTCTAGAAGTAAAAATAGGGAGGTTTGGGCCTAAGATTTCACAGGTGTCTCCTCTCCTGACCTGTGCTTTGAATGACTGAAGGTGGTGGCATGTGAACGTGTTGCGCTGACTCAGATTTGTACCATTTATCCCATTTCTTCCTCACATTAAATCAGGGGTTTGAATGGACACTCCAATCAGCTGAGGTGTTTTTAGAGTTAACTGCATGTCCCACCCCCTGCCTCCCCCCCCCCCACCCAAGACCTATTTTATAAAAATACACACTTTTAAAAAACAAAATGGCACTTTTATAAATGACCTTAGTAATCAGAGCTTGTCCGAAACCACAGGAATAAAGATGATCAATTCTTCCAAAATTCTTACATATGTATTTTGTGTGTGTGTAAGGATGTTAATGCAATTTTGGGTGTTTCTCTGTATTAGGTGCCTGGTGTTTGATTCTATTTACCTTGACCAATAAGGAAATACAGAGTGGTAGTTTCATTTCTCAACTAAAAATTTTTCTATGGTAACATAATACAACAGATATTTCAACACTGCCTCTTACATATAGTTCACCTATGTATTCCTTGTGAGTACCAAAGAGTTTGTTTTTTTCTGTATTTATTTCCTTGTAAGATTAAACTGTAAAAGGAAAGGAATGTAAGCCTTGTGTGTGTTAGGGGTGTGCTATTGGGCTTTAATATACTTTTGTATTTAGAATTGCAGTAGGGTCTGTTGAGTATGACACACATTTCAGTCTAAAGTGAAAACTTTTGAATTGTTTCTATCATGTTTGGTTATTTGATTATGTAGCCTGTGATATTACTAATGAATGGATCTAACATGCACCTGTCATGCCTAGCATAACGTGGTGTCACTTTACCAACATTAATTTATCCTCTTCATTGTATTAGTCTATTTCTATATTGACAGGAAATGTAGACCTTTTTTGGCTTCCTTCACCAGCTGTCAATCAGTTCTTATTTTTTTTTTTTTTCTTCCTAAAAATGGTTAGAACCAATGCACCCTAGAAAAACCCTCCTTCTTCAGGCAGTGTAGTTGCTGTGATTAACTGTGCCTTGCAATAGCTTACTTGTGCATTATTTAAGATGGAGCTTCTGAGACTGGGGGAGCCCTGCATTGGCACACGTCTGATGGGTGGGTTGAGGGGGGAAATGTCTAAGGACTTATCATTGCACAGTAAGCACTGCATTGAGCTGTTCTAGTTATGGCACTCAGTGTCTCTTTAAAAAAAAAATGTAATTATGCAAAAGGAACTAACTTAGCCGCATGTCCATTGTAAAATTGTGTGCTTTAAACCGTTGCTGAAAAAGTCACATGAAAAAAAAAATTGTAGCTGCACTATATATTTATTCATTCATTTTATGTATTGCATTTTATATAGTGTAAATCTAAAACTTCACTTGAGGTTTATTCTTTTGATAGAGGCATTTTACATTTTTGTATTTATTTTTTTTAGTTTTTTTTGTGTGTCCTTGAGGGGTAGCACTTAATTTTGATAGTACCTTTACATTAATCTATTAACTATGAAGCAGAAGCTGAATGTAGCATTAAAAAGCTAGTTTAAAACTAGGCCGTTTTTCACCTTTCCCTCTTTGCATGAGGACATCCAGCGTCCTCTAAATCCAGATAGGAGAGCATTAATTCAATGCTTTCCTATGGGGAAGGCCTAGTGCACACACGTCACTCACCGCGCATGCATATTGGGGTCCTTCCAGGTGCTAATGTCAGAGAAGGCTGAGCCAGCGCCCAAGATACTTCGGTGCGAGAATCAGATGAGTGAAAGAAAGGGTTATTTAACCCTTTCAAGGCTGTGGAGCAGGCAGAGGAACACTTTTGTGTTAGGAATACAACTTTGTATTCCTACCACTGTAGTGTTCCTTTAATCATTGTATTACTATAGTTCTGGTAGTTGTGGTTTTGATGACAGAATAATTTAGATTAACAGTCCAGACATTATCAAAAATCCACTCACTATTTGCATTCCAAGTCTATCTGGTTGACCAAAAGGACCATTTTTTAAAAAGCACTACCGATGCATAGCGTGTATGTTTGTAGAAAAAAAAAAAACATATCCTCCCTGCAGTTAGTGGGTCACAGTCAAGCTGTGGTTGAAGCATACTGATGTTATGCTGCCAGGAGTGTCCTGGTGTCGTTGTATCCCTCTCCCCATGTAAGCAGTCAAACGGTTTGCTGGTTGCTTGACAATTTAGTTAACAGTTCAACCCCTGAAGGTAAGCTGGTACCAGGGACCTCCTGCCACCATAACAACTTAATTCTGATGAAGTTGTTATGGTGTTCGGAGTGTTGCTTTAGCATGCGGACATTTAAATGTTGAAATTTGTGAATACATTTACACAGTTAAATAGACACTAGAGCTAGATGCAAAAATGTAGAAATTATAACTTAGTATCTATTTTTTTAATTTAGGGAAGTATATTTTAAGAACAAACTCTAATTTTCAGCACCTGTGATCAGGACATTGCGTGGATGTAGAAGAATGGTTGGAACCGCTTACTTGGCCAAATTCTCTGCATACTCGTATGCAACACTCTAAGAGTTTATGCAAGCCGCTAAATACTCTTGGGGTGACACCCCATAGCATTGCTGACTGGCATGGCGCATGACATCCCAAAGGCTGCAACTCTCCTATAAACATGCGTGGTCACACCTCATGAAAACATTTCTTGAGAAGCGAGTGACATCTGCTTTTTAAGACATTGTGATTTGTTTCTTCCTCTGGTGGATTGTGAAATCTTGCGTTGTATAATAACATTACAAGAGAATAATAGGGATGTATTCTTCAAGTTAAGTTTGACACAAATCACATTTAGAGAAGTTTGTATGTATAAAAAGAGCTATTGAGAAAATTGTTGGGAGTTCAAATTAGGAGTTTAAACTAGATAGCCAAATTGAAAACATTTTTATTTCAGATATTGTGGCCTGAAATTTGCTTTGAGTTTCTAACATTTCACACTGTATCGAATATTCATATAATGTATACGAATGCGTGAAAATACATGCATCAGTGCTTCAATGGCTCAGAATACAAGAATTTCAAATACAAAAAGCAAGGCACTTCTGGGATAACGTAATGTTTTTTATTTATTTAAATGTCCAGTAGCTTACAAATGTACGAGCAATTTGTTCAAATTATATGTGAGTTGGCACTTTAAGCACCATAATCACTGAAAAAGTTGAATTCAGGTGTTTCAATCAAACCGATTGCCATAGGTGTATAAAACCAAGCACCTAGCCATTCAGCTTGCATTTACAAACTTTTGTGAAAAAAATTAGTTCGTTCTGAAGATCTTAATGCATTCAAGCGTGGTACTGTGATAGGAAACCATCATTGCAAAAAGTACGTTTGTGAAATTTCATCCCTGTTAGATATTCCACTGTCAACTGTAAGTGGTATTACTGGGAAGTGGAAGCATTTAGGATGAGCAGCAACTCAGCCACGAAGCGGAAGACCACGTAAAGTCACGGAGCGGTGTTACTGATTCCTGAGGTGCATGGTGTGTAAAAGTCGCCAATGCTCTGCTGAATCCGTAGCTGAAGAGTTCCAAACTTCCACTGACATTAATATCAGCGCAAAAACTGTGTGGTGGGAGCTTCATGAAATGGGTTTCCATGGCCGAATAGCTACATGCAAGCCTCACATCACCAAGTACAATGCCAAGGGTCGGGTCAAGTGGTGTGTGTGGAATGGTTTTAAGGGATTGGGTTAGGCTGCTTACTTCCAGTGAAGGGAAATTTTAATGCTTCAGCATGCTCCAAGACATTTTGGACAATGCTTTGCTTCCGACTTTGTTGGAACAGTTTGGTGAAGGTCCTTTTCTATTCCAGCATAACTGTGCCACAGTGCACAAAACAGGGACTATAAATGCACCTGGTGTGTAAAAACGTGACTGGCGCGCACACACAGCCCTGAGCTCAACCCCATCGTAAACATTCGAGTGAATGGGAAGGGAGAACCAAGATAATGCTAGCCAGGCCTTCTCGTTCTACATTAGTGTCTAACCTTCCAAATGCTCTGCTGGATGAATGGGCAACAATTTCTACAGAAAAACTCCAAAATCTTGCGTAAAAGCATTCCCAGAAGAGTGGAAGCTGTTATAGCTGCAAAGTGTGAACAAATTACATAATAATGTCTATGTATTTAGAATTCGATGATAAAAATCACTGTTGGTGTACTGGTCAGGTATCCTAATAATTTTGTCCTTATGTACTCAGAGTATGTACTTGGCTCAGCCAATGAAAGACCAGTGGTTCACATAATTTTACCCCACAGCCAATCGTGGTCTTTTTTTTAACTGTCAAATTTGTACTCTGCATGGCTCTGAAAAAACTTTACAGAACAGTGATTGGCTGTGGGGTGGAATCAAGTCAGCAACTCGGCTCACACTGATCGATTTACCTTCCAAACAAAAATGGGGTTTTGTGAAATGGGGTGGGATGGTTAAATCGGTGGAGATAAGCTACAGAAAACTGCAACTTTTTTTGTTTGTATTTAATGTGCTTAAGTTGTGTCTGGGGAATCCCCTTTAATGTAGGCCACGGGTCTTTCTTTATCCACATCCACTCTGCCTGTGAGAGCAAGGCCATGCCATCGGAATGTGGAAAACTTCTTATTCCATCTCCCCTCCCCCAGTTTTGTTAACGCTTAACTTGTTAAACTTTCTCTTCATATTTCTATTGTTTGTTGTTTCCTTTATACTACTTGTTCCTTTAGACTTTGTAGTTTATATTGACCTACCCACCTCTCTCGCCTTGGCTTCCTCCTCATTGCTTACTGATTGTAACCTATGATTTTGCTATACATGAGGCTCATCATGAGTCACAGCCCATATTTGACTTTACTTTAGTTGGCTCTAATTTCTAAATGCAATGCATACTGCATTCTTTATAACTAAAAAAAAAAAAAAAAACACACTTGAGGTTATTCGTAAAAACTCTAGATTGTAGCAAATTAAGATATAAGCTTTTCAAATTATTTATCTACAACATTTCCCATATACTTTTACAGTGATTTCTATAGATGACTCACTTGAAAAGTTTATCCAAAAATATGAATTCATTTGAAAAATGTATCCAGAAATATTAAACCTTGGCTAAATCAGTCAAACTGTGGCTAGAGCCAAGGTGGAGAAATTTTTTGAGATCAACTATATTTGTTCAATTTGCTGGATTTAATCCACTAAATGTAGGTTTTTGTGAATAATCTAGTCTTGATAGTCTGGCAAGCCATTCAATAAATTAGTGTTTGTCATTGAATAGTTTTTTTTTTTTTTTTTTAATCTCGTTTCAATTTCTTGTACTCAATTTACAGGAAGGAAAAACTGTCTAGGAACAACAAATGTTTATATATTTTTAAATACTAACCATGGCAATAGTGGATTTTGAGCTCCGGTTGATTGGATGGTGGCAGATAGCCAAAATAATTTAGCTATTGGAGATGAGGAATCAAGTGGCAGTCAGGTTAAATTATTTCCTTAGTTTGCTTGTCCAAAACTGAACATCTTCATGTATGGTTGGTGAACCAGTTGCGTCTTAGTTACCATATTGGTAACTTTGCATCAGTGTTGGCCTGTCACAGTGACTTTAAATCTGTTATCTCAACATACACTAGACTTGTCAATATTGTAGCATTTATCAGTGTGATTATTTGGCTGTTGTGTCCTAAATTTATAAATTCTCTTTTCATTTCACTTAAGCGTGGTGTTTAGTGGATTCCCCCCACTTTCTCTAGCAGAATGGATTGTTTGAATGGTCTTTCTTTCCGTACTGGAGGCGCATACAAAAATGTAAAAGTTTTGTGCGAATTTGCCAAGGTCATTCTGCTTTGTATCCAGCTGTTATCTTTGTAAAAAGGCAAAGCCTGATTGTTATATTTTGCATTCCTGTGGGTGAAAAAGGGACACATTGAATTTTTATTTTCTTGCAAAGCCTGTAGGGCAAAAGGAAGATGGCAAATTATTCGTTCCTTGTAGACGTCTGCAAAAACGTTTCCTGTCAATTTAATATAAGGAATTTTGCTGCCTGTAAAGTTACCAAAAATCTGTTATTTTTTTGACAATATTATGATTACTGTGCTATACTTAAAAGTGTCCAAGTGCACCAGAGTTATCAAAATGATTTTATTTGAGTAGTTCCATGTCCCCTTTTCTTTTCTTTTTTTTTGTGAATGTGTGTACTATGCGGAAAATAATTTTTTTGCGCTATTTCATGCTAGCTGCATGTTTACATTGTGTTTTAACATAACAATTATGCTTTAATTTTCTTGACATATGGCACAATGGTATTACTCTGCGTGCTTGGTATTGAGAGGTAAAATAATATTTGGCTAGAAAATAAAATGCATTTAATTGATCAGAAATCTGCCCAGTGTTTGATTTTTTTCTTTGGCCACTTAAATAAAAAATCATTTTTTTTTCCTCATGTGTGGTGTTGTGAACATTTAAAAACTATTCACTATCTGGTTTGCTTGCATCGTCATAAGCTTCAGATTTCTCTATCTGAGGTGACAGCTGGGCAGAGCCAGTATTTTACTTAAAAATTCAAATAGTTCACTTTTCTTCGATTAAGAATTACTCTTTCTTTAAGACATTTAAATTTGCATGCACTGTTTTTCTCTGTTCTCTTCCTGCTAACGTCACTCCCAGCAGACAAGTTCCGTCATGTCATCATTTATGCCATCACGTCCAACGTATGTGTAACTGGAGCTGACATCAGACGTCTTATGGCTTAAATATATAGGCCCTGAAGCAGATTCTTTTAGGAGCAGTATGTTTGGCTTTTGTGAGATTGGAAAAGGCAATAACACCTGTTAGATGAAAAGAAAAGAAGAATGTATTATTTTTAATGTCAAAGTGGGTGGAGGTGTTATATTGTACTTGGGAAGTTCCTGATAAAGGTTATGGATGTAATGCTGCTTTGCATAAAGCCGTAGTGGAATATCTGAATATCCTTCAGGGTTTATTTGTATATTTACATTTAATTAGTCTAAGAATATGTGTCTCTTCCTCCAGTGTAAAGGCCTCCTACATGGTTGAAAGAATCAAACAGAATGGATAATTGGAGAGGGATATCATTTGAGCTGTGCTTAAAGGAACAATATGGTGTTAGGAATACAAAACTGCATTCCTAACTCTATAGTGTCCCATATGCCCCCTGCACATGCGCAGTAGCCTCCCTATGTATTTATATGGGAAAGCATTGGATTGGCTGAGATCATTAAGATTGATGATCTCCGTTTTGGAGGCAAAACCATGAGGAGCCAGCTACGGGGAGACCAGCGCTGCGTGAGTAAAATCACCTTTTTACTGTGATTGGAGGGGGGCAGTGACCTAAACATCCAATTCAGGACTACAGTGCCAGGAAAACATGTTTGTACATATTTATTAATTTATTTTTTAGCCTTTGTAACTTCTGCAGTGTTGTAATTTTTTTTATTAATTTGTCCTTTTTTATTTATTTTTTTTTATTTATTTTTTTGAATGCTGGGTTTTTCATGTCCGTGTTTCAATTTCTAAATTCGAAGTAGGAGATTCCAATCATTCTGCACCCTTAGGTCCTTCTTTTATGGCAATCAAACTGCTTATTAATATTATAACTATTCTAGTGACAGCTAAGGTGTGAGTTGAATAAATTAGATATTTATTGACGTGTCTTATCACAGCACATTGATGCAGTGTTGATTGTCCTGCATTAAGGTTAAAAGTTATTTTACTGACTTCAGGAAACTGATCATGACTTTTTCCAGGTACTAGTTGCCCTTAAACTAATGGAGAATTATATTTTGCATTATATTGTGCATCATAAATAATTTATTTAATGAAGGCCTTTTTCTACTCCGTATTAAGACATCCCTATTACCTTATAAAACATTGATGATGTGCATTGGTTGTGTAATTTCCTGTGCTGTCTAAGTGATTGGAAAACAAATACTTTCAGATACAGTCATAGCTCAAACACACCAGCAGCTACCCATCCTTTGAAAACCTTTCAGAATGTATCCTGGAATTATCTGTCTGTCTCTGTGAACTGAGCATTCTGGTAAATAATGCCATCAAACCTTCCTTTATTCCAAAGGCAGCACTGGGACTTACATGTTCTGGTCTGCCCAAGATTAGTGAGAGTTACACTTGTAGCTCCCACTGTTGAATTCAGCTCCTCTCACAATAATATCATCGCAGAACTGGAGCTGAGGAGACAGAATTGCTTTTGTTTCTGCCTCCTGTGCTCCACTCCCTTCAAACAAGTAACGAGAGAGGGCTTAATTCATCTGATGGCCACTTCATATTGCGCGAATGTCCAAGGGCCTCTTTAAGATTAAGGGAACCTTTGCCAGCTGGAGTGCAATAGTGTAACTCTCACTGTCCATCCCAGCACACAAAAAAGGTCATCATAAACCATGGATATCAGCATTAAAGGACCACTCTAGGCACCCAGATCATTTCAGCTTAAAGGACCACTCTAGGCACCCAGACCACTTCAGCTTAATGAAGTGGTCTGGGTGCCAGGTCCAGCTAGGGCTAACCCATTTTTTTTATAAACATAGCAGTCTCAGAGAAATTGCTATGTTTATAATAGGGTTAATCCTTCCTCCAAAGCCTCTAGTGGCTGTCTCATTGACAGCCGCTAGAGACGTTTGCGTGCTTCTCATTGTGAAAATCACAGTGAGAGCACGCAAGCGTCCATAGGAAAGCATTGTAAATGCTTTCCTATGCGACCGGCTGAATGCGCGTGCTCATTCAGCCGAATGGGCGGAGAGGAGGAGGATCGGAGGAGGAGAGCTCCCTGCCCAGCGCTGGAAAAAGGTAAGTTTTTACCCCTTTCCCCTTTCCAGAGCCGGGCGGGAGGAGGTCCCTGAGGGTGGAGGCACCCTCAGGGCACTATAGTGCCAGGAAAACGAGTATGTTTAATGAAGTGATCTGGGTGCCTGGTCAAGCTAGGGTTAACCCTTTTTTTAATAAACATAGCAGTTTCAGAGAAACTATGTTTATAAATAGTTTAATCCAGCCTCTAAAGCCTCTAGTGGCTGTCTCATTGACATCCGCTAAAGGCGTTTGTGTGCTTCTCACTGTGAAAATCACAGTGAGAAGACGCAAGCGTCCATAGGAAAGCATTATGAATGCTTTCCTATGAGACTGGCTGAATGCGCGCGCAGCTCCTGCTGCGCATGCGCATTCAGCCGAAGAGGAGGAGGAGAGCTCCCTGCCCGGCGCTGGAGAAAGAGGTAAGTTTAACCCCTTCCTCCCCCCAGAGCCCGGCGGGAGGGGGACCCTGGGGGGGGGGGGCACCCTCAGGGCACTATAGTGCCAGGAAAATGAGTGTTTTCCTGGCACTATAGTGGTCCTTTAATCTTAGTGCACCTTGATAACTAACTTCCAGAACACTTAGCCTAATTAACGGTGATAATGTGGAATTGTAATTTCCATGATTCCTTGCAGCCATGGAGAGCCGTATTTTTTGTCAAACTGTATTAACATGGTTTTGACGGAAAAGCAGGTGGATGAACCAAATAATCTTTAAGCGCTGTATCCACTATAATGAGTTGTAGTGGTTGTGGTGCCCTAAACCCCCATTAAACTAAAAAAAATTTCGAAATCATTGCTACCTTTGAAAATTACACAGACAAGGCATTTCATGGTAATTAACGTTTCCTATGAACCCCTGGTATGCAGAAAAATATATATTAGTACTAGCGATTGCTTCTAACTGTTCTAATGTTTTAATGTAAGGTAACCGTTTCTTTTTAAGAATCACTAACCCTTTACGCCTCAGACTGTCCCTTGGATATTCAGAGGGTTTAACGATAAATATGACTAGATAACATTTTAGTGATTGGTTAAATTTGAGAAAATGTCACTGCTCGTTGTGTTCTTTCTACATGCAGGAAAATTTGTATTTAAAAATATAAAATACAGTCGGCATTTGACAAACTGATGACTGTATGCCACCCAGGTGCATCGGCTTGCATTCGGGCCATGTAAATGTCATCATTCACACTGCTTTGTTTAGTGTATTGTTCAGTTTCTGAAAGGTCAAAACCAGTGAGGTAAATGTTTAGCACAGCTGTGTATTTAAATACCTTCTTTTTCAGTGGCAGAGCTTTAAAATCTTATTATACTAACCTCAGGATTTCCAATGTAAAGGCAGATATGGCGATTTTCCTAGTACCTGGCCAAACCTTACTGCAAGGCTCAGCAGATGTAACTAATGCCGTTTAGCTGAAAACCGTAAGGAAATTATTAGTAGACAATGAGTAGTTATAGAATAATTTACTAAATAGAAAGTTATGGTTACTTGACAGCCAACAGGCCAAAATAACCCAACTTTGTAACATCATCAATATAAAACTCTGTGTTATTAAACCCCTGCCACCAGAGGGGAGTTGCATTTTTATAAAATAAACAAGGTCTGTTTTTAAATGGTGTATGTCAAGACATTACGTCCGCAAGTCTCTAAATGACATTCTTTATTGCAATCTGTATTTAGATAATCTGTTATCAGGTAATTACTGCTGCTTTGTCTATTTCTTGCTAATTATCCATGGTCTAGTCCTATTACCAGTACCCATAATAATTGGGGTGGAGATTAGATAAAGATATACAGAGAGAAATGGCAAGCCAGACTAAATAAAGATAAACCAACAAAGAGCTGTATTATTAGCTGCAGAAATACAGGCAATACCTACAATATTCGTTTTTTGTTTTTTTTTGTAACGTTTACTTAGAGTGCAGACCTTGCAGACAACTAGGCTTTATCCTTTCAAGCATGCCATATTAATGGATATTAAATATTGTCCTTTATAGGTACCTGTTAGAACTATGGCCACTCATACTTTTTTTTTATTTTATTTTTTTACAGAGCGTAACATTCTATATATACATTGTGTTAGCAGTTTTTGCTAGCAAATGTATAGATTGGGAGAAAAAACTATTTTAAAATAGGTATTTCTTCCACGTGTCAGTCAAATCTTTGGCATAAAATATATGCCGAAGAAATGGCTGACAAGGGAGAGCAGAAAAGATTACCCACAGGTGGTGCTTCTGCTCGCCGCACATAGCAACCAGTGTGCATGCGCTGTGGTTGCTATGGAAAGTCCCTAGCCAACGCTAGGGAGCGTAGGCGGATGTAGGCATGCTCACAGTGAAGCAGCCAGTTTGCGCATGTGCAGTGTGAAATCTGTTTTTTTAGTTTACTTAAATGTCCCCCAGAAACAGTATTTAAACCAAGCTGATACTTTCCTGCAAATCCTGGACAAAAGAAAGGTATCCATTTGAATTCCAACATCTGTTATCCACATCCTCTAGGGTGCGAACAGACATGGGCCAACAAATTAATAGTGATTAATACGACTCTCTGGAGTCATGGAGAATGACATTCCTCCAAATTTCTTTAATTGAACACACTAGACAAAACATACACAAAAATGTATGCAATGAAGAATCCTGAAAAAAAAAAATCATTCTCTGTTGTTTGCATGATTCTAAAGGAAGGCATGCTTATTCGTTTATTTTTTACTTTACAAGTGTAAGTAGCAAGGCACCAAGCAAGAATCTTACAGCTCAACTTTCCCATAAACCCCAGTGCAGTCTTATTAAAGTTTATGAGAAGTGTGCACAATACAGCAGCTTATGGGAATTTCAAGAGAATACTAAGAACAGGCAGCAGCTGAAGTAGCCTCCCCTTCGGTGGTGTGATCCTTTGATGTAAAATTAGGTTCTTTTTTTTTTCTGTCTTTTTATACCTATATATTTTTTTTTAACAAAGTAAAAAAAGAGATAACTGAAAACGTTTTTTCCCTTGCTGGATATTTATAAGCTCTTTGTTTTGTGAAGTTGGTAGCTTTAGTGACCTGAAAATATGCGTGTTCCGCATAGATATCCGCATCCCACCCCTACATCGTGTTAAACTTAATTCTCGTGATATAACACAGCAGACCGAATTGTCATTTTCTTGGCAGGGAGGAACATAATGTTTGTTCTGGATGCTACCCTGATTAAATTGCTAAGAGAGGTTGATGGGATAACCATAAAACTGTTTTATTATTATTCCTCGACTTGGCACAATTAAAGTATCTATGCATGGTAATATTTAGTACCTTCTAGTAACATGAGATTTCACTACTTTAGTTTCCTTGATTTCTCACCTGTTAATTCGTTCTCTCCTTATTTGTATGTTCCCATCTCTATATTTTTAGTTTTTTTTTAATTTGTGTCATCTGTTATATTTACACATATTGTAGTATACATGTTTGTATGGTCTCTAAGCACACATGAGTATATGTAGGCTGTAAATCATGTTGATTTGAAAATTGTTTTCATTATATAGTGTAAATATTTTGCCTTGTTTTAAGTATATTGTGTTTATTCGTTTAGTTTTATTGTAGGTTAGAGAATTTCTAAGTAGCCGAGGTCAGCTTTATTGCAGATTCATATTATTCTGGGTAATTTTCAGTCTAGTTCTGTCTGCACCTGGCGTCCTTGTATTGTAACTATTGCTTGTTTGTGAGGTCTCTCCACCTGGTGTAATATTGTATTTCAGATCGACGAAAAAAAAGTCGAGCTCAGCCCGTACCACTTGATGCTGTTTATACAAAAAAGGTGATAAACTCAGACTGAATAAATTAGGGCCACTATACCGTCTTAACTTGAGAATGGCAATGAGTTTCCCCCTAAATCATGCCATAATAAATTGTAGTCATGTATATCCAATGTATTCTTAGACGCCAACAGACTCCCAGTCATTTTGCATTCTCTCATCTCAACCTGCATCACAAATTCAACTGTCTAGTCTTTAAACTAAACCTCTATAAATGCTCCCATGTTGCAACTGTAGCTAAATAATCCGGTTTGCCACTATTACTGGTAATGGTGCTTGGGGCAGGTGGTGAGTTAAGCGAGGTGGCTTAACCCCTTAAGGACCAAACTTCTGGAATAAAAGGGAATCATTACATGTCACACAGGGGGTTTAGGTAATTCTTCTCTAACCAGTAGTTTCATTAATGAAAAGACATAAGCTTCCTATATAGCTAACTGAGCTTTTTAAAGTTCAGTAATAATAGCTCATAGAGCCTGAATCATTTAGTGAAGGGCGAGTTATAGCTTTACATTTGATGCCAATGTCTGTAAGGATGGCTTCTTAAGATTATAATTGCAACCGTTCTTGGAGAAACAACAAAATGCACGGAGATGGGGGAGCATCTTGCTTACATATCAGATGCATTATAAACAGGTGGTAATAGTACTTAAAGGATCCCGTTCATGAGGTTACTCATGCACTTTCTTATCCTACTATAAGCCCTCAATCCATACTGTTTCCACATTGCCTTAGCATCCTACCCATCCATCAGTCAAGTCTTTATTGTACACCCACGGTAATTTTTCATCAGCACTAGTTTAGAAAGTGTGTTTGTGGGGTCAGAAAAATTAACATCAAATGTAGAAATCCGCACTGCGGTATTTACCTTTATCTTGTAACCCTGTCAATCATCGCTTAAAATATGGATATTTTCTGCAGGTGAACATGGTTAATAGAAGAGAAGAAACGGAAACAATGTTTCTGTTCTCCTGCTCATTTGCATTATGTGCCCTGACTGTGCCTGGACTGGAATGTGATGCCATATTTTATTTTTCCACTGTAAAATTTTCAGAGAAGTGACCTTTCCCCTTGAAGTCAAACTCATCATATCATCTGTGCTTGTTTCACATTTGACAAAAACACCAGACCATCATTTATTTATTTTTCTCTTTTTAATTATTTTTTTAAGTAACAATGATTTTACTAAAGAGGAACTTTTTTTTTCTTTTTTTAAATATAAATCTCCATCAAATGAAACAATTAGTGGATGTTGGATCCATAATGCAGACTTTGAAAGAAATCATGGGAAATATCAGATTACTGATACAAATGCTGATTTACATTTTATAAAAAAAAAAAAAAAATGTATTAAATCTTTCTTTTGGATTGGGGATACAAATTGTTTGCTTATTAGTTATGTTGCCTTTCTTTTTTTGTTCAAATGGTATGCCCTTTAAACAGAACATTCCAACCACCAGGACATGCATGTATATTAATGGGACACTATAGCATGTGGAATTCAAACATATATTGCTAATGCTATAATGCTCCTAGTTAAATTCTGAACCACACCCCCATCTTTGCCATATATTTAATTATGCTTTTTTAATTTATTTTTTGTATTGGGATTATATCTAAAAACAGCTTGCAGAGCCTGCAGGTCTCTTGTCTGTTACCGTTGCAAACCCTTCCCTTTTAACCTGGCCAATAATTTATGTGGCTGTCGAATCACATACATTCCAATGCAGCTCAATGAGAAGTCTCTGTAAGGCAGGTGCTCTGAGCAGTTGCTGCCTCTTGCGTTTAGCTCCACTGAGCCAACCAAACCAGGAAGTAATATTACCTGCTGCCTGCTTGAACACCAAGTACAGTAGGTGTAAACAGGTTAATTTCTTAAAGTGTCCCTTTCTATTGAAATTTTCACTTTTTGCAAAATGAAATAAAGAGGACATACTCTTCATTCATAAATATTTTCAGCAAACTAAAGTGCATTTGCAGTCTGTGTCCCTTTAAATTCAAGCAAATGTGTACTTGGACATAGCTTTAGTAATGCAATAAGTGCACTCGCACCATTCTTGTTGCACTGCAGGCCTTAAATAAGCGGAAATAAATGTGCTTGTTGTACCTAGGTGTTATTGCAATGATATGCAAATTAAAAAAATATGAATATTATACTACGGAGATTTTTCAAAAGCAGTACACCCAATAGCTAACTTTTTAGTTAACTTTTTAGTTAGCTAATCCGTTTTGTAAAAATATCACTACTGAGAGTTCTGCTTTACCTTTTAAATCTCATGTTTTGTTTTTTTGTTTTTCTTTTTGTACCGATATTCCATATGCTGTTACAGTTCTGTGGATTGAATTCTAAGACATAAAAAAGGTTGCGCCATTACTGGTGAGTGACGATATGCTGCATGCAAAGTTATTGTGCTTAAAAAATTCACTTGGCTGTCAAGAAAGATAAGATGCTATTGATCTGTACTTTCAGGTTCCTAAAATTGGCATATAAAAAAAAAAATACACATTTATTGCCATATAAAAGATACATTTCCCAGTGGTTGCTGGAGATGAAACTGTTGGTTCTGTTTCCTAGCCTCCTCTCCTCCAGCCCTTCCACTGTGCACTCACTGCCACCCACGCACATGGTGGAATGTTGAGTTAATAAGTGCACATGCTTTGGCCAGATGGGATCGGAACTGCAAGGAGACAAAGTCTCCATGCTAAGTTCTACTTGTGCTGCACTGTGTGTGCATCTGCAAAGTCTATATGCACTGCCACCTCTGCATTGTTATTGTTCCATTACTGGTCACGTGGGAGGAATAGCAGGAACTGCACTACATTGACCAAGCCAGAGGAGTGGAACAATGCGAGCAATAACTCTCTCAATGTAACATATTAATCTTTTAGAAGACTTCTCTCAGATCCTGTCCGTAATGCCATAAGCTGATTAGTAATATTTACGTGCACTATGCTTTGTTTTGTTTTGTTACACACAGGGTTAAACCATATTATAGAACTTTTTTTTAAAAAATTATCTTCTCTTAACATATTGTTCTTCACCCATTTTCTCCTAGAATGCACTGTTCTGACCTTGTTCCTTCCAAGTATGGACTCCCCTTTTCACCTTCCTTTTCCTGCCCTTCCCTTGTACTGCCAATAAATCTTTGTCTCTGGGAGAATTTTTGTGCTGTAAATAAACGATAATGAGCCATAGGCAGCAATAGGGTTAAGGTGTAAATTGGAATTTCCTTGGCTAATAAAATACTGGACAATTATATGCTAAACTGTTATCAGTGCCATCAGTTATACATAGGGAGCTGGCACTGTCCTGAACAGAGGAATAATAATAATATTCAGAATATTTCTCTTGATCTCCTGCATTTGGTTCATTTCCTCTTTCCCTCTCTGGTTTTGTTCATCACTGGCGTTTATTTCCGTTTCACTTACTGACTCATCATATCGTCGCTCATGTCTATGATACAGACTTTTCCAGAGAATTCTATTGCAAAGGTTACAAAATGTTCTCCCGGCCCAGTTCATAAAGGTACAGTGGAGCCTCTTGTTTACTTCCTGGATGCTATGAGCCACATTGCACAAACTTCCTTTTCAAAGGCAGTCCATAAAATACTCACTGGGAGCAGCCATCTATGTTTTTCTTAGTAAAAGGCAAGCAGTTTAGGTAGTGTAGAAAAAATTACGTCTTATATGTAAGAATTTTTATATATCTATATATTTTTTGTAAATACATTGCTTCATCAAATCACTTTGAGCATTGGAGCCATAGAACAAAAAATATATATATTTGTTTAGTTTTCTTTTCACGGCTGGAAACAATGATTCTTGAGAATTGCAATAATTAGCAAGTAAGAAAACCAAATTGGTTTATGTTACTAACCCTAATATTGAGTGAGTTTCATATCAGTCCGCCGTCAACTAACAGGTGTGTACTGTGGCTGTGTGTGTGTGTATAATTTATTTCCAAGACCTGAGGAAAACTTGGAAAAGCTTGACTTTTAAGAATTTCGTTAGTCCAATCTAAAAGGTATCGTTGCATACTGCAATACCCTCTCAGGGTTAAAATGACAGGACCACTGCACCCATTCCACTTCATTAAACTCTTTTCCGACTAAACAGACTGTGAAGTTTGAAACTTATTTATTTTATATAACAATTCTTACATAGTGCCCTTATCAAGAGCACTTTACATAGATTAATAAATGATACATTAATTGATAGCATATTGATACAGCCATTGAGTTGCAGTATAGATAAGTATAATACGTAGAGGAAATATCATTATGAATACAACAACAAAGTAACCTAGAACAAGTAATTAAACAACAAAGTTTCATTGAACTATTGTATATTCTCCTCAGATGTGGGAGGTCAGGAGTATCAGCATGAAATGTACACGTATTATTGACCAAAATAACCTACACTATTGATATGGTTTATGAACTTCCCATTGTAAAAAGAGCTAGGGAAAGTTCCCAAAATTAAACCCCCTTTTCTTCTTTTTTCTGCTTATTGAGATTTTGGTATTTTTTAAAAGTACATTTTTGAGTGATTGATTCTAATCCCTACAGGTGTGTAAAAGGTTGTATGTTTACAGGCAGATTACTAGTATTCTTATCACAAAGTAGTCTTATCAGATTTATAGTAGTCTTATCAAAGATTAGATAAAGCTTTTAGGAGGCTTTGAAGAGCAGATGACCTCTGGAAAATGCCACGTGATTAGGAAATGGCTTCTAAAAAGTTTTTAACTGACCTGTAATCCTAAAACATTTTAAAACTTTATTTCTCTCTTAAATAAATAGTAATGCAATCTAGACAGAGATAAGCAGGGCAAGGAGGGAGTATAAATAGAAGAGGCGAAACCAATAAAATCGGGCAGGTTTATTACAGTGTTCTGTTGTAAAAATGTGGGATGAATTACTGAAATTAGGGCAATCACCATGGAAACCAGCAAGCACCATTCCATTGGTCACTTTTCTCCTTTTACACATTTTGCTTTGCTTTGATAAATCTCACCCAATGATTGTTTCTCCTCTCCCAATGCAATGTGTGCACTACCTGCGCCAGGATTGAAATGGATTATAATGTCAATTTCTAAATCTTTAATATACATTTAAAAGAAAAGCAGCGTCACATTAAAAGTTACCACTACTTATGGGTGCTTTTCACTGTTTTAATACACTACATTTCCCCAAATTGAGGGAAACATTGCACTCAATATCCTATTTGGAGTATAGCAACAGTATAGAGTACTCACCAGAACTAATACAGCTTAATGTTGTGTTTATGGTGCAAGGAGTCTCTCAGTGCAGTCTCTCTGCTTTGATGAAACTGTTTTCCAGAATTTTGGCAACATCCGGGGTTTCCCCGGTACCATAAGCCCACCTCATTGCCTCTGACATTTTAATGTTGATTCTGGTCCTGGCATTTCATTTAGTTAGATTAATGCAACCCGTTTTCTTTATAAAGTAAAATGATTATTGTCCTGTTGACCCATTAAGCCTTTGTGAGTGCAAAAGTAATATTTAGTGAGATTGAGCAATGCTGATAAATTAACACTGATGGCATATTGAATATAGGCTTGTTATCCTATAAATGTGAGCAAAGAAATTTGAAGCTTATTTATTTCACAATGGAGCCACTGATAACGGGGAATGGTCTACACTGCCAACTTGCTGCAGCTATTGCTGTCGTTTATCAATTTGATCCTTGGACAATCTGTATGTCCTGATGGGTTTATCTCTCAGTCCTAGGGGCATTGGTCATGCTTTGGTGGGTTTGCGAGACATTGCATTTGATGTGCCTTGCTGGGAGCTCATGTTGGGAATCTTTACTTAAGATAAGTTGCTGAAATGTTTGCTTTGTAACAAAGTTTACATTTTGTCAAGGTTCACATCAGTATCAAAAGCAAACAGTAAGTGTGGATTCCCAGGGACACTGGGCCTTTCAGACTTTGCTGAAATGGTCAAAGTGACCTTTGCTTTTTCTGTGCAAACAACAGGCCCAGAAACAAGTCCTGCAGCTATTGTAGCCACTGTGTTCTTTGTTAATTCTTTGTTGTAAAGTTTGCCAAGAGCTGGCTGGTTTTACAATGTCTAAGCTTTGTAATTTATTTATTTTTTGCCACTTGTTAATGTTTTTCTAACTCTTTCCAGATCTCAGACTAATTTTGCAGTTTCCTGTGTATTGATCACTTTTACTTAAAGTATTCATCCAGAATTGCTTCCCCATATTCCCTGAAGGCAGAATAAATAGTTCTTTCGACTAACACATGATGTGAAAAAAGTCTGGATCTAAAAGTCAAAGCAAATGTTTAGGAGACAAAATTCATCCTTAATCATGTGTTTTATGTGTCCCAAAACACCCACATTATATTCTTAATTTTATCTATTGCTCTTTATCACTTTTCATGTCCCCGATGCAGTCATATGGCACCAAACATGTCTAAGCTCCTCAGTAATAGTTAAGCTTTCATTTTTAGCATATACAACAAGAGGTATGTATTGGCTATTGAACAACTATTAATGTGGAATGTAACATAAACTGACTGCACTTGCACATGTATGTTTAGTCCTTCTATATACTGTAGTGCTTTTCTATGTTCTGCAATGTTTTCAATTCCAAATACTTTCTTTTTTGTTGTCATGAAAGCATCCCTTCAAAAAGGATACATAGAGCTAGCAAAATATTGCAAAAAAAGTGCATTTTTGCACTGGTTACATTTGAGGTACTCCTTTTGTTCTTTTCAATTCACTGGGCATTGAATTAACATCAGATCTTTTATTCAGAAATTGAGTATGTTATAGTTCTTGTCAGTTATGCAACTTGGGGGAAAAAAATAGATTCCTTTTTATTTCGACATTTTCACTGCGGTCAGATAGTTGGGAAACAATGTCGGTGACTATATGCTGCTTATATGCAAAAGGAAAATCTTGTTAAAGTGCTAAAGACAATTTGCCATGGAAGATGAAATGTGTTTGATGAAAAGAACAGATTTTCTGTTCGACCCTTGTTTACAATAGCTGTATTAAATTTATTTTGCGCTACCGGTTCACAGTAATTTAGGCAGTGCTCTCCTGCTCTTATTTAGTTATTTTTTTATTTTTATTTTTTTTAAACTTAAATCCAAGAACATACTTGAAAACTAGAGAAATCTCAATGTTTCCTTCCTGGTAAAATATTTTATAAATAAAAACATTTTATAAATAAAGTAGTACATCTAAGTATTTAGCCAACTTTTCCCTGTTTTTCAGATCTGTATTGATGTACCTGTGATTTTCAGGGAGTCAAATTAATCCATAGATTGTCAGCTCATTTGAGCAGGGCCATCTTTAACTCTTGTCTCTGTAATAGTCTGTATGTCAGTCTCTTATTGTCAAATATCCCCATTTTATAATCGTAAAGTGCCGCTGAATACGTTGGCGCTATACAAATGCTGCAGATGCTGCTACTACTAATACTTATTATTGTCCGAAAGCATTAACTGAATTCTTCAAAGTTTAACCTAAAATGTGATATTGCCTTTGAATTCCTTACAATTCACACTGTAATGAATACCACTGCTAGATGCCTGATTTGAACATTATTCAAAGCAAAATCATCAAATTCTCTGATGTTGCTCAAAACCTGCAGAGATGAACCTAGTTTGAAATGCTGTTAATGATCTTGTGGTAATTTATGGTAAGAATGTTGGTCTTGAATATTCGCTTGGATGTTAATCATACTGATGTAAATCGTGTAAAAAACACTTAACCTTACATCATGTGGTGATTGGTCCTCTGCGTTTTAGAGTCTGTTGTGCAAAGTCTCACTTTTTTCACTAATAAAATAGATCTACTTCCAGCTTGAGTGCTCGCTTGAAATCATGCTAGTTATTTAAAAAATTTGCTTGTCTCAATTGAAATTACGTTTTTTTTTACCTGAGGATTCCAGAATGTTGATATAAAACTTCTCGCCCCACAGAGGTCACCTGGTTATCATGTTTCTTTGACTGTCTATTAACCTGGGTGTGGTAATGGCCTTCAAGTGATATCTCTGAGGTAATTACACCATTCCAGGCAAGCCACATTCAAGCTCCAAAATACTTTAATTATAATAATAATAGGTAAATCTGCAATAAATGTTTTTCAAAGTAAATAACTGATTTGTTATGGTCCTTCACTAGTTTCACTGCTTTGAGGTTTGTCTTGAATAGTAGAACTTTAGAAATGGGATAGCATCTAAACCATGTAGAACTGATTTGGAGTGGATCTTCTTTGAATTTCTTCCAACATTAGGAGGTATATAATTGGGGGTGTTTGGCATTGGATTGTAAGCATTTCAGTCTAGCATGTGTTGTGTTGGGCTGACTGACCACGTAGATTCTGCTAGTAGAATCTCTTTGCAGTAGGACAAAGTTAGTCTTTAGTAAAACCAAATTGAAGCGAAATGTTGCTCTAAAATATAGCTTTCACCAGAGTTGGCATGACAACTTCCAAATATCTACTACCTACTAGTTATTCATGTTGAGAAATGTGGGAAATGTAAAGCTTTAAATAGACATAATAGAACGGAATTGGTTCATTTGTATTGCCTCATGTACACAGTATATTTAAAAAGATTAAATAACATAAACTTGCATTCGAACTAAGTATCTAAAATTGCAGCACTTGCACAGGTAGAACTCTGCTTGACCAGAAAGACAGTCCACCAATCAGGAGCCTCTCATTATTTTTCTTTTCTTTTTTTTTTCTCTTATCCCATAATCCTTTGTCCTTCAGAACTTTGTGGGATACATAGTTTAACCTGCTATCGTAGTTCTGCTCATCATGTAGGATGAAGAGAACAATTCAGCAAGCTGATAAGAAACAAAATACTGTTGCTATCAGCCTTTTGACACCTCAATTCTATGTGCAGCAATGTCCCCAGCAGCCAACACGTGACTATTGGAGCAGCCATTGCTTGAGTTTTTCCAATGGTTGTGTGTGTGTGTGTGTGTGTGTGTGTGTGTGTGTGTGTGTGTGTGTATATATATATATATATATATATATATTGCACTATAACACATTTACATTACTGTAGTGATAAAAGATTTTCTATATATGATAACATTTTATCCCTATAGTACTCAATTTTATATGAAACAGGTCACATTTTCCCATTATTTTGCCACTGGGAATAATGGAAGAGGGATGGGGAGTATTCTTTTGTACAGTGCAGATAGGGTTTTCACTTGAAAATCTGTGTGAGCTGATTAGCAAAATTTGTTGTAATTGTAATCAATAAATCACACTCATTGAGCTTTCTATGTGACTTAAGAATATCATTGTATGAATGACGAGCCTTTTGAGATTTCTTCAGCGACACGTTCCTTTGCCAGCTATCTTTGTCAGAACTGGCCCATTGCTCTTTGAGCAGAGACTTCCTGGCACCAGGGAAACAGAGAAGAAAAACACAGATTCCTTTTATGAACTTTTCTCTGGGAAAATGGATTCAAATAATAACATGCTTGAATCTGTATGGAAATCAAGACTTTAACCCCTTCAAGGCCGGCGACTTGTGAGGATGGTCACAATTACAAGTTCCTAAAGGGGTTAAATAATGTAACACTGATTTTGACAACTTGACAAATAAAGTTAGCCAAGCTCCATTTGGAGCTCTCAGCTCTCCTTCCTTCTTAATGCAACTACTGGCAGTGCTACACATGTGAAAGTGCACCATATAACTATATGGGAGAGATCCAGTGAGATGTTTGCTGTCACTGGGATTTCCCTGCACACACAGATTTCATTAATATTCTCTATTGTGCTTCACTTATGGCTTGACGCGTACATGGTCATCTCTGCTAGCATATGTCTGCATATATAAAAATTCTCTTGCAACTAAATTGCAAAGGGCACATACATTCTTTGTTCCTAGAAATTCTCTCATTATATGCCAACACATTCTACAATTATACACATGCTTATTATATATACAAGCTGTCCATATCTATTGATAGCTAGATAAACATCTGATATTTCTGGGCAGAGCCTACTCTGAAGAAATAACCGTAGTAAAAAAAAAAAATAAGGATTAAGGGTCAACAAGTGCAAACATTTTAAGATAAGCCAACATTCGTCCCAGGTCATCTGAGTTGAAACTGTTTTTAAAATCTATGCTTTGTGTTACACATACAATTTCCGGGACTATTTGTGGAGACCAACAAGGCTACCGTTTGAGACATCGCCCACCAGTTCTCCATTTTTATTCTTTGTATATACACATCAGTCTAGACAAATTGAAGGATGGAATTACTTTTTTGTTTTGTTTTGTTTTTTTAAAGCATTGTTTGCACAGAGGCAGTATGTGGGCAGTTGTTCTCATCAACACTTGTTATTTCGTTGCTAGTGGTTCCAGCTGATGAATGTCTGCGATACAGAATTCAGGTGTTTATTTTGCAATTGTTCTAATCTAGTTTATGTACTTTTTTAATAGCTGTCTCATATTTAATTAAAATATGCTGCTGATTGCTTTGTTTTCATTTGTTAATGTGGAAGACTTGTAAAAACTATTTTTGAGGACCTCCGTATTAAATCAGTCATGGATGAATTTAAATATATTATCGGAGTCAGCTGGATCATTTTAAGAGTCAGCCTGATTTTATCAAACGCCAGGAATGAACAGTGAACAGAGATCTGTTTTAAATGGACGGCTTAAAATATGCTCCTGTTTGAAGCTTACATGACATAACACTTATACAATGACCTCTAATTTTAAGTGTACTTGTCATTGAAATATTACATAGAATGGCTTCACAGAATAACATTTAAAGCAGACTTGTCAGCCAGAAAAAGGTCAGCGTTGTATGAAAAGTTTTTGCAGGAGGGAGCAGCAAATGTCAGATATGTATATATTTTTTTAACATATACTTTTAGTGGCATTTTCCCCAATACAATATGCAGATTAACTTTGGAGACAAACCTGTTCTGACCTTATCTTCAATGCTTTTTCTGAATAACGAGAGTGAATGAGCATGCTTTATTAGGATTACGACTGAGAAAGAATTATGACAGTTCTAGTTGTGTAATGAATTGGTCATTGTGGCTACCTGCTAATATAATAATAAGGCCAATGAGATAGCTCAGTGGGCTAATGCAACATCAGTAGAATCTGTTCAACCCTTGGGGGTCGCAGCTTCAAATCCCAGCAGGGTTGACTTAGCCCTTCATCCTTCCGAGGTAGATAAAATGATTACCATTAAATCGGGTAATAGTAACAACCCCTGGATTGTGGGCCAAGGTAAGATCCCCAGGACATACTTGCAAACCAGAGTTGTCTGAATGTACAGTTCCTGGTTAAATACTTTATTATTATTATTCTGTGTAACATTCATTCCACAACATTGCATTTACCTCCACTATGTTCTATATTTGCTAGCTATTTGTTTGGTTTTGTGTGGCTTTGTTTTTCTTGTGAAATCACAATCGATTGTGTAATTTAGCCTTAATTTCATAAATGTTATCCTAAGCCTTTGCTTGATAGGCAATATTTACATTCAGAGGTCAAATTAAATTCTCTAAACTTTAAAACCTAGCTAAATTATTCATTCAATCTGAAAACACTGGTAGCGTTTTGTTGAACAAGCATTTTTACTATAGCAGGATTGGTCCTTGAATACATTTTTGACCTTAAATAGTATTTAGTTTTAGGATTTCCTGTATGAGTTCATGTTGTGTGTGTGTGTGGGCTGACCATCCCCCACATAGTGGGATGCTTATATTCCTCTTAAGGACACTTTCTGTACATCCGTATCATGTGCTGAGTAATCTTGGTATTTAAAGGCCATACAGTTTCTTCAACCCTTTGAATTCTGAGTTATTCGAAGAATGACATCGCTATTTGGAGATTTCTGGCCCCAAGCAATGTGCTAAGTGGGTAGAATAAACATTGTGCATGTGTGTGTTTTGCTTTTTGTTAAAACTGAACCATTACCAGATACAAATATTAAACCTCTCTGCATTGCTCAAGTCCTTAAAGTACTGTTTTTTTTCTCTACATTGTATTTTTGCAGAGTTTAGCGTAGCACTAGGAACCATATTAACGTTACTGATTGCTAGATATGTGTTACATTGTTGTCCCTCTCTTATATGTGCACACACACGAGTGAAAAGATGTAAGATGTTTGTTGTGTGTTATAGAGAAACTAAATCCATTGAAGGGTTTTGGAGACCTAGTAATTCATGAGACTGAAGGCTGACTGTTTTTGAACAATGAGTTTTCAGGATACATTCCTTTTATTAAAGCTAAAGTAGTTGTAGGTAACGAAAGGAAACTCTTGAAAATACTGTGGTCCAAAAAAAAAGTTAATGCGCTACAACAAAAACAGAGAATGTGAGAACTCTGAGAACAGACAAAAGCTTAGTCTTCAGTTTAGTCACAGTTTAGTCTTTGGGTAGTCTTCGCTCGAGTCTCAAAAATAGTTTTTGCTCACTTTACCATTGCACATGATATTGAACCCACCCATGAAAGCAGTCTAGAACCGAAATGCCGGCAAGTTCTATCTGCACGAGAGATGCAGCAACCCCGAACAATGTTTCAGGACCTCATCAGCGTGGTGTAACTGATACCCCTCTAGACACAGTGAACACAGGGTCCACGTGTGGATTTCCTTTCTAACTTGAGGAGAGACACATTAATGCATTGCAACAAAAATTGAAAACATGAGAAAAGACAAAAATAGAGAAACTCAATAGCTTGCCCTTTGTTAAATTCACATTGAGATCTGAGCGGGGACCCACCAAGGGCAAGATACTTGAGCTGCTGTCCATTCTCCAAATTCTCTTGCACCCTGTTTTTTTGCTCTCTTCATGGTGCTATAAGGGTATTGGCTATAACTCACTGACGAGGACTACAAGGCCAATATAATTGTGTGGGGCTGCTGTATTTCTCGTGCAGAGAGAACTGGCCTGCATTTCGGATTTGGACATTTTTTTATTTTTTTTTGGGTGGGATCAGTCTGATATGAAAATGGTCTAGGTTCTCTATGTAATGACACAAGATGAGTTAAAACCAGCTTGAGATCTGAGCAGGGACCCACCTACAGGCAAGCTCCGTGAGCTGTTCATTATTCTCTTGCACCCAGTTTTTTGCTCTCCCAAAAAGAAAGTTGTTGAGAAATATGTTGCAGAATACTGCAGCTCACATAATTAAATGCCTTGGGACATTTTCAGTGGTTCTCAGTTGATAACACTCCTCTAAAGTGTCTGTTATACAAGATCCCCAAGTGCTAATCAGATTGCTCCTATCCCTATACATTGTGGATAAGGAATGAAAGATGTTAATATAGTCTAAAAAAATGAATGGATCAGTCAACCGGAGGCCGATGTATTTCAGTGCAAAACATCTCAATTAAAAGTACATTGATCAGTCAGTCATAGTGCCACTATCTAACTCGTTCTGTCCATTGTATGTAGAAGTAATCATACAGAAGGCAACTTATACAAAAACATTTTCACAGCACTACACAGGAAAATCCTATTACAATCAGTTACGACAGTATAGCCCGATGTTGTTTTGCTTCTGATAATAACAAAGAAGAAACTCGTGTGTCCAAAATTGCATATATGTGTGTGTGCATGCTTGTGTGATATGCAAAAGACTTTAATGGTTAAGTTTAATTATTTAACAGTAAACATCAACATATATATTCTTATAATGCTATAAGTGTTGCTGGTGCAATGATTTTTTTTTAACCTATTTTATTTTCTCGAAATGCATGCTTCTGTGGTCTAGCAGTCTCTTATGTGTCTTTAGAAATGTCTAAAACTTGAGAAGTTAAGGGGGGTTGCTTTTACTTAGGGTTGCGGGGTTCAGCACCTGGAGGAGTTGAGGTGATAGGAGTTGAGGTGATACAGTACAGGGTTGTTCACTAAAGTGAAAATATAAAGCAAATTTCAAATTTTTGTCCAAAATGCAGCTATTTTGACCTTAAATTTTAAATTCAGTTTGAATTCACATTTCCGTGATTACCCTTGTCTGTATGCCGTGCCTTTCTGAGCTCCCCTTTACTTTGTGATTTTATTTTGTTAAAATTTCAATGTGGGGTCATGGACAGGCCTTCAACCCCTATCTGGCAGAATTCATAGTAGATTAGGTTTAGTGGAAATAGTTTTGTTCTCAGGGGAACTCCTCTCTCTGTTATCTTACTAGCATTTTTATTCATACCATCCGCACTTTATGGTACTAAACTTTCACCTGTATTGATAAAATCTGTTACTTGGTTGTGCGCGGAAGTGATGTGTTCGATGGAATTGGCACAGAGTAGAATGATGTAGTCTTACTTTGGGAAGGAAGTTGGCATAGCTGAATTATTCACAGATCACTCATTAAGTTGCGTCAACAGAAGCCCGATTAGTGGTTGAAAAAAACGAATGTGTATTTTGGTTATTCATTTTCCACACACAAGCTATTAACTGACATACACAGAGCAGGCATAGTCTGCTCTGAAACTTGGAAATTTAAATACTGAATGTGAGGTTACGAAATGATTGCCATAAAATCTCCAGCACAGTGCTCTTTTGTTTTACTTCTGCGGGAAAGACGTTGCCTGATAAACGTAATATGGCATGACAAATTTCCTATATCCTGTTATCTCATTCTTTATTTTTTTTCATGAGAACTTAAGGCCAGTTTAACTCTATCCACCCACATTACTTATATGTTCTAAACCGTGTTGCTCGAATTTTTAATGATGAGGAACACATTTCAGTGAACGGCCTAAATTTGGGGGCTGAACACTATTAAATCTGTGATACAATAACATACTGAATGTGTAAACTTTTCAGACTGAATGAGTCCATGCAAAATCCTTTGACGAGCATATTTGGCATCCTCAAGTTGGAGAGTTAGGCAGCTGATGTTATATTAAGCCATCTAGGGCCAAATTTTGGCCACGGGTTTACAATGCTTTAAGTTAACGTACGTTGAGACTCAAGGTATAGTGATAAAAATTTGATTTAATTTTGCACAATTCATTTGCATTCAGTTGCTAAAATACAGTTGTAGTTCCTCTGTAGAACACGACCGACCAGTTGCGTACCAACTTGAGACAAATGGATCATTTCAAAATAGCTCAACTGAATTTCAGCTGAATTATAACAAAATGTTCCCGCTGCAAAAAATTGGTAATGAAAGAGGATTCTGGAGGAAATTAGAGTTGATGTATCTTTAAAGGGTTAACGTGGGTTTGAGGTACCATTAGGATGATTTAGGATTAGGAAGGCTTAGGTGCAATTTCCCTGTTTTGTACCTAATAATGAAGGATATTTGGTTGCTATTTCACTGTTTGTGAATAACTGAATCCTCCATATTGTGTGTAGCTGCGGCTGATTTCCACAGACAACAGTCAAATGGAATTTACAGGGCATCTTTCGGATGGAGCAACCTTCTCTGGCATGGTCCACCACCAACTAGCATAAAGGACGAGTTCTCCAACCATCATGATTATCCCTCAATCACATCACTCCCCTTGTGGGATGTCAGGGAGGAAATAGAGATCTCGGGTGGCTCGGAGGAGGGCGTTCCGCCTTTTTTTTACTGTCTGTCGCCAGCATGCTCTACGCCAACTATGCGCAGAATTAGAATTAGTTCGTTTGGAACACTTGTTCCAGGATGCAAGATGATGCTCCAATGAGGCCATAGTTCAGGTTACACCTATGGCCACCAAGTGCATTTTGGAACGTGTAGAGTGAAACTGCATACTCCAGACTCCAAATGTCATGACCACTTTTCATGGTGCTTGGAGTAACCCTTTAACTAACGAAGTGTTCCATTTATTAGGCAAATGGGTTAAAATGACTGAATTCTCACAAAAGAACCAAATTTGGCTGCTGTTCAAGTTAACATTTATGATTTAATGATAATACCTTTTGTTGAACACTGTGTAACTTTAGGAAATGGCCTCAGCCCAGGGCTATTGGCTACCAGAGAACTATGAGGGTGTAGTCCATCAACTGCTCCTTTTAACCCCTTAAGGACCAAACTTCTGGAATAAAAGGGAATCATGACATGTCACACATGTCATGTGTCCTTAAGGGGTTAAATAAAAAACTTGCTTTTCTTTACGGAATCTTGGAAATTAGCCCAGTTCATATAGTGAATATTTATGAATGTGTTGCTAATAGAAATGTTGTGAGAAAATTCTTAGTGGGGCAATCTCTATATATCACTGCAATCAGTGTATTGGGTGCTAATAGAACTCAGTAACACTTTTACTGTGGATAAACTTTCATAAATTCACACCAAGTGTATCTTCTAGTTGAAAACATTTTCAAACAACACTCTAAAGACCATAAATACTACTGCCCATTGTAGTAGTTATGGTGCGAGCATGTTAGAAATGCTGTCATGGTTCCATGTCAATAGTAGTAATATGAGGGAAACCGCACTCACCAGGCTGCCAAGGTGCACCGGATCCAGGGAAGGCCAAGCCCCATGTCAAGTATGATATAAAGTAGTGGTCCAGGCACTCAACGTGATAGTTAAGAAAGCGGTTTTATAGGAGCAAACAAACTAGGTTTCGACCTGACCGGCAAACTTGTCAAAGACCCAAATCGGGTCGAAACATTGCTGTTTGTTTGTTCCAATAATACTGCTTTTTTTTGGCTGTCACCTTGAGTGCCTGGACCACAACTTTATTTCATGATTCCATGTCAAACCATTTTTAAGCAGTTTGTTAAAAGTTAAAGTACCTGTGGAGCAGCCCCTTACTTGCCATATTGTCCACAAAGATGTTTTTTTCCTGCTGTAACAAAACCCATTTGATATATTTCACAGTTATGCATTGTATTTTATATATCTTTTTTTTATTAGGTCGTGGATGTGAACATTCATTGATGAATGAATGAACATTTCAGCGATGATGGCCGACCAGCCTCCCCCCTTGGAAGCCACACCTTTAATGAATGAAGTATCTCTCCTACCTCCCATGGTTAATGGGGACAGCACACAACAGGTAAATAGCCTGCTGTAGCCACTGTTACTCCAACACATTATAGCTTGCAAGCCCTTTGGGCATTATAATTTTAATTTGACACTCATGTTCTCAAGAACTGTGTTTTCAACCCATTCTTCTTGGCACATCAACTGTGTAGGGTTTAGTCCTTTCTCAATTGCGTTCCGAGAGGGATAATGAGAAAGCTTGTACTGTTAGTGTGAACTGGGTATGGAACATCTAATCTAGATTACTATAGTCCAAACCCAATTCAGATTTTCGTATTGAGGATTTTCACTAACATAGAAGAATCATTGTGGGTACCATTAATTTAATTGGTTTGCCTGGTGACTGCTCTGTTCTTAGAATGTTGTGCTGTCTTTCTACTTCCTATTCTTTTGTAAATTCTCTCCAATGTTTTAAAAATAATTGTGTAGGTCAGCTACTGACCTTCAACTTGTAGGTGATCTAGACCTCCTAATAACTTTTGCTAGCCACTTCCTTTGTTTTTGTTTTATAAAAATGAGTCTGCTAACAGATGGTCTTTTATCACCCCTTGACTGTCACAGGAGTCTGCTGTGTTAGCGATAGTTTGCCACAAGGATGTGGTTTTCTGTGTCATTTTCAGTTTTTTTTGGTGGCCCTAAAATTCCATGTGTGTGCCTAAAGAAATTTCCTAGAATTTTGTGGACTTTTCTATCCATCCGTATTTGGACAGTAACCCCAGATTTTATGATTCAGATATGTGAAATGAAAATATAACGGAGTTAAGATTCGAATCATCTGAGATTTGCCATAAATAATGTCTGAATTACAGCCCTTAGCTGTAACTCAATTTTAAAGAGACCATAAGAATTTTACATAATGATAAAAGAATCACCATGATTTTAAACTAAGTTGTCATGTTTATTACTCGATTGAAAGAAGTTTGCCATCTATAACTGTAACAAAATAAAAAAACTGAATTGTAAGATGTCACCAAAAATTGCAAATTTGAATAAAAAAAAAGGAAATGAGTTCAGCTATAGTCAAGTCTGTTATTTTAGCCTTAATTTTACAATAGTTATCCAAAGAATCTGGCCATCTTTCCTTTTTTTGTTTTTGTTTTGTTTTGCGCTAAGTCTGTTCTAAACTTTTGTTTATTATGTGCCTCTCTAAACATTAATAAAACATGCTAAAACAAATTAAAGGCATATAGTTGAATGTGAACAGGTACAGCTGTCTACTTCAGATTTTCTGCATTCACTGTCAACAGTGAAACGTGAGCCTTCACTCGTGGCATTCATACATGCCCATTTCATTACAATACCACTGGCATGTGTTACAAATGACGTGGCATAGTGTGAATTATCCACAGTTCCTTTCTTTTCCTGATCTTTTCTGTTTTCATCAATCTGGTACATTTTAATCTTGTCTCATCTATCCAGAAGGCTTTGTTCCAGAATAAACATACTTTTATGCAAATTATAACCAAGCCAAATATATTATTGTGGCTTACCAGTGATTTGCATCTTGTGGTAATCTCTCTGATGTTCTGCTCATGTGGTCCTCTGTTTATACCGTATGCCACTTCTATGTCTGCATTCTAGAGAACATTTGTCTGTTTTGTAGCTAAACATTTACTTGATTATGGGGAAATATTTTGTGATCCACTAGCAGTTTTTGGCTGATGCTGAACTTTCTGATCTGTTCATGTTTTAGTGGTTTTGGGGCATAGAATGTCCCTTTAGGAAAAAGGAACAGACAATTAACCTGTAAGGGGATGGGGGTATCCATTTAAACTAAGGGACTATGTTAAATTTTAAAAAGTGCTGTAAATTCTATGGTGTTCATGTCTTTATGGATGCTAATACCCTAGAATGTGGTACAGAACCAAAACACAGTTTGTGGAGCTTTAATGTTTAAAGGCACACTATAGTGCCAGGAAAACAAACTCGTCACTTACCTGGGTCCAGCTCCTGGGTCAGCGCTGACTCAGCTCTGTCCACCCTCCTTCCCCGCCAACGTGGCTGCGTTCGCACTTGGATATCTCCATAGAAAAAACATTATTCACTGCTTTCCTATGGGGATTTCGGTGGTGCTGGAAGTCCTCATGCATAGCGTGAGTACGTCCAGCATCGTTTAAACAAGCAAAAGTCGCCTATCCACCCCGAAGTCCCTCTTGTGACTGTCTGGTAGACAGTCACTAGAGGAGGAGTTAACTCTAGCAGGTAGTTATTGCAGTTTATAAAAACTGCAATAATTACATGATCAGGGTTAAGGGTGATGGGAGTTTGCACCCAGACCACTTCAATGAGCTGAAGTGGTCTGGGTGCCTACAGTGTCCCTTTAAGCAGAAATGCATAACTTCATTATTTGAGATATCATTGTATCTGAGCTATTAAAAATAAATTAATAATCTACACCCACATACTACATTTTCTATCATTTCTTTTCAGTAACCAGAGCCTTTGGGTGCCTTTTTTAACTACAGTTGCCCTTATCGAATAGATGTAAATATTTAAGTCTTAAAAAAGGAAACATATTGTAAACTTTTGCACAAAAGTTCAAAGATGGTGCTTATCACTATTTCAAAACAACCACAGCCACGAGCAAGCTGGTATCAGATCAGTAACGATCTCCACTAAGAGAAAAAGTTTAAAAGATGCAGCCTTTAACAATGGCTACTTTACAACATATGATCAAAGGCTTAAATAGGAACATACGATTTACTTTCTGTTTAAAATAGATTTGATTGAAACAAGGCACCATAAGCATGTGGTTAATAAAAGTAATAAACCAACTCACCGACACATGCATTAAAAAAGTGTCCAGGGAACATCCAAGGCACCATAACAACTTAATTAAAATGAAGTTGGTATGTTGCCAGGAGGCCCCATGCAGCTCCCTTATCTATACAAGTTAAAATGTTCACGGACAGTTTAACCCCAAATTTGGATCTTCAGCATGGGTCCTCTTTGTCCCCGTTGGCATCTGTTGTCTAAAAGTACAAACTTTTTCATTAAGGAAAAAAAAGTGTATTGTTTTACCCATTTCTAGCTCCTAATAAAAAATATATATAAAAAGTGATTTCTGTAGACTTATCAGGAGGTGGCCTTGTCATGTACATATTTTATGCAAGAAATATCCACTGTTGGACGATCAGTGTGGTGTTCTGTATTAGGACATATGATATTGGTAGATCTTAATAAATATCGCAATATGATGTATTGTTCTCACTAGATGTAGAACAATATTTAAGGACGCTGGCATTGTGTCTAATAGAGTCTACATAATCTTATTGGAATGGTTGCATGTTATGTGCTATTTCAAATAAAATATGTTGTGAGTGTATGGTATGTAGTCTTAACACACATAGCTTTAGGGTAGAACTATGGTATGCTGAAAAGGGAGGAGATGATTATAGGGTGTAGCTGTATTGTGTGCTATCTCAGGAGGGGTAATGTATCTGGGTGGGTGTAATTGTACATTATTCTGTCCATAAGATTCTAAGTATATGGTGTATTGAGGATGAATGGGTGGCTGGAAGTTTGAGACACTCCCAAGTAGGGTCTTCCCGCAAGACATGTTCCTCATCTCTTGTCTCCTCTTCTCTACGTTTATTAGTAACGTATTAGCTTTTTAAATGCAATCTGTCATAAGGATTCTATCAAGTCATCCAGTGCGTATAGTAATACTGTGCTAATGGTCATGTCAGATTGTTGAAAGTGTAAATGTGGGGTCACCTGTATTCAGTCAGAGCTGTCCACAAGCTACAGTGCCAAGAGGGCACCGCAATCATCAAGACCTGAAATGTGGGCATCAATGGTTACTCTGAGCCTCTGGGTTAAACCCTGAGAGTAGCTATGTATGGTTACACAATAATATCCATTCTCTAGCTCTATGGTACGTTATTTTATGGGACTTATAGCTAAGGTATATTTTGTAGCATTATGTTATGCCTTTTTGTTGTTGTTATATGACTTGTATTAATTCGTCAGCTGTATGCTACGGCCTTTTTTAAACTAGATTAGAGAGGCTGGGACTGTTGTTACATTCTGTAACACGGTCTTTGGGCATGTTTAAAACTATTATGAGAGAGAGCCGTATCTGTGTTATACACTTTAACTTGCACTTTATGGCTATTTCATGTATTATGAAGTCTTTTGCTGTTATACACTTTAACATGGACTTTATGGTTGTCAAATGCTGTATTAGGACCACTCTAACAATATTACACACTGTGACAAGGGCTGTATGGTTGTTTGATGCCGTATTATGAAGGCTTTCTCTGTTATAAACTTTAACATGGACATTATGGCTGTTTAATGCTGTATTAGGACAGCTGTAACTATATTATACACTGTGACAAGGACTGTGTAGCTGTTTAATGCTGTATTAATGCTATGAAATTCTCTGTATTATGTTTTGATACATTTGTTAAATGTCATTAATTATTGTATGCTGTAACATGCCTCCATAACCATTCAATATGGTAGAAAGGCTGTAACTGTTGTATAGAATAATACTGACTTTATAGCTCTCTGACACTGCATTTGGAAAGCAGTAACTATGATACACAGTATCACTGGCTCTGCAACAATTTGATATTAAGGGGAATGGGGGGGGTTATTAAACGGACACTGTATTCACCACGACCACTTTATCTTGATCTGGGTGCAGTGTGTCTGTTCTTTTCACCATGTAATATAAAGCAATAGAGTCTTTAGAAGCTGTAATGTTTACATTGCAGGGTTAATTCGGCTTCTAGTGGTGCTTCCACGGCACTGATTGAGTAAAACTTGGTCATATGACGTAGACGTTCATAGGAAAGCATTGGGTACCTTTCTAGAAATAGTCCGCATGGAAGTAGTCTTGGCTAATCATGTAATCAGTACTGCTCTGAGTAAGGCGCACCTCTACATCTGACACTTGTAGCATCTGATTGGTAAGGTTTGTGTTTTATCTTTGTATGGAATCTCTATTTTAAAAAACAAACAAACAGAAAAATAGTGGTAATTTGCATTTTATTTCCCCAAATTGAGTAATACTTGACTGCTTTATTATGGAGTGTGGAACTAGTGCTTCTTTCATATTTAAAAAGTAAAGTATAACTAAAATAAACTTGGGTTATGAGTACATGACATGTACTGATCTGCTTTTACAAGGTTCCATTTTAGTATATGTCAAGTCTCTGGTATATGCCAACACAAGAAATTTGGTATATGTCAAGTCTGCGTATAAAAGAGTTGCGAGAGGCAATATTTTTCAGACATATGCACAGAGAGTGTCTAAAAAATCTCCACCCGACTGTCAGAACCATAGAAGGACAGAATGCAACAGGCAAATGTTTGAATGCACTTCTTCCATTTCAATACCTTCAAACATCATAGGTTAGAATTTTATTTTATTATACTTATAACTTTTTAACCACATCTGTAGCAGTTGCGTTCTTCAACCGCGTCTTAGTGACTATTTAACTGAGCTCTTAGAATTGTAACATTTTGATTGGAGTTGAGGTCATAAATGCGGTTAATATGGCTAGGTGTATCAAATTTCCCGGCCACGGCTGATGGTAGATTTCTTGGGCATCCGGGACATTTGTCTCCTTAAAACGTACATGTGCGTTTGTGGTTTTGTTTTCTGTGAAGGTTTCCTGTTGACTTATTTTACTTGACTTGTGAGTTCCCAGAGAGTTAATATACTGCTGCTATAAGGTTAAAAAAAATTGCCTGAGTCACAAGGAACAAAATCAATGATATAAGTTGCCATTTTTATTACCTGATCTTTTTTTGGTTGTTGTATTTAAAGTAGAAATTAGAACCAGTTCTTAGAGCAGTATTGTCCAGCATCATACAACAGTGATGGCGAACCTTTTTGAGCCAGAGTGATGACCAAACTGCAAAACTTGCCAACTTTTTTTTCCTTAAAGTGCCAGCACGGCAATTAAACCTGAATACTGAGGTTTAAAGGGACACTCCAGGCACCCAGACCACTTCTGCCCATTGGAGTGGTCTGGGTGCCAACTCCCACTACCCTTAACCCTGCAAGTGTAATTCTTGCAGTTTTCATAAACTGCAATATTTACCTTGCAGGGTTAAGTCCTCCTCTAGTGGCTGTCGAAAAGTGTGTTCTAACGAAAAATGTGTTCTAACGATGCTGGACGTCCTCATGCTATGTGAAGACCTCCAGTGTCGCCGAAATCCCCATAGGAAAGCATTGAAAGCATTATTCAATGCTTTCTTATGGTGAGGTTTAATGCACGTGTGCATTACGTCTCCCATGCCGCCGGTCACGCATGCGCAATAGGTCTCCCCCGCCGGCTGACGTCGGCGGGGGAGGAGCGTAGACAGAGCCTGACCCAGTGCCAAGGGACATCGGCACTGGATACAGGTAAGTCACTGAAGGGGTTTTAACCCCTTCAGCAACCTGGGATGGGGGGTGGGAGGGAGAGGGGACCTGCAGTGCCAGGAAAACATTTTGTTTTCCTGGCACTGGAGAGTCCCTTTAAGTTTAGATAACACAACTCATTCAGTTGTCCCGAACTAATTAACAACTTTTGTTTTAAAAGAAGAACACAACAACAGAGAGTTCAATGATATAAATTTAAAATAATGATATTAATAGATAAAATTAAGCTTATATTTATTAGTATCTCCAACAAATACAATACATACACACACAGTCTGCGGAATACGTACACTGCTGAATACACACACACACAGACTGCTGAATAGACACACACAGTCTGCTGAATACATACACTGCCAAATACACATACAGACATACTGCTGAATACACACACACACAGTCTGCTGAATACACACACACACACACACAGTCTGCTGAATACACACACACACACAGTCTGCTGAATACACACACACACAGTCTGCTGAATACACACACACAGTCTGCTGAATACACACACACAGTCATGCTGAATACACACACACACAGTCTGCTGAATACACACACACAGTACACACACACAGTCTGCTGAATACACACACACAGTCTGCTGAATACACACACACACAGTCTGCTGAATACACACACACACAGTCTGCTGAATACACACACACACAGTCTGCTGAATACACACACACAGTCTGCTGAATACACACACACACACTGCTGAATACACACACACACTCTGCTGAATACACACACACAGTCTGCTGAATACACACACACAGTCCCAAAAGCCGTACTACACCACTACATTTGATAATGAACACTGCTGCCAGCCTGATTTTCCTCTCACACCTCACCCCTCTGTCAGTCCTTACATTGACTTCCTGTATGCTACAGGAGTCAATTCAAGGTACTAATTCACACCTATAAAGCACTGAACAACTCTAGCCCCTCTTAGATATAATTCACACCTATAAAGCACTGAACAACTCTAGCCCCTCTTACATTTAAGAGGGGCTAGAGTTGTTCAGTGCTTTATAGGTGTGAATTAGTATCTTGAATTGACTCCTGTAGCATACAGGAAGTCAATGTAAGGACTGACAGAGGGGTGAGGTGTGAGAGGAAAATCAGTCTGACAGCAGTGTTCATTATGGACTGTAGTGTTCATTATAGATATAAGAGGGGCTAGAGTTCAGTACGGCCAACTCACGCTTGCAGGACTTCTCTGTGTGGAGCATTGCCATGGTAACACGCAGCAAAGCTCCACAGAGATAGCTCGCGGGAAGACAGGAGAGCTGCTTCCTAGATCCCTCCCCCTGCCCCCGGACACAGAAGCAGAGTAGGCGCCTTCGGTTTTGGGTATGCAGGTGCCTACTCTGCATTGATGCAGACAGCGGCCCCCTCTCCCGGCGACCTATGGCCGTGTGCCCACAGAGAGGGCCCGGTGTGCCACCTGTGGCACGCGTGCCATAGGTTCGCCATCACTGTCATACAACTCTTTGCTTCTTCTCTACTGTATGTTGTTAATCACAATTAGGACAAAAACATATCCCAGAAACAGTGACTGCATCATAGAATACACTTGATGTGTGTGCGTGAACAAATGTGTATGACTGGAATCAACGGGAGTCACTCATGCATGTGCAGCACAGCCACATGGTCTTCCATGTTAAGTTTTTTTTTTCTTTTTCTCTCATTGAGAGATTCAGAATCTCAGGATCCAAGCCAGAAACATTTCAGACATATAGTACAGTTAAAGTGGCTTGGTCACCACCCCCTTCCACAATTAGTATTCCATAAAGATAAAATCTTTCTGAAATACTCACATCGAGTACTGGAATTTCAGGGAAATTTAAGCACCGTCAATAGAAAACCAAGACCGTAGGGACTAGTGCTTAATAGTATATTTCTTATGCTTGACAAAATACAGAGCTACTGCCATTTAAATTTTGTAATTTCCCCCACTTGTCACTAGTGATGGCTATAGGGAAAAAGGCATGATCTATGGAGGGTTTCGCTGGATAGACCTCAGTGTTGGACTCTTGCGCATGCACGATTGTACAGCACTAATATGAGCAACTGGCCGGAAGACCATGGCGGCAGGCGTGAGGTACAAGTTCCGGTAAGTAAAACTCACTTTCCCTGCCCCTTTGCGACAACCAGACACCAAAGGAGCAGTCAATGTCAGGGGTCTTTGCAAAGACCCCATTCGTTGACAGAGCCGCTTTAAATTTGCAAAACTAGTAATTCGAAAATAACATTTAATTAATTTATTTATTTTTATGTAAATCAATAATAAGACATAGAGTGAAAAGAGATAAATTCACCATGAACAAAACATGAATGGAAATATGAGGAGTTATTGAGACTATTGAGAATAGCTATAAAGACTTGTTTTTTCAATTTCCAAATCATGCGTTATGTTCAGTAGATGTACGTGGTGTATTAAGGAATATGTCTATCCAGTTAAATCCAGGTGAAGTAGTTTTTTGGAGAAGTAGTCTTGTTAATGTATTCTAGTGCATGACATACTACATTTATTTTCCAGTTCCACATTCCAACTGGTTTAGAAAAGTATAATTTGAGACTTTTCACAATGGAAATGCTTTATTTGCCAAATACCAAAAGGTCAGCAGAGGTCACCTATTTGGCACAGTCCTATGGAACCAACAAATCACTGTGTCCGCCCTGGATTGCTCCAGTTTCATATCTGAAAATATATATTCTCCCTCTCCATATAAATATATATCCATATAGGTGATGGTCTGAACATCTGAATAGGGGATGTTTGTGAACTACATTATTTATTTATTTTTCTTTTTTCTAAAAACTAGGAAAGCATTTTAAACTGTAATGTTCTATTTAAAAAAAAGTGTCAGCTTCTCTAACATTCTTTCTTAGCAGTCATGGAATGCTGGGCTTTTTCAGTACAGGAAGTCGTTATTTTAGACTTCTAATGTTCTTGTAAGTGCCAAATATATTTATCAGTCATTTCCAATTTGCAGTGATCTAACTAAAAGTGCTAAAATGTTGATATGTGAATGACAACATTGCATCGGCAACTGCTTATTCATGAAAAAAATAGAGTTTACCAAAAGAACGAGGAAAAAACGTTTTATAGCTCTGCGTGAGTGTGGAGTAAACTCATCAGATTAATAATTGCATATAATTTTTCCTTTTTTTTTTTTTTTTGCCATGAATTCATGTAAACCAATTTTTATTTACTGCTCCTTTAAATGACATTTCTTTAAATATTTATCAAATAGTAAGTCTAAAATTGTGCAATTCTTTCATGACATCATGGGGTTAACATTTGGATCATGCCTTGCAGTATAATTTAATAAACCACTCTTTTTTTTTTTTTTTCTCTCTCTCTCTTGATGCCTGAAGGTGTGATGTACATAATATTATTCTTTTTGGAAACGGCACAGCACCAAGTGTGATCTAGATCATTTTTTTTCCAGTCATTTAAAGACATGAAAAGCATTTTTACTTTGCTTGTGTTGGCTTATTTTCTCAAATTTTCCATGACTTCATTGCCTGTTCTAATAGCGGCTAGGAACAATGCAATTAATCTCCCAGTTACATTGCTGGAATTTATTGCTTCACTCCTGCCATTGACATGTTCTCGCCACAAAAAATTATAAAAATGGGGCTGCAGATTGTTAAGAGCGAGACCGAAATTAGCTTCCACGCAAATAAACTATGCAGTGCCAGCTTTAATGTCCAACCGACTCCTCCACAACTGTGAAACAGATGTTGTCTCCTGTCTTTGGATTCTCCAGTTACAGAAATTTGCTGAAATAAGTTGTACTGCTGAAATTATAGTTGTCTTTTGCATTTGCCTGAAATGTTCCCTTGCTAAAATGTCTGGACTTATTCAGAAATTAGCAATCATGAATTTGGCAAAGTTCTAGAACAATTGTTGTAGGCACCCAGACCACGTCAGCTCATTGAAATAGTGTTGGTGCAGTGTCCCTGTTCCCTTAACCCTGCAATGTAAAACATTGTAGTTTTAAAGAACCTGCAATGTCAAGACTGCCTCTGAAGCGCATCCTACATTTTCACTGGAAACATGGAGTTTAACTCCATGAAACAGCGCTAGACAACCTCAAACTTTGCGTGAGGACGTCCAGCGTGTTGAAAAAAGCATTGAGTATAACATTAACAATTACTTTAAAGTAATTCTATAGTGCTAGCCATATTCCTGTCACTATAGCTGCCTCACGTCCCCGATCAACATGAATAAAGCGTAAAAAAAAAACTTTATTTACTTACCTGATCCCAGCGCCGATGACCCTCGATACTGGGTAGCAGCTCCGCCTTCTCCAACGTTACTGGCGAGGGAAAGCTAATGCACATGCATGGTGGCGTATTAGACCCTCTTGATAGGAAAGCATTACACCAATGCTTTCCTATAGGGAAATAGCAGACGCTGGATGTCCTCATGCAGAGTGTGAAGACATCCAGCATCAGTTACTTGACCAAAAGTCTGTTATCATCCTGGAAGTGCCTCCAGTGACTGTCTGGTAGACAGCCACTGGAGGCAGACTTAGTGCTGCAATGTAAACACTAAGTGCAATAGGAACACTGCACCCATACCACTTTAATGAGCTGAAGTGGTCTGGATGCCTATAGTATTCCATTAAGGGCTATTCACTGAAGTGATAATTGCCAGAAATATAAAGTGAATTCAAAATGAATTTCAAAATGAGCAAACTGAAAACAAAATTTCTCTAATCTTGGCCAACATTTTAGAATTCACTTTGCATTGTCAGCAAATAAATAAACCCTGTTTGGGCTATCACATGATACTAATATTGTGTTTACACAGCACTCACTTGCATATTATATATAGCTAACATGGCTTTTGCTCTATATTGTGTTAGAAAACGAGGAAGCCAATGTGCGAGAGTACAGCATTGAGGTCTAAGGAGAATCCTGTGAGACCACGGGATCCTTTATAGATTATTATTATTTCTTATTATTTTATTATTTATATATCGCCATCTAAAACCGGTTCCCTGCAGCCGTCACTGGTAACAACTGGGGGGGATTGACCGTTCTAGACCGTGGTAGCTCTGCCCAGTGTCTAGAAGTATCAGATGTAGGAAGTATACAGAGACAAAGTAGTCACTCTCAGTATATCTCTTAACTGGGTTGGAATGTTATTGAAATTCCAAAACATTCAAAATGAGTAATTTCATAATTAACCCCTTAAGCACACAACTTCTGAAATAAAAGGGAATCGTGACGGAATAGTCCTTAAGGGGTTAATCTGTCTCTGTGACCTACAATTTTTTCAGGGGGTGACAATGCCTTAAACATGTTTTATTTTCTGTAGAAGAAATGGCAAGACTGTTACACTTCCTACATAATAAATTAGCTATCATTATTTCATTATTTCATAACCATCTGAGGCCATACATAAGCGATCTAGGTAGCAACGTTGACACACAAAAGTATGTTTTAACGATGAATGGTGCCTTTTTTAAATTTCTGTTTTGTCAAATAAGCAGAAAAAAATGCAATTGAGGCTGTTTTAACATACTGTTTTTTTTTGTTTTGTTTTGTTTGTGTGACAGGCTACGTTAGGCTACATGTCATGTGACCTGTAACTTATTAAAATATGTTGCCAAATATTCTTTCAAATGGATTTAGAAAAAAATTGTATATTTCAGATGTAAGCCACATTTTAGACATTGCATTTTTGCCGGCTGTAAACTGTCTCTGATTTCATTTCTCTAAAAGGGCGTACTCAAACGTGGGCACAGCTGGTGCTTTCTAACAACAACTTGAAAAAGTCTTAAATTTGCTTATTGTATTTCAATATTTTCTTTTTGACCCTATTGGCAGTTACCCTTAAGATGTGTTCATGTAGGAAAATGAACTGTACACCTGCCTCCACTATCATCACTTTACGTTCCTTAGCAAGGTTTAGCTTATTGGCTGAGAGTGATCCACTCGCTGGCATTTGTAGTGTAGAAGAGGAGTGACACTCTATTAATTCCAGGTAAAAAAATCAAATTGTTCAAAAAGTGATCTATTTGAAAAAAAGAAACTGTTGAGAGATGGAGTGTTCCTTTAAAACAAGTTATGTTTAGCTCATTGTAACATTTATTGTACATAGTATCTATGTAAAGATACGTAGAAATGGTAATAATGCAATTGATACAGTAATTTTTTTTAATGTTGCTTGTAATGACCTATAAGTTTCTATACTCACACGTAGGAGAAAAAAATCATATGGGAAAGCATTATGATTGGCTGACATTTTCAGAATTGATTCTCAGCCAAAGAGGCAGATCGGGGGCGGAGCCAGCGTCGGCAGAACTGGACGGCGCTGGAAATACAATGAGTTTTCAAGATATTTAAGGGGGACAAGGAGGTTAGCATGTTTTTTTTTTTTTTTATCACTTTAGAGTCAGGAATATATTTGTGTTCCTGACCCTATGGTGTTCCTGACCCCTTGGTGTTCCTTTCATTTTAGTCCGCACATGGGGTGGTCCGTGATCACCTCGTTATAAAGGAACCTATAGTTCTAAAATAACGATTATTTTCAGGATTATTGATTCTCTTTAACCTCTCAAACTGCTCAAATTAAACGTTGCTAGTGTTTACAACAAATGCAAGATTATAAAATTAGATGTAGTTCTGGGCGTTTAAACTTATCACGTGTTCGTGGAAAGAGCAATATTTAGGACTAGATTATAGGGTTGCTTGTGAGAGACAATTGTTTGTGCTCCAGGGAGAATGCACCAAGAGAATGGTCGAGGATGAAGCAAATATGTTCCATATGTAGAAATCTTAGCATTAGATTCTGTTTTGTAGAAATGCTGTGATTATTTAACCATTTTATACCCTCCTTTTGCAATAAAAGTAGGCTTCTTGTGTCATATTTTTTTATTTTTTTATTCTTCCTATGCAGTTAGCTGGTATAATTTTCACTAATGTTAAATATTTAATCTCTACATTTTCTTTCTATGGTGCAGATCTATTTGTTCCTCTTTCCAAGTACTTTTGTATGTTTTCCTTAAGTCTATGACAGAACTTGATGACAATAAAACTCACAGTAAAATATGGAGTGTGTGACTGTAAAACTCAGTGCAATGTGTATTGATGATCAAAGAAGTCTGCTAGGGTGCTTTGGTGCCTGATGGGGACCCAGGTAAGAGGGCAAATCATTGCTTAATGGTTTGCCCCATTAGAGGGGAACAGGGCCGTATACTCCTGGCATCGTATCCACTACAGTAGTGGTTATGTAGAGGCTATGATGCTGGGAGTAACCCTTTAGGCCGCGTGTGTGAATGTACTGCAGGCTCGACAGCCGTTACATTCACAATTTTTTATGTATATATGAGAAAGTCACAGTATTGTACAACAGCAATCTTCTCAGAATGGTGATTTGTCGTCACCATATTTCAATATACATGTTGGTAAAGTAGATTGTGTACGTAAAACACTTTGTTCTTGTTCTATATTGCTTATTAAAATATATAACTTGCAGTGGGTTCTAAAGTCGGCTATATTGTAAGGGAGTGGTAACTGGGTGCTATGGCTCCAGGTTAAGCCCTTCTGAAGGGAGTGATGTCTAAATGCTTCCCACTCACTTCCTGTGTCCTTAGGGAGGAATTACTGGGCAAGGCTGATTTATCCAATGCGCACCGTGACTCCTATCACCATGACAACTTTAACTCACTGAAGTGGTCATGGTGTTTGAAGTAACCCTTTAATATGCAGTGCACTTTGAGTTTTACAGTCAGTCAGCTAAGGAGATATAAACAGCACAATTCTTATAGCATAATAAAGAAATGTGGAGAGGCACACTATGCATTATGGGAAAAGAATTCCATCATCTGTTGCCATGTCCCTAGATTCCCTCAACAGATTTAGTTTCCCACAGCACGTAGTTCATTATTATGTATCAAGTTCAAAATATTCTAATTGTACATTTATTCAATTGATCTTCTAAGGCAGCCTGTTTTTGTGGGAGGGATTTTTTTAATGTTCAAAACTTGCCAGCAACCATTGTAGTTGGCATTTGACCTCAAAGAGATTATCTGTGGATTTAACAATAAATATATAAGCAGATAAAATAGGAACAAATTATTAGCAGCAAAAACTCAGAGCAACCACCTTCAAACGGACTTCTTTTATTTTATTTTACTTATCAGATATTTCTCAGTTCATGGTCATGGTTTCAAAATCCGAAATGCTTTTTAAAAATCAGTAAAAACAAATACTCACAGGTTGTTACTAGATTTCAAAGTCTCTCCAATACTTGTTTTCTCTAACTGCTTTGGGAAACCTTTGCACTATGCAAACAGCATCAATGGAGTAACACATAAAAAAAACATACATTTAGCACCATGTTATATGTACATAATGCTTTTAAATATAGTTATGTCTGAATACAATTATTTTGCAGATTTTACAAATCATCTCTTTATCGTAGAAACCACAAGTTAGCTGAGCTCTCTTAGCCAATCCCTGAGTTTAGTGAGCAGACTCACTAATTGCTTATGTGGCAGGGGTAATGAAATGCTGATTGCGCATGCACAATTCAATTGCAGCTATCTAATCACTTGCAGTTTGTGCTATTGTTGTGTTCCTTTTTTTCTGCTCAGTTAAGGAAATGCCTCTGGTAGGTGATTTGTACATGTGTAAATAGGAAGATAGGAGATTCTGAAAAATGTCTGCGTAAATGGATTTGTGGTCACTGCCTCTCACTTCCTTTTGGGGGAGGAGAGGGGGCACAATGCTAGAATTGAGCATGTAATTAAGCCAAGAAAATTATTTTATCATGAGCTTTAATAAACATCAAAATTGTCAAGATACATATTGTTTTCCTTTGGTACGATGGCTTAATGTGGCAGATGTTCTTAACCCCTTAAGGACCAAACTTCTGGAATAAAAGAGAATCATGTCATGTCACACATGTCATGTGTCCTTAAGGGGTTAAACTAATTCCCAAGGAAGCTCAGCCAGCCTAGAGGCATGAAATATATATTGGCAGCCATTTTTAATTTGTTTCCCTCCCTCCCCCTCAAACAAAAATGTATATGAGACTTAATGTTTCTAGTTACTGGGCCTGTAAAGCATGGGTATAATTCATAGAGCTAGGCACCTGGTAGAGGAGAGGGTGCGGGGAAGGGGGTACTTACGAATCTCCCCAGAAAATCTTAAGAACATATGTGTGGTTTGGACTATTGTCCAAGGCACCTCTATCCTGAATTTCTTTGTTTCCAATCTTGATGGTGAAATTGGTGATATTCTTATAGCAATACATTGTGCTCATGCTCTTATTAAGTTTTGTGCTAAAACTCTGCATGAGCAAAGTTCTAAAAATGGAATCAAGCTGTTGTTTTTTGAGATCACACAAACAAAAACTAGTAGACAAAATAATAGTAAAATCCCACTATAGTGTGAAAACCCTGTCACATCATCTGTTATAAAGGGTTAAATTAGAAGTGTACAATTTGTAATATACAGCATTGTAAGGTTCCCAAGGATTATGCTATTTTATATAGAGTGTCATTATCCATCTAATGAAGTGGAGCCAGCAATAGATTCATGGCCTCCCAGTGTTTGTCAATTTTCTCACTACCAGTCTTAAAGAGTTACTCTGACCAAAGATCCTGGCTTATTGTTGTTCTATGGAGGCAGCCATCCTTAAATCCTCTTAGAGGGAAACACTACATACCCATTCTAAGACTACGCAGGAAATCGAGAGTTTGTGTGCATTCATGAATCCTGACATCATGTAGTGTGAAGTGCCAAACATCTCATATTTTGCATGGTTTTGAGTAAAAGCAGTGCTTCTCATAAAGAGGACTCAAACATGGCTGCCTACATAAAGCAAGTGCAAGTCACAAGATGCACTGAAAATGGAGTGTTATATTTATATTTATATATATATATGCATTAAAAGAAAAAATCAAGAATATTCTTTATTAGATGTTGTATTTTATTTTTCTGAACAATAACAGAATAATGACGGGTTTCCTTTAATTTCCTTTAATTTGATCAGAGAGTGCAGTACATGGATGGAGTCAATGAACAGCTTGGTTTTTGCAAACCTAGCAGTTTGGAGTAGAAGCTGGCAAATAATTATTGTTATTGGACTACAATGCTGTCTGGGATTCCTTATATAGACAGGCAAACTACAAAATCTACCCATTCAGAATGATGAGGAATTCAAAACCTTTAGTCTTCTAAATATTTGTCTTTGAGACCAGTGTACACTGGCCATCAGATTGTGGACCATTTAGCACCAACACTTATTTTGATTTGTCAAAAAATATATTCTTTTCAGGTAATTTTTGTTGTGCTTCAGAAAATTATTCCAACCGGGCATTCAGACTTGACATAGTCATGTGATCCACTAGGATCATTGACCCTCTCTTAGTAGTCTCATAGCATTACCTCCAATCTGAAAAATGAGGTTAGAGTTCACAAAAGGTCACGTGTTGTCTGTGCCAACCTCAGGGCTTACATTCCTGCAACAGAACTACCAGACCATGATACCGGCGCTAGAGCAAAAAAATAAGTTGGTTCTGTGTCAACTCTTTGATCTTTGGCATTGTGTTAAGCGAATCAGATTGCTTTTTGGCATATAGCAAAAATACATTCTTTAAAGAACAATCCCTAACAAGTACTCTCTCTCCCCTCTCCTCTCTCTCTCCTCTCTCTCTCTCTCTTGTGCTTTTTTTTTTTGCAAAGTTCAAATGTAATAAGAAAAAATTGAATCCCAGTAAATGTATTGACAGCAGCAGTTATAATCCCTGTAGCAGTGTGAAAACCAGAATTTGATATTACTGGAATACTCCAAGCACCATAACAACTACATTATGCCGTCCCCCGTCCCCCCATTTAAGTAGTCAAACCTTTTTACAGCCGTTTACCTTCTTACCTCTGGTCCACTGGGCACCTCTATGCCCCCCTCCAGGAGGGCTGAAAGATTTTTCTCTGAGCTAAGCCCTGTAGTGCAGGTTCATTGGCTGAAAGTGATCAGCTGTAGTAGTTATGGTACTTAAATTGTTTCTTTTAAAATGTGTAAATAAAATGTTAGAAAAATAAATCACGGTTTAAATTCTAAAGAAAGAATTGTGGAGAATTGCACATTTAGGCCAAAATAGCTGAACTTGAGAAATTGTTGGAGATTCATTTTCTGTTCTCCTACCATGGCCTGACATTTCCAGTCCTCTAATCTGTTCTTAGCTATTCTCATTTTATTAAATAAACCACATTTTGGTGTTTTTTTCAACAGGCGTTAAAAATGTGAGGTGTTTTTAATTTTTAATACTGTTTTTTCATTGACATTTTCCAGTCATCTCATGTAAAAATCTGAACTCTTCCAAACAGCCTCTTTACTTGCAGGTCATATTGGTGCAGGTGAATCCAGGCGAAACCTTCACAATCCGCACAGAAGATGGACAGATTCAATGTATCCAAGGTAATTCAACTGCTACTGATTGATTGAATCATTCTTTCAATGAAACTCTGGGTTTTCCCAGCTTTGTATCACAATGACTATGACCCTTCTGTACAGTTACAAGCCACTGTGTAACATCACAAGGTCTGTTAGTCAAGGACTTCCTGTTAAACATCTGTCATAATCATTTAATCAGATGCAATGCATGTAGTATTTGAAAAAAAAAAAAAAAAAACATAGAAACAATGCTGGTAATATAATAAAACTACATTTGTACAGCATGTTAACTATAAAATGAGATATATTTAATTTTCTTCTGATCGTTAGAGCCTAGCATTAATTTAAGTCAAACAAGCAAAGTCTTACGTCTTGTTAATCAACTAATGTTCATTTTCTCTCTCCTTTGCAGGCCCTGCACATGTCCCCATGATGTCACCAAATGGTTCAATGCCTCCTATATTTGTGCCGCCTGGCTACGTGTCTCAGGTAGCAATCATTATTATCACCTTACATGTAAATTTAATGATTATATGTCTATACATCTGCATATTATTGTTAAGAATAAAAAGTTTGGAACAAGTAGCCAAAGACATTAGCAACTGCTGCCATTTAGGAATTAAATAACGTTTGTTACTGTTTTTGCAATCCTACCCACACCTCCCCTGGCTGTGACTCACAGGCTGAATGGGAAAAATAGTTTTATATCCAGTCAGATTTTGTCTTGCTTTAGAAGGTTTTATCTCGGCTTTCTAAATTGAACTTTATTGCAGACAGGAGACTCCTACTGGATCTAGAAGGCTATTAACACAGCAATTAAACAGAATGTGCACTACAATACATTTAAAAATTAAATCTCTCTTTACAGGAAGAGTATAGGAAGGCTGTGTAAGTCACATGCAGGGAGGTGTGGCTAGGGCTGTACAAACAAAAGTGATTTCACTCCTAAATGCCTGAGAACTGAGCAGTGAGACTGAAGGGGCATGATCTATACACCAAACAGCTTAATTTAGATAGTTGTTTTGATGCCTATAGTGTCCCTTTAATGCAATAATGCACCCCATGGTCCATTTAAACATTGTAATTGGCTGAGTGGAGTCTCACCCTCTCCTTTCTTGAAATGTGCCCCAAAGGAATTCAGTCTCACTATGCTCTCAAACAATGAAGATAACGTCAAAACTTCACAGAAACCTTGTGGTTTATTCACACTATTCCATGGTGTGAGCTCTGTCTTCTGCTGTTAAATAAACCACAAGAATTCAGAAAGTTATAATGTTATCTTTATTGTGTAAATAACTGGTGCAAACAAATTTCCATGGTGTAAATTTGGTATGTTCTTTTGAGGACTTAAAGATATCTCTGTACTAAGGGTTGCAGGAAATAGCCTTCTGTATGTCACTGACTTTTTATCCATTACTCATGATATAATATTTTTTTTGTTGGTTTCCTTTGCAGCACATTCTTATTTCATTATTTTTTTTATTGTTATTTTATTATTAATCTTTTTACTTCTATGTAACATATATTCTAAGGATTATTTTGCAAAGCCTTCTGGTATCATGGTAATATATACTGCAGTCAAAATCTGAAAACCCAAAATTAAGTGCATGGCAAATTGTGCTATTCTGAAACATTTCTGGTAGTGTTTTATTTACATTGGCTTTCTTTGCACTCCTGGCTGTTTTCGATAAATAATGCTCACACTGTGTGGTATAATGGGGTGAAGGCTAAAAGGTATCCACTGATTTATGTCTTCAGGTTTTCCAAATCACAGCATTTTCGTTTTATCGCCTTGTGCTCTATATTCCTGTCAGTAGCTAAATAATTTGCTGTTCTCATTCACTGACGGGAACTTCAGAATGTTTTTGGCATACGTTGCAGCTTCACATCCTTCATTCCCGTTTAGCACAGAGGGAAATGCTATGATAAGTTTAATGAGCCAAAGCAAATAACGTACTGGTGGTTAGTTTTTGCCATCGTAAGTCTGAAACCATCACCAATTTGCTCTTCTGGGCTTGCGTTGCTTTTGCCGTTGCCTTCTTCTCTTTATATTTTAAAATCTCCCTACGTGGATAGGAACAAGTTAATGAAAATCACTTGTTTAAATATCCAGAGCCCCATTTTTTTTTCTGATCAATTATTGATAAATGTCTAAATAAAACTTCTATTGAATTGGTCAAGGATTTAATTGCAATAAAAAGAAAACTTCACAATACAATAGCATAGGTACTAACTATACTATTCGTGTAGACCAGTACAAACTAGATATTATAGAGCTTTGCTAAACATAAATAGTTAAAATACCAAATTGACAATACTGAAGAAAACAAATGAATGGATGACTTGATAGAGGAATCCAATTGGTGTTTGTTTGTGTATGTGTGTGTATATATATATATATGTGTGTGTGTGTGTGTGTATATATATATATATATATATATATATATATATATTCACACATAAATAAAAATAAAAAAAGGTTGACACTTGATTGTAGTTGGCTTACTTTGCACAACTCACATGACAAGGAGTCACTCTGTTCACTTAGAAAACTTGCTATGGAGCGACCTCCGGTAGATATATCAGAGTAAGTGACACTTACTGAAAAAAAAAATGAATTCAAAGAAAGTGATCACCTATGGGTATTTTGAGATATAGATATTTATGTAAGAGTTCAACTCACATAAAAATGAGCCTTAGTGTGCATTCAATGTATAATACCTGCCACAGGATACAGCTCAGAATAGTTTAAGCACTTTGCTTAATGCCCACTTGTGAATTGGTAAGTTGCTTATTATACTGCAAGACAGGCAAAGCATTAATCAGATGCAAAATATAAATATAGTAGGAAAACCGGTAACCTGGCTGAATGCACCCAGAATCCTTTTGCAAAAAATTCCATGAGTGTTTGACTGTGTAAAATACATCTTTTTTGACACATGGCTAGTTTTTACAGTCAGTCACAGACACACAATTCAGAGAAGGCAAACAATGGCACAAATATCTGCCTGTCTATTGATCAGTCTCTGCTGGGGCCTCACATCAATATTCCCAGCAATTGGCTATTTCACATGGTACATATGCAATAAAAAAAAATCAAAACTATAATAAATACATAGATCAACTGGTCTATTTTTTTTGTCAGATGCAGTCATCATCTATACCAATTTTAGATATTTTCAGATCACCAATAGATCATTTTTGTAGGAGCTACACGTGTTCTCATTATCCAACCTAAAGGCTTGATAAAATGCTAAATAATCCTGTTGAGGGTTTTTTTAAATTCTGAAACTGATGTGTCAAATTCTCTTGCCGCTTTCTTCTAAAAATGACCTTATGTTAACAGCTCTGGATTATTTTAATATTAAACGTAATTATGAGTGTTTTCTCTATATTATATTATTGGAAGAAAACACCCATGCAATGTTGATTCCAAATAAGTGTGGTTTACTGTAAAAACCGCCTGTCTTTTATTTTATTTATATTATACTTGTGCAATAAATTACAAATACCACCCACAAGGTTCAGAGATGATGTTGAGTGATGCTTTTTTTTTTTTTTAAATACACAATTTCTTCATTCAAAGGCCGAAACTTAAAGCTGTGTAATGATATTTAAATGACTTATTCTAAAAATAAATAACTTGGGCAATCATTTTATAATTTTGTCAGTATTTTACTCTGTTTGGTACTATGAGAATTGGTACAGTTATATCTTCTCCTTTATATGTGTCAATACCATGCATCAAATATGACGATCTGCACTGATGTTAAATTAATCTGCAGGGCTATTTATTCATACAATGTGTTAATTAAACTATATCTGGCGTAACATACTTTATATCTAAATTGTGAACAAGCTTACCTTTTATTTATTACTTTGTTTCCACAAATATGTCTGAATTTATTTTTGACCCTTGAGAAAATCTGCACACGATCACATCTGCATTTATAATAAACATTTAAACAAATATTAAAAAAGTGATTGCTATCCTCAACTTTGCAGATTATCAGAAACAAAATTTCCCACAATATTAAGCTTGTTTCCCAGTTTTTTTTTTATTAAGTCACTGTTTAGTGAACAAATCCCTGCATTGGAACCAATGGCAGCAATTGAACAATATGTTCCAATAAGAGTTTTAACTGTCCAGGATGTAGAAGTAGATAAAGAACTTCATTCCTCGAAGCAAGAACAAAATGTTTTCATTGTTATAACGCAGTGTAACAAAGTTATTTCTTTTAATACTAGTTTGGCTTTTGATTTTTTTTTCCCACCAAAACCTATTACAATCCTAATCCCAATAGTTCCATAGAAGGATTGAGATCACGCGGGGCCCTAAACAAGTTACTGTTTTGGACCCCACCATCAGTCTTCACCTTGGTATAGTGAACAGGGCCAAGAATATATTCATGGTTCAAGGATTTGTGTTTAATTAATGGGCCTTAGATTGCCACCTAAAGTCACTAGTTAATCCTGCTCTGCATAGCTCTATTGAATAAAGTTATGTATTTTCAGTTTCTCTTAAATGTTTTCCCTTTCAGGTCGTGGAAGAAAATGGAGTGCGCAAAGTCTTGGTTCTGCCGCACTCCGCAGATTACCATCAAGCAATACACCCTCAGCTTTCGCACCTTGCACATTATATGCATCCTCACCCTGCCCTGCTCCCCCACCCTGGTCATCCCGTCTACTCCCAAGTCCCTGGAACAGGAGAAATGCCACCCCAATTTATGCACCAGCATCCTCCTCCCCCACCACATATTTTCCAAGAACAAGGTACAGCCTAATATTTAAACCTTCCTCAACAGAATATATGAGTCCAGGCTTCTTATTTTGTTTAGATATGCTCACTCTTGTTAGCTGTATTATATTGTATAGTCCTCATCCTGTCAATTGTACAACATTTTCTATTATAATTTTGCGAAAAAGTAGCCTATTCCATTCAACTGTAGTTGAGGTAAAATTATAAATATAGAATGCCAATATTTGTGATGCAAATATTCAGTTACCTAGTTATGTCTCAAGAAAGATGAGCATGTCCTCCACATATGTGTGGATGACTAGGCCTCATTCAAGTAAATATTATTTATATACACCTGTAAATTCATCAGCAAATGTGTACAGAATAAAATATACACTTAAATGATTGTTTTCTGGCCTGTGAGCTCGGATACCCTTGTATCTGCATTCTTGCAATCTGAGATTAAGCGGCATGCATTGTGGAAACATCCTTAACAGCTTAATGTAGCCCTGTCCATGCAGGCATTTTAATGTGAACATTGCTTTTTCAGAGAAAAGGCAGTGTTTACATTCTCCGTAGCAACACCTCCAGTGGCAGTCACTTAGATGACCACTAGAGGTGCTTCCTGGGTTAAGGGGGCTGAATAGTGTTAACACTATAGTGTCAGGAATACACGTTTGTATTCCTGACCCTATGGTGTTCCTTTAAGCTAGTAACTTCGCACCTGAAATGTGTACATTTACACAGGCCAGAAATATACTTTTAGTCAAAGAGATGCTCTAACTACCATAAGGATTACAGTTTTTTGTAGTGATAATGGGCAGAATCTTTTTTTTTTTTTATTTTTTTATTTTTTTTATGAGTAGTTCGATGCTCTTTGGGCACTCAAAGACCAGGCTGTCTGCGTCCTCTAAAAAGAATGCAAGAGTGTCACTTCTTTGTTACCTATACAAATCCTCCCAACACGGAAGGGAAATTTTCATATTATTTCAACACCTGCAGTGGGGATGACGTAAAACTGCTCAAAAATGGTGTGAGGAAAAGGTTTCATTATACACAGATGCTCTTGCCACATAAGCACTACAATAAGTTACAGTGGTTATGAAGTTTATGAAATACATTATTAACCTTTGCCTTCATTTATTATAATATAGATTTTTCCGTCTATTAAGAATGTATTTCCTTTTTTGTTAGACATTGTTTTCAATTCATTTTTCTGCACATATAAATCGTCAGTGTTGGTGTTTAACCAATTTGACATTTTTATCTTCAGAGCCACGTTCTCATGGACGGACAAACTTCATACAGCGAGATGAGCGAACCATGAAAGTGCCCGATCCAGTTCGGAAGAGATTAAAAGACAGACAAATCGGAGGGCACAACAATAACAAGTTAAACAGCCCACCTTCCTCTCCGCACAAAGCTCAACTTGCTGCCAATGCACATATCCAGAATGGATACTCCAAGGGACAGCATTTGACAGGGGGACTTGTTAAAATGAAGCAAGCAACAAAGACTCGAGGCAGCCCATCTGCTGACAGCGAAACTGGTATGTACAGTATTTTTGACATCAAACCGTACTTTGCTCTTTCTGTTAGATACAATAAAAAGTGTGATGTGGCAAATAGGGCAAGACCGTAATCACGGAGTGAGGACCAGCTGTGAAGATCAGAGACATGCTTTGCACTAGCAATTGTTGCATAGCGTGTTCCACTGCATGGGCTTTTTATCCCAATCGTCTGTGTGGGCTTTTATTGTGTGTGTTAAAGTTTATTGCATGGTAGTGTTCTGTGTGTGAAGGGATTTGGAATGTGATGTTACATCTTATTTCCGCACAGCACAACACAGAAAGTGTTCTACTTAAAGGAACTATTTAGATTACCTTCCTTCCACCTCAGCATGTGAAGTAAAAAGATAGATTTGCTTACCGTTTCTCCATTGCTGCGGTGCTGTCTCCATTTCTGAGATCATCAATCCTGATAATCTCAGCCAATCCAATGCTTCCACACAGGGAAACATTGGGAACATAGTGCGCATAAGTGGCAAATCACTACGCGTGTTTTAACCCTGCAACAGAAACATTTCCCTCTCTACAAAACTTAAATCTAAACTACTGCACCCACACCACTTCATTGAGATCCTTTAATAATCCACATATTAATAACACAATCTTGGGTAGTCACCAAAGCCATCCTCAGTCCAGCCTTGATTCAGTTAACCCTGGAGCTTTTCCACACCTGAAACTTATTGAGAATGTCCCTTTGTGCAGCTTGGCTTGTAGCAATAATCCATATTTACATCCAAACTTGGAAATGACTATAAAATGTGAGCAAAGAATAGGGTCTCCTACTAGATTTGACCAGCTCAGTTTTACAGAAGACGCCTCTCAGTTGCACCGAAAGTTGAACTTAACATGTCCTGTGTCAATGTTTACGTCGTATATTTGTGATGTGTGTGACATTCATTTGACCATTGGCCTGAGTTTGGCAGCCATTTCATCTCTTTAAGTTAACCATGAGGAAAATAAAATCTAATTAGAAGCGTGTAACGCTTGTGGTCACACTCAATCCAAAAATGTCAGCCATGACCGGTAACTTGGCAACCTGTAAACAAGCCTCCTTGCAATTTCATTCTGTTCAAAGAGACAAATCCACATTTTTATTTATTTTTTGAGAAAAAAATTAAAAGGTTTACTTAAGAATTCACTTAATTTTTATTCATTTAGCCTTGGTAACGCTGAAATTAAACCTTCGGATACCATGAAAGTGACCAAACCCTTTGCTACGGTGGTTAGAACTAATGCTTTGTGTACCATGGGTAGGAAAGAAAATTAGACAGATTAGTGATTTTATTCTCTCTGCGACATGTATAAATATAGAAGTGCTAAGAAATTATGTTCTGTTTTTGTGGTAACAATAGCCCTTAATTTATCACAATATGTCATTTGATTGTGTCACATGACTATACTAGAACTAATAAGCTCTGTTAAAATATGATTTTGGCAAATGTACACATGACTTGTTATTTTATTGCAAGGATTGGGGCTTTTCATCTTAAAGCAGTGGTTTTGTCTGTAGTCTAGGTAGAGTTTCAACTTAAACATTTGACCCCTTAAGGACACAACTTCTGGAATATTTCCCTCATGTGTCCTTAAGGGGTTTTAAATAGATATTTTTATATTTTTTTTGTATCTCCATTTAAATGTCTTTTTGCAGTGCTAATATACAGAATTAAAGCTGTCTTTCTAACTTTGCATTGTAGCTTTTCACCTCACTCTATCGCATCCGCTTTTAAGTTGCACTTATTTGGATGGAGAACTGCTGATTTTAATCGTTCACATGATTTGTTGTTGAAATTGTGGTTATGGTGCTTGGAGGGTTTCTTTGAATGGAACATTCCAATAAGCTGTAGTAGTTCTGGAGCTCAGAAAGCCCCTCACACACAGTATGATATTTTCACTGACCACCCCCTTCTCCCCATCTCCGCACCTATTTAGTCTAGCTCGCCCACTCGGTCCCCAACTACTGCTTCTTTTGAAAAACCAAGTAGGGCACTGGAAAACTTTTCTGAAAGTGAGGGGCTTTGGTGTTTTCATAAGAATAATACATTCTTTATTAAGATTAAAATGAGCTATTGCTATAATACCAAACCAGTCCTCAAGGTACAGCCAAAAGTCCAAGATTTAGGCATATCCCAATTTTATTCCAAAGGAGATAAGTTAAAAAAAAAAAAAAAAATGGTTAGTGAGTGTTGTGTCCTTGTTTTTAAATGCCAGTGCTTTGCTGCGGGGTTATTGGATAGTATTGGATATTTCTGTAGTTGAAGCACGTTTCAGAGAAACTGCAATGCTTACATTGCATGGTTAAGACTGCCTTATAGATAGCCACTAGAGGTTCTTCCTGGTATCTCACAGAGTTTAACTCTGAAGCGATGCTGGACATCCTCATGCTCATGCCATGCATGAGGACGTTTAGTGTCTTCAAATCCCCCATAGGAGAGCATTGACTCAGTTCTCTCCTATGGGGAAGGTCTAATGCATGCGCAGTGCTTGCCATGCATGCACATTAGATTCCATGGCTCGGACATCGGAGGAGGCAGAGATGGAGCCTGTGCTCAGGGACATTGGTGCTAGAATAAGGTGAGTGTTTTAAAGGATTTTTAACCCTTTAATTGCAGGGGGTGGGGAGGGGGCTACAACTTTGTATTTCTAACACTATAGTGCTCCTTAATTAGTGTGGTGACATCTACTGTTAAAGACACCACATTACAAAGTATCTACATTCAAGTGTTTTGTTTTATAGAATGTGTCACGATGCCTGCAGACCCTAATCCAGGATGTGTAAGAGGATGCTGCTTTTTATGTATCTGCTGTAAAATGGCATTCGCTGCATGAATGGCCACTGACTTTAAAAAGGCCTGCTGTTTGGTTCAATTGATAGGCATTGAGTAGACTGGCAGATTATGTAAATATTCAATCACAAAACTAATTTGAAACTAACATCTGTGCCTGTAGTCGGTGTCCGGGTTGTTAAATCTGTACCAGCTGGTTGTTTTTCTTTTAAATACTTAAAATGGAAAAAACAAAAAACAAAACAGAGAATGAAACAGTTTCGGGACTGAGTCATACTGTGCGCAAATGGTAAATTTTTTTTTTTACGTTTTATTTTTGTCTTTGTTAGATAGTGAAGCGGAACCGAAAAAGCTACAGGACCTGATCTCCAGCATGGGGAAGCCTGCTGTAAGTATGCTGTGAATGTTTATAAAAAAATGATTTGCTACTAATAAATAGGAAAAGACATACCATGAGCTATTCATTAAATAGTGAATTGTCAGGAATTCTCCAAGTGTATGTCAAAATAGCTGTGCCTAAAACGCCTGACTTATTTTTTATTCTTTAATTGATTATTTTCCAGTTATATTTTGTTTTTGTTTCGCTCGTGCCTAAAATGTGTCCACCTTTGCTGCTTTCTGGACAATTTACAGTTTAGTGAATAACTTTGCCCCTGAACACTGACATACCTTATAGATAGGAGTTTTGATTGTAGCTGCTCACACAGTTGCTCTTGACATTATTTTGGTTTTGTTTTGCTTTTTAATTTCCTTCTTGTTGTATGATTGCCAGAGGTGTGCCTACGCCTCTATTGGGTACATGTCAGGGTTTAGAAGGGTTAAGTATGCATCTATGGAACTTTTTTATAGCACACACATGTAACTCATATATGTATTTTCTTATCAGTACTCTCTGCTTCCATTTAGGTGTCTGTATTGGAGGCCAGATCTGCTGTGTTGACGTGGAGCTTACAGATCAGTTCCCATAACCCAGAGAACCCCACAAGTATCGTACCAGCTGCATTAGTGTACGAGGTGACTGTGTCCAATGGTGGCAAAAATGGAAACTTCAAACAAGTGTACACGTAAGTAGGAACTTGATACTTACCGGACAATTTAAGGGAAAGTCTAGAAGAAAAATGCATAATTTGTATATTTTATTGTATTTGAGCAATGCAGTTAAAATATATATATAAACATTTATTCGTTTTACAAAATTATTTTCCTTAATCCTTAAAATACCACCTCATCAGCAACAAAGCTGATCCACCACCTTTTTGCCTACTGCTAACTGTTTTGCTCATGCTGGGCAGTGTCCAATCAAATACGAAGCATTATGCACACAGTGAGATATCAAAAATATCCCTGAAAATAGTTACATTTTTCATTAAATAGTTTAATATTCGATCTTTGCCAAATTATTGGATAAAAATAAAACACAGTGGGATAAGTCACAAAATGTGCAGATAGGTATGCTTGCTTGAAATAATCCCTAGTGCTTTCTATGAAGTTCTGATTTCTTCTTCCTTGATGACACAGGAGGCTGCTTTTCAAACAGGCAATTAAAAAAAGCAGGAGATAAGAACTTTTAACCTAATAAAAGTTCCAACATGAGCAGAGACTGTGTGTGAGATTCAGGGGGAAGTGTGGCTATGACAGCCAGAGGTTGTTTGGGTAGAGTGAAAAAATAAAATGGTTAAACCCCAGAAGGGCAGATCACTATGCAGTGAGCCTGTTGGTGTACGCTCTATTTACCATAACCACTTTATTATGCTAGGGTCCTATTCGTGTTTAGACTGAACTTTTAAAAATAAAACAGAGTATTAGTCTACGGGTAGAAATTGAGACTGTTCAATTATTTAGACTACATAATGGAGTTGTCTAGCAGCAAGTGGCCAGCTGTCACATTGTGTGACCTTCTAATTGATCATATGTATCAATAATAGTTTGTTTGTCCACAGAGGTGAAGCTACAACATGTACGCTAACTGACCTACGGCCAGCAACTGACTACCATGTTAGGTAAGTACAATGTAGCCAGAGTAGTAAACTCAAGAACAAGTAGAAACAAAATGCCAATGTTAAGGTTTAAACAGTACCAACTTATTGCATAGAAGAGAAGAAAAACTCTTTGATTTTAATCCAGTCAATCTTTTATTTCATAGAGTTTCTGCCACGTGCCCACCCCTGGAGGGATCCATTAGTGAACTAGTGAGTTTTACCACACAAAGCTGTGAGCCTGACACTCCAGGCCCACCAAGACTCTCTAACCGAAGCCGGACTTGTCTGACCTTACAGTGGAAGGTATGTCTCCTTGAATTGCTTTTACCACCTGGTAAACTGCAGCCTGCTTGCTGCCTTTGGAATTCTGTTCTAAAACTTTGATGGCTATAGTTCTGTCTTTATATGCATCATGGAACGTCAGCTTTTGTGGTTTTGCTTGCTAATGGTGCTTTCCAAAATGTTTAGCTAGTCATATAAGACCAATACTGCTAGAGTGCCAAAAAGTCCGGTTTAGTTTCTGGAATAATGTTCTCTCAGTGACCGCTGTTGCTGTCTGCATTATGAATTTGTGTCTAGAGTTCATAATTACAGTTGCCATGCTCATTGGCTAATGATGTTGTTAAGTGCCATATCCTTCAATCACGAACAGTGTGAATAATCGCCACATAAAATACATGTTGAATTATAGGTAAGGGATACTTGCAAACAAGGAGCTTACTTCGTACACACAGAGCATGTAAATGCCAACACAGCTACTTAATCTGTATTCACCCGTTTATTTACTTGAGTTTATGGAACTGGTACTTGACATGGTGACTTATGACTCTGGGTGTCAGCCATGGCATAAGATATCTTAAAACAGGGGTGCCCAAAAGGTAGATCCTCAGATGTTGTAGAACTACAACTCACAAGATGCTTTTAGAATGACAAAGCATCATAGATGTTGTAGTTTTAAAACAGCTGGTGATCTACCTTTTGGGCACCCCTATCTTTAAAGAACACTCTAGTCAACAGTTTGCTTATAAACTAGGGGACAACACCAGGGGGACTCCAGGCAGCCTAACCACAGCAAATTTAAAAAATCCTTGTGATACAGCCAGGCAATAGTTTTGGTTAAAATGAAGGCTCAAAGTAAGTGCACTGCACACCATTTTCCAGAATTTAGGGGATGCCCCTTCTTTGTGTCTCCAGTAAGAGAAAGTAATAAGTAACAAATGTGAAGTTTATGGAAACATTTTATCTTTACAATGTTTATGTCAAACTTGACTGAGATTTTTTTCAGGATAAATACTTGAACTTGAGACAAGAAATTCTGTAAAGATTTGATCTTTCATCTGTCACTAAAACCAGGGACAAGAAATTCTAGAGTAAAAAAACCTCGACCCCCTCAAAGTTTGACCAGGTCAATCATTATATAATAGGTAGTTGGCATTCATCTGCTTTTTGAAATAATGTGAGTGCTGAAAATGATGTTAGGGCCATGGTCTCACCTGACTGACTGGAAACCCAAATCATAGTAGAAGAAGATCCAGCACTATTAATGAGAGAAAATGCTTAATTTATTGTGTCCTTGCATCAACCAGTACAACAACATTTTAAATGTTGATTCATATGAGGGAACAATAATATAATCCTTTCCACTGAGAGAGTGGGGACCTTCTTCAGTTATCAAATAATAACCTTTTTTTGCACCGCAGTCATTTATACATATGAAGCCATGGATGGATTGCTGACTATTATATAGATCATCAGCATTTTCATATCTATTATATAGATTAAATAGATCATAATATAACCTTTATATATATGTACACACACACACACGGTAGGCGCATTCACCAGAATGTTTCATACAAAGATAAATAAATTCCTTGCAAGGGCTTATTCCTCATCAGTAAAATGTTGATCATTACAAAACCATTAAAATGTAGTTTCCTGTTTCATGTTAGCATATGTTTAATTTCATGAGTGTGCAACAATGTAACTGATATTTAAAGGATTATAGCTACAAAATGTAAAACTATGTTTTGTTGTAGACTTCATCTGATCATTCTTCTATTCCCCCTTTTTTTTCCAGGCTCCTAGTGACAATGGTTCAAAAATCAATGGCTTCCTGTTGGAATGGGATGAGGTGACTGTTTTGCGCATGGCATTTTTTAAATCGTGTTTATATGTACTTTGTATAGGCATACATGATTGAAATTCTTCATATCTCAGATATGGCAGGAAATATATATATATCAATAGTTTTCTTCTTTTCCTTTCTCTTTAAGGGGAAACATGGGCCTTTCAAAGAGTGTTACTCTGGATATCTCAAACAATACAAACTTAACAAGTTGTTCCCATCTACAAAGTACACCTTCAGAATAGCTGCCAAAAATGACATGGGAGTAAGGTATTATTGGCTTCCATTTTATTTATTTACCTTAGTGTTTGCATAATTATAGCTGTATACATAACTTGTATTTTTGATTGTCTCCTCTCATCCCTCCAGTGGGTTTAGTGAAGCAGTTCCTTACTATACTTCCGGAAGTGTTCCCTCCACACCATTGCCCCCCAGACTTGTGCAATCTGGTATTACTTGGCTGACATTGGAATGGAGCCCACCTAATGATAATTCACCAGACGAGACCCTAACATATAGCTTAGAAATGGAAGAGGAAGGCTCTGTAAGTGTATCTCTAGAACGTTAAATAAACAGACCTTTTTCATATATGGTATGTTTTTTTTTGTTTTTTTTTAAGGATTAGCCAGTGTGCCAATAGGACAAAGGAAGTGACTGTAAATACTGGAAACTGGATGGTTAAAATAGTATTGAAACAAAATCTTTTCAGATGTATCTAGCGAATGAGTGTAGCATATTAACTGGCTACTCTGTTGGCCTGATGCTCACAGCTGTTGTCAAACATGTAATGTTTTGCACTTCCTGCTGCCAAACTAGATTGATTTATTTATGATAGACTTTGTTTAGCACTTTTGCAATAGAATTTATTTGTTTATTTTTTCCAGTTGTCTAACTCATAGGAATTTTCATTATTAGCAATTTAGAAAAAAAGACTCCTTGTAGTGGTTATGTTACTGTAAGTCTATAGATGTTATCCCCTGCTGTTTTGTCACACCGTGTTGAAGCAGTGTGACAAATCCTGGGGCTCTCCCCTACAACCATAGCTTCCTTCGTCTTTAGCCATACTGATAATGTGTAAACGCCACATTCACAATATAAAGTGACAAAGCTTCCAACCCTGAATGGCAATGATTGGCGGACAGAATTGTAGGTCGGTTAATTTACTATTTCCACAATGGGCAGCCAGTGATGAGCTAGGAACATCAGCTGATGCTCTTTACTGATTGATTTTTTTAATCACATGAACACCTATACATTGTATACTGTGTGTGTATTTGATAGTTTGACAAAGATCACGTGGGTCGAAATTTTGCGATTTGGCTGCAGGTTTAAATAAATTGCCTTTTGTTGAACTTTCTACGCTTTCTACTAAAGTGCTTCCTATGTGCAGAGATTTACGAAGTACGGTTCCTATGATACTCCCCCAGCATTCTTCCCTAGTACAAATGGTAGCCATTAATGATATCAATAACATGAGCTAGGCTGCAGAAAGGATTCTGTTAATTTTCTTTTTTTTTACAACTTTAAGGAAAAGACATTTGTGTTTCATTTTCTTGCAGGGTTATGGTTTTAAACCAAAACACAATGGGGAAGAACTTTCATGCACTTTAAAGAACTTGAGGAGGAACACGTCTTACAAGTTTAGGGTATGTACAGGTTTGACTTGACTTTTCTTGATCTATTAATGTTCATAAATGGCAACCATGGCAGAGCACACTCAGCACCTACGCACACATTTTTAAGTTCATGGGTTCATCAGAATCATAAGAGAACCCGGGCCAATTGAAGCCAAGATTTAAGTAAGTGCATCCTTGAGGTTCTTTTGATCGTAATGCAGTGTGGCAAGATATGGCACCACCTAACGGTGCATTACTAAAACCTGCACTGCAGAAAACTAAGAGGATATTCTGCTAGAGTTTGGTGCCATTGGAAGAACAGATTTCACCTTCATTACATCTAGATAACTGTGGTCCCTTACCTATTTATTAGGTTTAATGGCAGAGCCTAAAATTTCCACTTGCCTCCTAACTATTGGCAACTTGGCAAGTGAAAGTGCAGCTGTATCAAGTAGAAATTCACCCCTGGTGAATGTAGCGTGGGAGCTCTGGGCTTGCAATGAAGAGTAACGTGGAGAGCGATGAGTGGAACTGCTCTTGAGGGATAAAATACTTCCTCCATAAACCCCTAATGGGCAGTGTTATATTAAATAAGAAGTCTATAAATGAGAGGCTCCTGATTCTCTTCCTGGTCTGGGAAAGGTCTATCTACTACTAGCACATATATTTATTATCTCTATAATGCCATAAAAAACAGAGGGTTATTTTACCCCCATAGTTTACCTTTAACCCCTTAAGGACACATGACATGTGTGACATGTCATGATTCCCTTTTATTCCAGAAGTTTGGTCCTTAAGGGGTTAAAGCTAACCATTTTTGTAAGAGAACACTTGGCTTCTACTTATGCCACAGGCTCATTAAATAAATCCGATCAGTCAGTATAACCAAGTGAGTAATGGATGGAGAATGAAACAAGACGAGGATAAAGAATGTATGCGCATGTGCAAAATCCTATTCTGCCAATCACTGGAACTCTTTTTTTTTTTTTTTTATTGTGCAGGTTTTTGCTTTTAACAGCGAAGGCCGAAGTAACCCCAGTAATATTGTAGAATACTCGACCTCTCCCGATAAGCCTGGTCCTCCCAGTAAACCAAGTATAAAGGGAAAAATTCATGTTCACAGTGTAAAGGTCACGTGGGGTAAGTTTATAGATGTTTGATTTACTTTCATCATATCTAGTTAGTTTAATAACAACTCTAACAGTTTTCATGTTCTTTTAGATGCCCCAAAAGACAATGGAGGGGCAGAAGTATCTAAATACTTTCTTGAAATCTTAGAAACTTCAAATGGTATGTTTTTATTTTTTTTTATTAGTTTTTTTTTTTTTTATATATATATAAATGTGTGTGTCTCTTAATACCTTTATTATATATATATTTATTTACATTTGGTCTCATTAGGTAATAGGTGGGACATGATATACAGTGGATCTTCGAAGGAGCACGTATGTGATCATCTCAAGCCCGGTACTTCCTATAGATTAAGAGTATCCTGCAGCAACGTAGTTGGCTCAAGTCAGGTGAGATAAACTTCTCTTATAATACTCAATCTTTGCTTTTTAAAATTAACTAGCAAACTTTTTTTTAAATAATTTATTTCCTTTTGTTTGTTTGGCTACTCCTCAGTCAATAATAACAGCATAACCTGACCTAATTTCCGACATTGTGAGCACCTATTTAGGGCTTTTACTCCAGATGGTAACTTGTAGTAAATTGAAAACTGAATTTGCAAATGTTAAATCAAAATAGCATAGTTAGTGCAAGGGCGATGGTTATAGTCACTATTACAGAAGTGACTATGTAGGTTAGCAATTGGCTAATTTTGCTGTTATTTAAGTTAATAAACCATTTTAGCACAAATAAAAGGAAACTAGGTTGTCAGATATTTTTCTTACGTTTAATACACGCTTGAATGTGACTCGTGGAGCATTGGACATTTCATGGATTGCAGGATAAAACTTACCAGGTAATGTTAAAGGATCTTAACATGTATAGCTTGGAGGAAAGACGAGACAGGGGGATATGATAGAAACATTTACCGTATATACTCGAGTATAAGCCGAGTTTTTCAGCACATTTTTTGTGCTGAAAAACCCCAACTCGGCTTATATTCGAGTCACTGTCTGTATTATGGCAATTTACATTGCCATAATACAGACTGGGGGCTGGCAGAGCTGTTATTTACCTCTCCTGTCAGCTCCCTCCTCCTCCGCGCCGGTCCGGTCAGCACCTCGGTCAGCTCCCAGTGTAAGTCTCGCGAGAGCCGCGGGGTCATAGTGCGGCTCTCGCGAGACTTACAATGTGAGCTGAGAGAAGAGCTGCACGGGCCGGCGCGGAGGAGGAGAGAGCTGACAGGAGCTGCAGGAGAGGTAAGTAACAGCTCTGCCAGCCCCCTTCCTCCCCCCACTGAACTGCCAATGCCACTGGACCACCAGGGAAGGAGAGCCCCCCTCCCTGCCATGTATCAAGCAGGGAGGGGGGACAAAAAATAAATAAAATAATAATACATAAATAAAAATAATAAATAAATTTATAATATATAAATATAAATAATAAAAATAATAATAAAAAAATAATTAAAAAAAATAATATAACAAAAAAAATTAAAATAATAATAATTTTTTTTTAATAAAAATGCCCACCCCCCACCAAGGCTCTGCAACACACACACACACACTGCATCACACACACACACACTGCACTCATACACACACACTGCATTCATACACACACTGCACACTCATATACACACTGCACACTCATACACACTGCACACTCATATACACACACTGCACACTCATACACACACTGCATCACACACACACACACTGCACTCATACACACACACTGCATTCATACACACACTGCACACTCATATACACACACTGCACACTCATATACACACACTGCACACTCATATACACACACTGCACACTCATACACACACTGCACTCATACACACACACTGCGCACTCATACACACACTGCATTTATGCACACACACTGCACTCATACACACTGCACTCATACACACACTGCGCACTCATACACACACTGCATTCATACACACATTGCATTCATCATATACACACACTGTAAATAAATATTCAATTAATATAATTTTTTTAGGATCTAATTTTATTTAGAAATTTACCAGTAGCTGCTGCATTTCCCACCCTAGTCTTATACTCGAGTCAATACGTTTTCCCAGTTTTTGGGGGTAAAATTAGGGGCCTCGGCTTATATTCGGGTCGGCTTATACTCGAGTATATACGGTAAATACATAAAGGGAATCAACACAGTAAAGGAGGAGACTATATTTAAAAGAAGAAAAACTACCACAACAAGAGGACATAGCCTTAAATTAGAGGGACAAAGTTTTAAAAATAATATCAGGAAGTAATACTTTACTGGGAGGGTAGTGGATGCATGGAATAGCCTTCCAGCTGAAGTGGTAGAGGTTAACACAGTAAAGGAGTTTAAGCATGCGTGGGATAGGCATAAGGCTATCCTAACTATAAGATAAGGCCAGGGACTAATTAAAGTATTTAGAAAATTGAGCAGACTAGATGGGCCGAATGGTTCTTATCTGCCGTCACATTCTATGTTTCTACATTTTCGTATTCTACAATTGCAGTGCAAAGATTACTATATCATCCGTTTTCTTGATGTTGTGTTATTGTAATGACAGTCCAGCTGGGCTAAAAAAAAATGTTTCTTTAGGATTTTATAAAGTAGTACATATTTGTTAATATAAACACTCGATAAACTGTACTATAAGATCATTAACTCTTTTTACTTGTGAACCATGCTTTGTATTTTTCACCTTTGATGTGCACTCTGGGGTTTTTTTTTTTTAGTTGCGGAGGAAACGCTACTTTGCATATAAATTGTGACCTTGTGAAGTTAGGGAAGTTTGATACTCTAAGCGTTATTTAATGCCCCAGTAATTTTCACACGCTCCTTTCCTTTCTCTGTCAGGAAGTACTGACATTTTGGATCATTACAGTCGGGTCATGTTGCAGTGAAGGACTATTCTGCTATTATCAGCTAAAATGAAGGCTTATGTGGCCCCAGTTGTCTAATGAGCAAAACTAACACATATAATGCCTGTACACATTAAGCTGTTTCTGATGTTCCAAACAGATTTTTTTTTGTTTACTATGGTAAGCCTTAACAAAATCCATCAAGCTTGCCACTGGTGTACAGGATCTGACCTATATGGTAGCCATTTACTTTGCATTGCATCACAAGTTAGATTAAGCAATATATGTTTTCACAATCACCTTTGACCTGGTTCCAGATCAGTTAGAGAAAGCAGGTGGGCTTTTCTGCTTGGTGTCTTTCACTAATCCTTTGGTTTTTGTTTATGGTTTTCTTTCTTTTCTTTTTTTTTTTAGGTTTCTGATGTGCTAACAGTCCAGACAGGTATTGTACCACCGGGCCCTTGTCACCCTCCACGCCTAGCTGGAAAGGCCAAGCCTAAAGAATTAAACCTGCAGTGGGGTGAGTGTCTGCACATGATGTACCCGTCACTTTTCTTGCATATACCACGCGTTTTTAAAAAGCCATTTATGTTGAGCACGAGGAAGAAAAGACTTCATGTTAAAATATTTTAACCTTCACTACCAAATGCTGTTCATTAAAAATAAATAAATAAAGCTTTTTAAAAAAAATTCTGGGCTGTATAGCTAGCACGGAAGTTCAAAACAGCAATTTTGTGTATACATTCTATCAGATTTTTTTTTTTTTATTCATACTTCGTTTGCAGAAGTAATTGGGTTTTTTTTTTTGAATGCAGTGTAGACCCTTAGTATCTCTTGCCTTTCATTACTTCATAGATGTCTTGAAGTATGAATGCTAGCGCACAAATACCTTTAAAGAAGCACAGCAATTAGAATTAGCTCTGTGTAAGCACAGGTTGGCAGGAGAGTTTACGTATAAACGTTATACAGGGAGTGCAGAATTATTAGGCAAATGAGTATTTTGACCACATCATCCTCTTTATGCATGTTGTCTTACTCCAAGCTGTATAGGCTCGAAAGCCTACTACCAATTAAGCATATTAGGTGATGTGCATCTCTGTAATGAGAAGGGTGTGGTCTAATGACATCAACACCCTATATCAGGTGTGCATAATTATTAGGCAACTTCCTTTCCTTTGGCAAAATGGGTCAAAAGAAGGACTTGACAGGCTCAGAAAAGTCAAAAATAGTGAGATATCTTGCAGAGGGATGCAGCACTCTTAAAATTGCAAAGCTTCTGAAGCGTGATCATCGAACAATCAAGCGTTTCATTCAAAATAGTCAACAGGGTCGCAAGAAGCGTGTGGAAAAACCAAGGCGCAAAATAACTGCCCATGAACTGAGAAAAGTCAAGCGTGCAGCTGCCACGATGCCACTTGCCACCAGTTTGGCCATATTTCAGAGCTGCAACATCACTGGAGTGCCCAAAAGCACAAGGTGTGCAATACTCAGAGACATGGCCAAGGTAAGAAAGGCTGAAAGACGACCACCACTGAACAAGACACACAAGCTGAAACGCCAAGACTGGGCCAAGAAATATCTCAAGACTGATTTTTCTAAGGTTTTATGGACTGATGAAATTAGAGTGAGTCTTGATGGGCCAGATGGATGGGCCCGTGGCTGGATTGGTAAAGGGCAGAGAGCTCCAGTCCGACTCAGACGCCAGCAAGGTGGAGGTGGAGTACTGGTTTGGGCTGGTATCATCAAAGATGAGCTTGTGCAGGGCCGTCTTTAACAAGGGGCAAACAGGGCAGCTGCCCCGGGCCCAGTTGCTCCTGGGGGGCCCAAAGCAGCTGCCCTGTGGGCCCCCTGCCCACAGCCAGGTCTGAACAGCCCACTGGAATACTGAGAAATATCCCGGTGGGCTGCAGCAGGTGATGTAATCAGGGGCCCCGGCCCTTTAAGAGAGCTCCTGACCGAGCCCCTGTCTTCCTGCCTGCTGGGAGGAAGTGTTGTGAGGTCACTTCCTCCCAATTAACAGAGTGCCTACTGGGGAGGAGGAGGCATACATGGAGAGCAGGAGGTGGTTCAGACCAAGAAGAAGAAGACTCCCATCAATCTCAGCCATCCAGCTCCCACTGGACCACAGGGAAGCCACACTTCTGTAAAGGTAAGGAGGGTGGCTAAACTATGTGAATTCATATGACTCTGTGTGTGTGTGTTTGTGTCAGTGTGTGTGTATGTGTGTGTATCTGGCTGTATGTGTGTATGTGTATCTGGCTGTATGTGTGTATGTGTGTATCTGACTGTGTGTGTATCTGGCTGTATGTGTGTGTATCTGGCTGTATGTGTGTGTGTATCTGGCTGTATGTGTGTGTGTGTATGTGTGTGTGTGTAACTGACTGTGTGTGTATCTGGCTGTATGTGTGTATATCTGGCTGTATGTGTGTATATCTGACTGTGTGTGTGTGTATCTGACTGTGTGTGTGTGTATCTGACTGTGTGTGTGTATCTGACTGTGTGTGTATATCTGGCTGTGTGTGTGTGTATCTGACTGTGTGTGTGTATCTGACTGTGTGTGTATCTGGCTGTATGTGTGTATATCTGACTGTGTGTGTGTGTGTATCTGACTGTGTGTGTGTGTATCTGACTGTGTGTGTGTGTATATCGCACTGTGTGTGTGTGTATCCGACTGTGTGTGTGTGTATATCTCACTGTGTGTGTGTGTGTGTGTGTATCTGGCTGGCTGTGATTGTATCTGGCTGTGTTTGTGTCTGACTGTGTGTGTGTGTGTCTGTATCTGACTGTGTGTGTGTAAGTGTGTATCTGGCTGTGTGTGTCAGTGTGTATCTGGCTGTTTGTGTCAGTGTGTGTTTATATGGCTGTGTTTTGTGTCAGTGTACATGTACCTTTGTGTCAGTGTTTATGTGTATCTATGTGTATGTATACCTATGTGTCAGTTTGTATGTGTACCTGCTTGTCTGTGTATATGTACCTGTGTGTGTATGAGTGTCAGTATGTGTAAGTGTGTATCTGTGCGTGTGGCAATGCATACATCCCATCTAACATTGCACACAAATACAACCCTGCATTCCAACATTAACAATGCACACAAATACACCACTGCATGTGTATCTGTGTTCCTGTGTGTATCACTGTTTGTGTGAGAGTGCATCTGTGTGACAATGCATACATCCCAGCATTCCTACGCCAACACTGCACACAAATACATATGTATTTGTGTATATATCTGTGTCAGTGTGTGTAAGTGTGTATCTCTGTGTGTGGATGTGCCAGTGTTTTTATCTCTGTGTGTGCACGTGTATTTATGTATGTGGCTGTGTGTGTATACGCCAGTCTTTGTCAGTGTGTCCAGATGTGTGCATGTATCAGTGTGCTAATGTGTATGTATATCTGTGAATGTTGACATTCATACATCACGGCAATCAAACACAACATGCAACCACACCCCTGCAAACATTACATACAAACACACCCCTGAATTCAAACTCAAAAAGTATATGGAAACACATCCCTACACTTAAACACCAATACTACACCCTACATGCACACACATACTGTATACAACAACATGCTCACATTCAAATGCACAAACACTGCTCACAAATACAGCCCTGCAAAAATGGACAAATGGTAGATCCCCAGATTGTTGGAATTGTACAACAGATGAGGATCTATCTTTTCTCTGCTCTTGCGTTAGAGGGATGGCAGGATCCAGGGGGCCCAAACAAATGCCTGCCCAGTGTCCAATCAATGTTAAAGACGGCCCTGAGCTTGTGGGGCCTTTTCGGGTTGAGGATGGAGTCAAGCTCAACTCCCAGTCCTACTGCCAGTTCCCGGAAGACACCTTCTTCAAGCAGTGGTACAGGAAGAAGTCTGCATCCTTCAAGAAAAACATGATTTTCATGCAGGACAATGCTCCATCACACGCGTCCAAGTACTCCACAGCGTGGCTGGCAAGAAAGGGTATAAAAGAAGAAAATCTAATGACATGGCCTCCTTGTTCACCTGATCTGAACCCCATTGAGAACCTGTGGTCCATCATCAAATGTGAGATTTACAAGGAGGGAAAACAGTACACCTCTCTGAACAGTGTCTGGGAGGCTGTGGTTGCTGCTGTATGCAATGTTGATGGTGAACAGATCAAAACACTGATAGAATCCATGGATGGCAGGCTTTTGAGTGTCCTTGCAAAGAAAGGTGGCTATATTGGTCACTGATTTGTTTTTGTTTTGTTTTTGAATGTCAGAAATGTATATTTGTGAATGTTGAGATGTTATATTGGTTTCACTGGTAATAATAAATAATTGAAATGGGTATATATTTGTTTTTTGTTAAGTTGCCTAATAATTATGCACAGTAATAGTCACCTGCACACACAGATATCCCCCTAACATAGCTAAAACTAAAAACAAACTAAAAACTACTTCCAAAAATATTCAGCTTTGATATTAATGAGTTTTTTGGGTTCATTGAGAACATGGTTGTTCAATAATAAAATTAATCCTCAAAAATACAACTTCCCTAATAATTCTGCACTCCCTGTATATACTATAAAAAATATCTTTGTTCTCTACTTAGAGCACACATCCTCTCTAGGTGTTGGGTCTAGCAGAGGACTCAACATCTTAATATAGAAATGTCTAATATAGATGCTAACAGCACATATCTTTTTAACTTGTTTCTTCTTATTTTGTTTTTTGTATTTGTAGCTTCTCCTGCTTCTGATGGTGGCTCAGCGGTAACATGTTACACTGTTGAGATGTCAAAGCCCGAACACGAAGATCGGGGACAAGTCTACCAAGGTCTTGAGCTAGAATGCACAGTGAGCAACCTCTTGCCTGGGCAGACCTACAGCTTCTGGGTCAGAGCTGCCAATAAAGCGGGGGTACGTTGTCATACTACTTGTTGGTATATGTCTGTCGCAATGTATTTATTTTGTATCAGTCCTTATTTGTGTGTTTTTATTTATTTATTTTTTACTTATAGTGCGGACCCTTTTCAGAAAAATCTGAATTCTGCACAGCTCCTGGGCCACCTGAACGATGCAAAATGCCCTTATTGATCTGTAAGACGGCAAACTGCGTACTAGCTAGCTGGGAGGTAGGCGTGTTTCCTTTACCCAACTCTTTTGTGTTGAGAGTTTTGTTATATTTAGTTTAGTATGAGCATCAGTATATTAGAAACACCTCTATTCTCTTGGCAAAGTAAACTAGTGACCCTTCACATGTCTAGGTTTTTGTTAAAGGAACACTCTTAGTCTGCTGTAGTGGTTATGGTGTCAGGTGTGCCCTCCCAGGTTACATAGTCAAATGTTTGCAAAATGGCTTGACCACTTGCCTGGAGTCTGCTGGGTTACAGTTGTAGCTTCCTGAGAACGTGTATCCTTGCAGCACCTTCCTGTAACTCCAGTGAGCTAAGACCTGCGGTGCAGAGCCGGTTCATTGATTGTCAGCCAATAAGCTTTGCACTCTCTGGGTAACTAGCACTGTTACTGACTATTGGGCATTTCACAAAGTTACTTTCTGTTTGTAGGAATTTCCGTTTTCTGCAAATTCCTACTGAAGGCAAAAATAATAGTAATGCAGATGATCATGCATTTGCATGGTTACACTGTTTCTTAATGCATTCAAACTATTTGCAGTGAAGGAGGTTTTAAGGTGTTTTTTCTCCACAATTGAAAGCTGTTGAATGTCTCAAATTTAGTTTTTTTGGCATGAAATTTCATCCTTCTCTAATCATTCACTGAATAGTTTTATAATCACATATCTATGTACATTTTAAGGGCATACTGTATACTTCATAGTCCAGGGGTAAGCAACCTTCGGCACTCCAGATGTTCTGGAATACATCTCCCACAATACTCTTACAGCCATGAAGCTGGCAAAGCATCATGGAAGGTGTAGTCCGAAACCTCTGGAGTGCCAAAGGTTGCCTATCCCTGCTACAGTATTGTTAACATGTAGTTAAGTTGTTTTGTGAGTATACAGTAAAAATAATTATTAAGTGAATGGCAAGCAATAAAATGTATTTATTTAGCTCTATGCTGGTTGATAAGCCAACCCAATTTTTCCCTATCATTTTCTGTATTTAATCTGTTCTTAAACTCATGGTATGCTCTCTTAAGTGGATTTAATTCCCCTGCCTTCTGCTCTTGGAATGTGTGTGGCATCAGCGGCTGGACAGAGCAGCTGCAGTGGCCAAGGATATTTGTTTACGAACTGTGATTTAAAGAGGCAGTGTGCTTCTGTTTGTATTGTCGTTGACATTCTTTGTTTTCTTGAAGGTTCCTTTATGCAACGGTTCAGAAGTCACCGAATACAGGTTAGAATGGGGAAGGATGGATGGATGCATGCAGATAGTTTACGACGGCTCATTTTCGAGCTATGAAATCAAAGGCCTTACACCGGCAACTACATATTACTGCAGAGTCCAGGTAGTGACACCAGATAATTGTTTTTTATTTGAAAAAGAATAACTAACAATATTTATTTTGCTTTTTCCTATTCCACCCACCCTACCCTGTCCTCTTTTTCCTTTACTCTCCATCCTTTCTTCATCTCTTTTTTCTTTCTCGCTCTCTCTCTCCCCCTCTCCCTGTTAACCTCTTTACAATTTGTTTGTGTGTGTGTGTCTGTCTGTCTGTCTATTGATCTATTGATATGACTGTCTCTAATTTTCTTTTAATCTTTGTGAAATGGTAAATACAGTGTAAATCTTTTAAAAGATATAAAGAAATGCTTCTCCTTTCAGGCTGTTAATACAGCTGGAGCCGGACTATTTGGAGATACTGCCGTGGTGACCACTCCAGCGTCTGTTCCAGCTGCTGTGTCAATTTTACAAGTGGTCGATGAAGAACTTTTAGAAGCCTCACTTCCTTCCCCATCCGAGTGCCTTGCGATTGCCTGGAAAGAGCCATGTTGCAATGGGTCCGATATAACTGGCTATAACATAGAATATGGGGATAAGCAGCAGCTAACCGTAGACTGTGTTACCAGCTGTATTTTACAGAACCTGATCCCTGATCGCACCTACAGGTAATATATTTACTGTGCATTTACTAATCACATAAACCCCACAGATGTTTTATTTTTTTGTGTTGCCCAATGGTTCGGATAATGTCATCTGATATTCTTTTTGCTGGATTACAGTTGGGAGTGGGAAAGGTTGTCCATTACTGCACTTAAAAGTAAATACTTCAATATTGCACAAAAGCTATTTTTTTTTTTTTTTAATTCTTTATTTTATTTGTGCATGTGATTATTAAGTGTGTTTGCTTTTCCACAACAGCTGGAGCAAACTAGGTGGTATACACATGAAAACAGTATTATGGCATTGAAAGCTTTGCACATTTTTTAAAAATTAAGTAGTCAGGATGAACATGTATGACATCACGCTGTGAGATACATAGTTGTAACTAAGAGTAGTTAATCATCGTGCGAGGTAAACGTCCCTATCAAACATGCCATCTGTTTATAACTTGGATTAAAGATAGACAGGTATAGCACAGTACATGGTAAGATACATTAACAGCAATAATATGGTAGGCATTAACAATACACATGCGTTATCCATGTAGCTGAAAGCAGGGGAAACTCCTATGCACTGGGGTTACTACGTGTACTATGTACCTATGGAAATGTCAAGTTGTCTTAGTGCTAGAGTGTTAGTCTGCAAAATAAGTAATAAGAGGCATAAGGTCACACTACAGCATGTACGAGAGCAACAACACTTGATAATCAGATAAACAGATTGCATGCAATTGTACTGTGAGAATTTTGCATTTCGTGGCTTGACGATGAGGAAGCCCATTTTTATATGGTAATTTTAATGTTGAGCGGAGATGTCTAATTAATTGGGGAAACAACACATTCAAACATAGATTAACTGCTAGACCTGGTGAATAACTGTTAACTGAGTAATGCCACTGGGTGCCAAACGCTTGGGGGAATTGGTGTACAGGGTCAAAATGAGAAAGCAACATGGATTATTGCCTGCAGAAAGTTAAAAAGCTAAGGCTGCAGACAAGAAATAATTAATTAGAGGGTTCAGCCTACTCCTTTCATATTGTGAATGTTGCAAAGGTAAAAGTAACGGCACATATCCCACTTATCTGCTCCCCACCAGCTCCAAGCCCCCCTAGAGTCCAATGCTCTAGCTGCACGGGTCTCCTCATGAGTGACAATCCAGTGTTGTGGAGACGGGCCCCTACAGCTCCCAGCATGGGTGCAGTCTCTTTTTATGCCGTCGTGAGGTCGATCAGGGCTAGTCATCTTGACAGGGCTTTGGTGCCTGGTTGATGTACGCGTCGGGTCTCGCTGAGCGGGAACTCTCCGACCGCAACTGAATGCAGGGGTGCGGCGGCAGGCTGCTATGTTCAGTGTGCTGCGAGCCTGTGTCTTCTGCGTCCCCGGCCTTCTCCTCCTAACCCTCCGGTGTTGGTGGTCACATGTCTGCGGCGTTGGTGGCTGCACAACAGCCTGCTGCTCCGCAGACCACTCCACAACCGCTTACCTGTGGTGACACGTTCCTGCAGGCCTTTGACAGAATATGTGCCCAATTCTGTGCAAAACTGGATGTCCGCGTACTCACCACTCGCCTGGGTAACGTCCCCGAGATCCGACCCGAGAGCCGGCAACACGTGGTGGGAACACACCCACATGGCCACCGCAGAACGTCGAAGGTGGGGGACCTTCGACCTTCTGCGGTGGCCATGTGGGTGTGTTCCCACCACGTGTTGCCGGCTCTCGGGTCGGATCTCGGGGACGTTACCCAGGCGAGTGGTGAGTACGCGGACATCCAGTTTTGCACAGAATTGGGCACATATTCTGTCAAAGGCCTGCAGGAACGTGTCACCACAGGTAAGCGGTTGTGGAGTGGTCTGCGGAGCAGCAGGCTGTTGTGCAGCGGCCATCTTGGGTATGAGGCAGGCTTCAATCTCTGGTTTCGCTGCAGGTTGCAGTGCTGATAGTGTGACCCAGATGAATGCCAGTGGGGACCGGGATAACCCCCACCGGTCCGGGAGGAAACAGGGCTCAGAGGTCGATGGGTTTCAGGCCCGTACAGGGGGTCGGCCGCCCCCCCAACCCCCACCACAGGTGAGTTGAAAGGGTGAGTTTGCAATGAGGTCTTCTTTGAGGTCTGTGCCCTTCAGAGTTGCAGCAAAGCCGGTCGAGTTTGTCTCTGGGTGTTCCTCAGAAGGGTTAAGTGTGTTTGTGCCATAAGTAAGATACCAAACTTTAAGATTAGGATCAGGATTCTGGTATCCTTGAGGAGCTTCAGTTACATGCGACCATCTTGGGCTCCAGTCAGGCCCCGCCCCCACGAAAGCTATTTAATCGCAACTTAATATCCATTAATTAATGCTACCATTATGGCACTAGATATTTGTGTGTTGCATTTCCCCCTGGGCTCGTCCAGCCTGTGTTTATGGGAAGAACAAGTTTAGAACCAATGAATTTAAAAATCAGGTTGGGAACTTTATTTGATGACTGTATATTTACAGCTTGCTGGTAAATTTCAAACATAGTTAATTATTTTGTGGCCCTTAAACTCTTGTGCAAAGCTTGTGGTGCTCAGAGTCAGAAATTAATTTTATTGCAAGAAATATTAAACAAACAGTTTCTTCACTTATTAAAAAAGGAAAATGGCAACTTGTGTGGCCGGAAAAATAATAAAGTATTTAAAAGAAAAAGGGTAATTTACTAAGATCAAAGGATAGACTACAAATATGGTTCATACAGAATAGGTTAAATTGTCTGTGAGTTAAAGAATATAGGCAGGGAAAACCTTGAAATGTGTCTTATGAGATATCTGCTTCCATTTGCATTGTTTTATATGACGATGTCCTGAAATTGCATCTTAAAATACCAGCCCTCCACTGAATCTCTGTCAGCCAGAAACACAGCCAGTGCCTGGCTAAGCTTAGTGGTAATAGTAGTTCAGTAAGAGATGGAATTCTGGAATTTTGATAATACTTCCATAATGCCCCTACATGTTCTTTTGAGCTCTGCCGGGTATAAAGTGTGCATATGCGGTTCAGACTGATATCTGTGTTCAATGTTTGGAAAATCGTTTAAAAAATGAAATTACTTTTCCTTTCTTGCAGGATACGGATCCAGGCCATAAACAGTTTTGGAGCAGGTCCTTTTAGCCCGTCTATTAAAGCCAAAACCAAACCACCACCTCCTAACCCTCCCCCTCTGGAATGTGTAGTTTTCAGCCACCAAAGCCTTAAGTTGAAATGGGGTGACGGATCGAGCAAAGCTTTAGCAACTGAAACTTCACAGTTCAATTTACAAATGGAGGATAAGCTCAGCAGGTGAGTAGCTGGCTGGGGCTTGAGAACTGATTAATGAATGACTCATCTATCCTGCATGTTACCAGCTCATTAGTGACATAAAGGTAATTGGTTAAAATTTAACGTTGAGAGATTCAGGTTCTCCAGACATTAGCGATGGTTTCTGTTAATGGGCACAGAATCAACTAATTAATCTTCTGGAGGTTTAAAAGCTCTGTTTGCTCATTACTTTCAGCAGTTTGGCGCTGGGTCTCCTCACAGCTTGAAAGACATGAGCTGGTGCATTCTACAGCATTTATTTTCACTTGTTTCTAAGGAAAATTAACAATACAGTGCTTTTTTCTTTAAATTATTTTACTTTTAAAAGGACACTATAGGCACCCATACCACTCCATCTCAATAAAGTGGTCTGCGTGTCAGGACCCCCTCTCCCGTCATTCTAATGTTGCAACTGAAAATATTGCCGTTCTGCAGAACTGCAGAGTTTATATGCCTATGGTACAGGGGTAGGCAACCGTCGGTACTCCAGATGTTGTGTAATACAACTGTCAGGATTATAGTTGATCCAGCACGCAGAATTGTATCACACCTAAAGACTAAGGATTACGTCTAACCGGACCTAAGAATGGCCGGACTTAACGTACCGAAGAATAGTCAAAATAATTGCCGAGGTCAGGGACACAGAATGAGACGCAACGATGAGGAAAGACAGAAGTCAAGAATACCAGAAATCAGGGAAGTCAAAACAAAGCCATAGTCAAATACCAGAAAAACCATGATCAGGAACACACTCTCGGATAACCAGCTAGTGGAAACCACGACAGGACACTGGTAAAACCATAATTTGGGTTTAAATAACCCTCGATAGGCTGTAATTGGCTGTCTCTGACCTCTGACCCCAAAATGTATGTGCACGTCTATGACGTGACGTCGCACACATGTTGGAGCCATCTTTAAGTTTATTATAAAATGCTGATCCACAGTGACCGGCATTCCTAAGAACGTCGCACCCGCTGGGGACCAGAACGGAGGGAGACCGGGCAGCTGCCTTCCGCGATCAAGGTAAGTTTCAAACCTTTCTGTCCGCGTGGCTGCCTAGTTTATGTGCAGCCACGCCGGCAGGAGAACCGTGACAACAACTCCCTTGATGCTTTGCCAGCATTAGGACTTTAAAATGATTATCTCAGTCGAGGAAGCTGTGATAACTATAGAGTCCAGTGCTGTAAGGGAAAAAAGGTAAGTAAAATACCACCCCACCCCCCTCTACAGTTTGGGGGCCGTTAATTTAAAAGGCCACCAGGCCACTATAACGTTAGGAATATACACCTTTAAGCTTGGTGCTGCTTCCGTCTACTTAGTGTAGCAACCAGCCCCTCTACTACAATGGAATCTACACATAATTAGAGATTGTATTTATTTATAATATATAATTTGTGTGGATTGTCACTTGTTAAAGGCTAGAGATGAGTGGGAATTTTAAGCTGTGTTCTATATACCTAAATCACTTACTGAACCTCCTACCTGTAATGTAACTTGTAAAGTACAAAGTGCAACTATTTACACTATGCAAATTAAAAAAAAAAATACAGTAATAAAAAAGAAATAATAGTTTTGGCAAAATGAAACACAAGACTGTTTATTCAAAGCACACTGCATTGTAGTAAATTGTAAACGTTATAAATAATTCTCCAGTACCAATATTGTCAAAATTTTGGTGATTTAGGCCGAGGCTCAAGTTTGACCAACTTAACGGGTTCATCAGTCAGGCTGCCTGGGTCTGTCAGTTTTTCAAAAGTGGTCTGCAGTGGTGTACTGCGGGCGGGGGTGGGAGGAGTTTAGTGGGTCCGCCCCGGGTACCACCAATTAGGTGGGGGCCATGATCCTGGTCTGGGTGCTGGAGGGGGATGTGTGAACTGTACCCCATGGCAGCTGGGGTGCCGGGCGGCCGGCACAGCTCACAAGTGTAGAGACCAGCAATTACTAGCTGAACTGGCCGCACGGAAGGAAAGTGGGGGCATAGCTAAGAAAAGCCAGGGCAGGGTCAAACCGGCAGCGGGGACAGAGCTTAACAAGGCCCTTACCCGATGTTGCTACTGCTGCACATGGAGGTGCAACAAGAAGGAATCCCTGCTTCTCCAACTAACTAGGTATGCCCCTGGTAGTCTGTATAGTGGAGTGGCACCACATCAACACAAAAACGAGCCTGGCTGACCTTGAACAGGTGGAGGCGGAGGGGTTGACCCCTGCTTTGGTGTGGCTTTAAGACAAAATGGCTAATTTGTTATCTCTAATCTTTAAAATTTCATCTCTAAGATCTCCCTTGTGTGTGTTTTTTTTTTATTTTAATATTGCTACTGTTTGCTTAATAATTTGTCATGTTGAAAACAAACCTATTAGGGCCAATATGAAAGATTGAATCCTTCTATTCCTAGGTTTTTTACAATCTACAATGGTCCATGCCACACATTCAAGGTTCAAAGATTAAATGAATCAACTACATATAACTTCAGAATCCAAGCCTACAATGATGCAGGAGAGGGGCCATTTTCTGACGTTTACAACTTTACTACAACCAAATCTCCACCAGCGGCATTAAAAGGTGGGAAATTCGGACTGGTTAGGTTTTTTTCAAAAGTCTATCTGGCAGAGTGTGGAAAAAAAAAATGTTTTAGCCCTCCATAAACTGGTTGCTTCCATGATTAGCTTTGCAATGACAGAAGGCAGTAAGTATAGATCTAAAGGATATTGAAAATAACTACTTTTTACCTACATGTATAGCGTAGCCTACATACTACATACTGATTGTTTTGTCATCCAATAAAGGATTTAGTGATCAAACCAACCAAACATTTAGATGTTTATTAATAAAAAGTTAATAACATTATCACTGCTAGCGGTCAAGTGTCAGCTAGGTTGCAAAATGTCCATGTTGGAAGTATTCTTTATCTTATCTAATGTGAACAAAGTTTTACAAGTCCTGTTATCAAGTGACCACAATGTGCTTTGTTATAATGCAGAATGCGATTGTTTGCTTTTTAAAGTGCCAAGTATTTCATTTATTGCTTGTGCTGATAAATTTATGGCTTTAACATAATTTATGATTTTCAGCAACTAATGTCCGTACTAGTTCACGTCTAGCCTTTGTGTGCCTCTGTAACCGTACCACGGGTAATGACCCACTACAAATATGTCCATCGACAAATGGTATTCACAGCATCTCACAAGGCCAGTGTGCTTTTGCATTACTATATATTGTGAGAAGCGACATGTGTTACAAATGAGTAGCTGGAGGCAAGCACCTGTTTTGGAGAAGGCAGGTGTGATCTTCATTTAAAAGCATATTTTATTCCATATATTTTCATGTGATTTCACCGTAGGTTGATTGTTTTTCCCACATCTTGTATTTAAGTATGACATTGATGTAACTTATGAGTTTCCTTTGATTTACAGCACCTAAAGTACAACAGATTGAACCTTATTTGTGTGAAGTTACCTGGGAGGCTTTGCAGCCCATGCGAGGAGATTCCATTGTTTACATCCTTCAACTTACCAACGGGAGAGAGATCGATCAGGTATGTAATGAAATTGTGAAATAATTGTATTACATTTTATAGTTATTACATTTATATGGTGTATTTTATAATATACCATATAGGTATTAATGATGTATGTGCACACAGTCAGGGGACTGGGATGGCCATGGCAGAACCCTGATTTTGTGGTCAGTAAATGTTCATTTTAATGTATGTTTTTGATCATTGTCTTGCTGGAAGAGCCAACCATGGCCCATTTTAAGATGTCTGGCAAAGGCAGATGAATCCATGCATCTCTGTAAGGAATGTTCAGCTCCTCTAGGCAGAAACACCTCTAGTGGGCGTCTCCGTGACTGCCACTAGAGATGTTACTTGGCAGCAATGTAAACACTACCTTTTCAATGAAAAGGCTGAGTTTGCGGTGAAAACCTACAGTCGATTATCCATTTTGCACATTGCGTGAGCAGTCCCATTGTCTTGAAAATTATTTTTTAAGGAGTGTTTTGTTTTTTTCCGGCTGTAATTTTGGTGGATTAAGCATCAGACCATCAACTTAATATAGGTCTTCATATCAGTTCATGAGTTCAGATAAGAACATTCCTCAGAACCATAACAAAATGGGGGATGGCTGATTGGCTACCCTTGGCCTGCATTTGTCAAACACAAAGTAACACTGTATTTTTTTTGTTGAACAGGTATACAAAGGGCCAGACACCTCATTCAGTTTTACAAACTTTCAAACAAACTGTGAATACCGGTTTCGAGTTTGCGCTGGACGACAATACCAAGATTCTACAGGATTGCAGGAATTATATGGACCTTACAGTCCAAGCACCACATTCTCATCTCAAAGACAAGAATTGGTCCTACAGTGTCCAAACACTACCACGGAATCTACAAAGGCCAAGAGGAAGCCCCTAAGTGATGAGCAATTTGCCATTTTGCTACTGATGATGTTTGCAGTAGTGGCTTTCCTGTTTGCCGTTGTTATTCAGTACTTTGTAATCAAGTAGATTTTATTTGTCTGTTTCAAAAACAACCTGTGCTTTTTTTTCTTTTTTTTTTTCTTTCAATATTTATGTTTAATTATTCTAATTAAACTTATAGGTGGAAATGATTGTATTATATATAAGTGCATTTCCATTCTTGCTGCTCACTCATTGAGAGGCTGGATCGACTGAATCCTTCCTACATGCAAAAACATAAAGCATCATGAAATTCTTAGAAAGGGAATTAAAATCCTGTGTTCTAGAACCGTGGTGTGAAATGCCTTAATAGACTCTTAAATGTCAAGACAGCGCTGTTCGTTTATGTGGAACCTCTGCTTTTAAAGCACGTCCTTGTTAAATGTTCAGCTTTCGCAAGTGGTAGTTGACAAAAGGAATAGTTTGTTCAAAAAAGAAAAGAATGATAGGCATGCAGTTTCCACTCTTCCCTTTGGCCTCACAGGCCTGGCAATGAAAGGGTGTGCATATACGAAAGGCATTAGGGAAGCTTTTAGGAAATCGTAGACAAGCACACTGTGATTTATTGTATAATCAGACGATGTGATATTTGTGAAATGGAAGTGAAGAATAGAGATGTGCGAATCAAGTTTGCAAACGGACCAGTGGGTCTACATTTCTTGGCTTTTCCACATTGATATTAGGTTCTATTAAAATCCACTTTGCCTCCTTCCGTGTGCTAGACATTGAAGGGTTTATTTACTAAACTATGCTGAAAAGGAATTTGCTAAATTTAAGGACAAAATAAAAAAAGGTAAAACAAATCCTCCCAGTTCCGTTTTCAATATCTCGTTTAGTAAATAGCCCTCAGTCTTCATTAGAACGCTGTCACCTTCTGTAATGAATACAGAAAATAGAGCTGTAATGAAAAACTGACTGTTCTTTCGTGAAACGGACTCGAGATGGCGTACACTGGTTTTTTGTTTTTTTTTGAGAATTTTAAGTAACTTCGATACTGATAAAACCTGAGAGTTCTGTATAATCTTTTATAAGCTTACATCTGGTGTGTTTGTGTAAACACAGTGTGTATGGGTGCATATAATTATACATACACTCATAAAAAAGAGATACTCCATGTAGAACTTTCATTGCATTTCAGTAAATCCTTAAAGGGACAGTTAGGCCTACTTTGTTCCATAATCACATGAATGAAGTCATCGATTTGATTCATGCCTGTGATTTGTAAAGTGCCATATGGCGTTTCTCAGAGTAACCACCTATTGCCTATAACTCCTCCCCTTTCTCTGATGCGCCAAACCAGCTGTCAAAACGATAGCATCAGGAATATTGTACATGTACTCTGTTAGTGCATGCGCACAGTTTTCTTCTAACAATAGCTCGTTCAACGAGCCTATGATGCCAAAGGAAGGAGAATACGGCATTTATCTGTGAAACACTGCTCTGAACGCAACTCATTTTTCCTAGACAGGGATTTTTCAGGATACTGCTCCTTTAATGAATTCAAGTTATCCACCATCTGAATGGTTTAATGTAGATTTGCTATATTTTTATAGTATGTCATGTTAAAACAAAGCCGTGCTGATTATATGTCTGTAGGATTATAAGGGAAACACACCATTATTGGTGTAAAAATGAATCCTATATATTTTTTTTTTCTTCCTGAAAAAAGAAACTAATGTTTATGGAGTTTGGTGCTAATAAAATGGGCATCCTTAATATAATAGCACGGTAATGTGAAGCATGACCATGCAGCTTCTTGCTTCCTACGAATTCTTTAAATTATGTAGTGTACCTTTAAAGCATTAGCTAATATTTCAACTCTTTAATTGCAATATGTCCAATCCATTCAATGTGTGCTATTTCTGCCTTTTGAAGGGTAAATAGGCCTTACGAACCCATGAAGTGTATGCAAATCCATTTCCATATGTTGACCTGCTTTGCATTTCATTTATATGTTAGAGTAAAAAAAAAATATATATATATATCTATATCTAGTTTTCTGTGCTTCTAAAGAACATATTGCAGCACTTTCTGAATAAGCACAGATTTGTCTTTACGGAGGGGGAAAAAAAGTGCATTTATTATAAATGTTACACTATTTAGCTCAAACTGAGCAAATAAATGTTTTTATACTGTCTGTACTCTAAGATATAAATGCCGCACGTTTTTGTTTTTTGTTCTTTACAGAGATGCCCATATGATGTATTATCTACTAACCTAAATATTTTTACAAATAAGATGTTTTTTTTTGTAAGAAAATTATCGTGCTGATAAATATATATAAGTATATAAATATACATTCCATCACTTTATATTTCAGATTTTTTTTTTTTTTAGTTCTCACAATATGCCATTGTTATTTAGAATATTTTATATCTATTAAAACATGGATTTACAAATGTGTGAGCATAATTTGCATCAATTTGACGATGACTGTTTCTAATAGTACATGAGCTATGGTCCATTTTAAGAATATCTTGTCCGAGTCACTTTTATTATAGAAAATAAAATCTACAATAACTCTATTGTAGCAAAATATAGTGTTTATTTTTCATGTGAATTTTTTTTCTTTTTTATCAAATCCTTAAACATTTTTGATTTCCAAACCTTTTGCAGAAATGCAAATCATGTGCTAAAGCCCTTTTTTTTTTTTACCATTTTATGTAATATGTCACCCTTTTTTTTTTTTAATGCATAGTTGGATGTCTTGTGTATTTCTCCTGTTTAACATTAATTAATCTAGAAATTATGTCTGCATATCAACCTGTATTGCCACTCCCTTTATAGTAGGCTCGGTGCAATCGGAAAAAAAAATGTAAATTTTTTTTTTTTCTAGATATCTACACTTTGTATTTGAATTCTATTTATTTTGATTTATTAAGTCGCGAAAAAGTAAGGTTTGAATGTATTGTTCAAATTGTAGCAGAAACAATCATCTCACGGTGAAATAAAGTAATTCCAGTATTAACCCTTTCTCTGTCAGACCACAGTTCAATGCTGACCCCTCTCACAGGCAAAGAGTTAAATGATCTTGATGAGTGTCTGCGTGTGTGTCTGTAAATATGTTTTTGTACACTTGTTAGTGTCCGCTGTATACAGACATGTTTACATTTTATTCTGTATTTGACTATTTTACATTTGTTTCTTTTCATTTATAAAAAGATAGACTGTGTCATCATTGCCAAAGGATTTTTTTTTTTTTATTATTTCTTAGCGAACAGATTTTTTTCAAAGACACATTACTTTAAACCGTCATGTTTTTCCTTTATTTTTAATTTGTTTTCTTGTTTTTTTTTTTCCATTGTAGACAGCAATTGTATTACAGGCTTCAACACGTACTAAAAATTATAATGGTTCATAGTGCAAAAAAATAAAGCTACTATAATTTACTGAATTATTAGCGTACTGCCATCAGACACTTACTGCTACTTTTTTCATAGTTTTTTGATTTTTTTTTATCATTATTATTATTGTGATTTTTTTTTTACAGACTATTATACATTCCAAATTTATGTAATTTAGTGGAGTCCTTGTTAGAGACATGTTGCTTTGTATCTTCATTGTAATTTTGAGGTATCTTCTACAATATAATAAAATTACCCTGCTTATGTATAACTAAATTGTTACTATGAAATAGTTAATATATTTAATGTCCAATAAAAAGTATAAAAATGTTTATAGGGGAGTTTGTTTCTTGGGTTGTAGTTTTCAAACTGCATTTTTATAATGTTATATTTTTGCAGAACAAGGCTTACCCTGCTGTTATTCCCCTTAGAACTAATCTCTCATGTTTTTATTTTTTGCCTAATAAAATTCTTCTAATTCTGTCTAAATGTTGTGTCTTTGTCCCTGGCCTATACTAACATATCCTATTTTCAGACGACTGTTGTGTAAATGTATGGACTTTATAAAATTATAATACTGCCTGAATATTGATTGGCTACCTCCCACTATTAAACCTCATTGGTCGAGATTTGTGAACACTCGCAATAAAAAAAATTTTAGGGGCTGAACGGTCTCTGTACCTTTTGAACTTTTTATAAAGATAGAAAAGCTAGTTTGACTGTGTTGGAATTTCTTTCAAATTCCAATACAATGAAAAGATATACATGAGACAAAGTAAAAACTATCAAATTACTCGTGGCAAACATCGGCTCCTACGGCTGATGGGAACATGTCTTCCCACATGATCCGCAGTAGATGCCTATAGCACTTTATTGCGAATGTGCGAGATCTTCCATTTTGAAATCGCATTCATGAGAGTAAGTAGTGATGACCCACTGGCAGATGAGTTTGTAAGGAGCAAAAGAATGATCATTTTGAGAAGATTTGAATTTAAACAACCAAGATGCAATTGAAGTGCAGACTTTTCAGCTTTAATTCGAGGGGTTCACCAAAAATATTGTATGAAACATTTTGGAATTACAACCATTTTCATACACCGTCCCCCTATTTCAGGGGCTTGTATATAATTGGACAAATGAACACAATCCTAAATAAAATTTGAATTTTTAATACTTTATCGAGAATCATTTGCAGAAAATTGCTGTTTGAAGTCTGGAATGCATGGATATAACCAAATGCTGGGTTTCCTCCACTGTGTTGCTTTGTCAGGCCTTTACTGCAGCTGTCTTCAGTTGTTGTTTGTTTGTGGGTATTTCTGTCTTAAGTTTTGTCTTCAGCAAGTGAAATGCACGCTCGATTGGGTTGTAATCAGGTGATTGACTTGGCCATTGCAGAATATTCCACTTCTTGGGTTGTTTTCGCAGTATGTTTTGGGTCAATGTTCATCTGTAACGTGAAGTACTGTCCAATCAACTTTGCTGAATTTGGTTGAATCTAAACATACAATATATCCATATACACTTTAGAATTCACCCAGCTGCTTCCATCTTCTGTCACATACTAAACACTAGTGCCCCAGTGCCATTAGAAGCCATGCATGCCCATGTCATCGCACTGCCTCCACCATGTTTTACAGATGATACTTCGCATTGTGTACCATTCCAAGCCTTCTCCATACTTTTTTCTTTCCGTCATTCTGGTACAGGTTGATCATCTGTCCAAAGAATGCTCTTCCAGAACAGGGCTGACTTTTTTTAGATGTTTTTTTTTTTTTAACAAAGTCTAATCTGGCCTTTTATTCTTGTGGTGAAACCTCGGTATTTGCTCTCACGAAGTCTTTTCTTAATGATAGACTTGGATAATGACATGCCAACCTCCTGGAGAGTGTTCTTCACTTGGCTGGAAGTTGTAAAGGAGTTTTTCTTTACCATGGAAATGATCATCCGTCACTGTTGTTTTCCCTGGACCTCCATATTAAAGAGTTCTAATACCTAAACTCTTCTTACAAAATCTGAGAGACTGCACTTTATGCTCATATTCCCTTTTTAACTGTAACTTTTATTTATTTTGGTAAACAGCTGAAATACCAACACTTGTGTGAGTGTCCAAATAGTTCCAGACCTAACTATATATTATGTAATAAACTGATAAAAAAAAATATATTAAAAAAATTGAAAATTGATAGTTGCCCTTTAAGTAACATTGTGAATGGACTTTGCTAAGCCCAAAGAAAGGAAGCTTATGAAGTAAACTATTTAACACATTTACACAACTGCGTAAAAAAAAAAAAAAATCTTAAAATGAAACCCCATATAGCAGATAAACAATACTACTGTTGTGAAAGTAAAACATGACAGATCAGCTTAAAAATAAACAGGGGATGCTGTAAGCCTGTTTCTACCTAAAATATACTATGTGTGTGCGCAACATGTATAGCTTGGAGGAAAGACAAGATGGGGGATATGACAGAAACATTTAAATACATAAAGGGAATCAGCACAGTAAAGGAGGAGACTGTATTTAAAAGAATAAAAACTACCACAACAAGAGGACATAGTTTTAAATTAGAGGGACAAAGGTTTAAAAATAATATCAGGAAGTATTACTTTACTGAGAGGGTAAAGATGGGCCGAATGGTTCTTATCTGCCGTCACATTCTATGTTTCTAACCCGTAGATTTTTTTAAAATTCTTAGTCATGTCAACATTCAAGAGGATTAGTTTTCTAAGTATCTCACAGATGGTCTTTAACAATGATATGCTCGTTTTATTCAAAATCTAAATCTACTTGTTTGGGATCACTGCATTAAAGGGATACTCCAGGCACCCAGACCACTTTTGCTCATTGGCTTGGTGTGGGTGCCAACTCCCACTACCCTTAACCCTGCAAGTGTGAGAGAGGACACCACTGCCTCGTACCATTTGTGATCTGAAACGGCGTTGATAAAAATCCCATATTATGTATTCTCGTTGATGAATGAGTATAAAGGGCAAAAATGCCGAGGGGATGGCCATCTTTACTAAAACTTCTTTCATATATTGCCAATTTGGGCAATCAAAAGCCTTCTCGGCATATAAAGCTAGAATTAGTGATTGTTGCTTATTAATATCGGCCCAGTTCAATATATTCAGACAATGACGGGTATTATCCCCTAATCTTGAAGAAACGAAACCTGCTTGTTCGTGAGATACCAGCTTAATCAATGGTTTTATTCTTAATGCTAATAATTTTGCATACATTTTTGTGTCAAGATTTAAAAGTGAAATTGGTCTTAAATTTACACATTCAGTAGGTGACTTCCCTGGTTTGGGCAAAGTAATTACATGAGCTAATTGCATTTCAGCCGGCATAATCCTTGAATTTTAAAATGAATTAAATACATCCGTAAGATGAGATATAAATAAATTTGCAAAAATTATATAAAAAAGATTTGAAAACCCACCAGGGGCCTTTTTTTCTGGAGAGTATTAATTACTTTCAATACTTCCTCTTCCTCAAAAGGTTTTAATAATGACTGACATTGTGATTCTGATAGGGAAGGCAAATCTATATCTGCTAAAAAAAAACATCATTTCTTCTTTTGTAGGCTATGTATCTTGCTTATTTTTTAAATTATATAACTTTTTATAGTAAGAGGCACGTCCTTCCACAATATCTTGAGGATTAAACAATTTTGCTTCCTTTGCCACTAACAGATATGGTATTTTTGATTGTTGGGCTCTATTTTTTAATATCCTAGCTAGCTTTTTCCCAACTTTATTGCTCTGCGAATACTGAGTCAGTTTTAGTTTACTCATTTGTTTTTCCAAAAGCTTCAAGTTCAATTCCTGAAGTTTAGTTTCAATCTTACTAAGTTGTAAAGATATTATTTTTCATGGGTTCCGTTTATTTTCCTCCTCCAACACCTTAAGCTCTTCTAAAAGTCGTTTTTCATCTCCATACTCTTGCTTCTTTTTTCTTGAACCCACCTGTATAAACAGTCGCCTTATTACCACCTTAAAAGCCAGCCACTTAGTGGTGATGTGGGATTTGTCCTGAAAATGTTCATTATAAAATGCTTGAAACCTTTTCCTGAACAAAATTAACAAAGATTCTTTATCCAGAAGAGCCTCATTTAAGTGCCATGTACTCCTGCCTCTTACAGAATATAAGGTCCTAAACATGGCAGTTACGTGGGCATGATCTGAACAAATTTTACTCCCTATCTCTACCTTAGAAATATTTTGTAATGTTTGTTTATCAACCAAACACATATCTACGCGCGAATATGTGTGATGAACATGCGAAAAATAAGTATAATCTTTGCCCGTCGGGTATAAGTTACACCAAGTTAAGCCCTCAGAATCTGATGGGTAAGGGGGGTATAACTTAATTTCTGTTCAGCTCCATTGATATAAAGAATTACTTAGGATCAGATTTAATAGCCTCAACATTTAAGCTAGTATAGAATCTAACAATCCCAAAATAGCCGAACCTAATCTGAACAGCTTGGGAGTTTTGACTGAATTCACGTTGGAAGACAGCATGTTTTTTTTTGCCCACTTAGGTCCAATTGGTATAGATTTCTTTTGAGCAAGCACAGAAAATCTGTTTTTTAATAAATAAATAAATTGTATTTAAATAACTTTTTGCTTAAAGAAATAGCCTGAGAAAATGTTTTTTTTTTTTTACCTTGAGCCCTATTAATGTCTAATTTAGTATCTAATGTAGAGTTGTAGTCTCCACAGACAATTATATGACCTCTCTGATAATTATTAATTAATGCAAAAGTTTTTGACAGAAATGCAAATTGATCTTTATTTGGGGCATAGACAGAGGCTATTGTAATTTGTATCCCATTCAACAATCCAATAACAATCAAAAGTCTTCCCATATCGTCCCTGTAAATTTTAGCTAATTGAAAAAGCCAATCTGAATGGAATAATATTGCAACTCCTTTAGATTTATGGGGTGAAAGTGCATGAAATATTTGAGGGTATCTAGACAACTCAAAATTTTGTGGATTCTGTCTATGTAAATGAGTTTCTTGAAGACATATTATTGCTGCCTTTGATTTAATCAGTTCTTGTTTAACTGTCTTTTTATTGAACTATTAAGACCATTAACATTTAGCGTTAAACACGAAAAGTGGCTACTCATCTTGTTCTATTATAGGGGATATTCTTATAATTATCCTTTTTATGGTAATTTTCATACTAGATATATACACCACAAGAAAATACACCAAAAAAAAACATAAAAAACAAACTAAAAATATACAATAATTCTCAAATGTGAGAGTTTACCTGGGGATAAACTGAATAGTGCCAGTAAGCATGCTCCAGTTTAAATCCCATTAGGGATCGTGTCGGGCAGATCTCCCTCTATAAGCAGTTGCCGGGGTAGTATCCTGTTTCTCAGTCGGAACAAATATCCTTAATAATGTTAACTTATTATTATTTTATACGGAATACTTTTCCCTACTATAATTATTTAGCGATATTGGGCACACTATTTTCAAAGGCATATCCATACCCCTTCCTTTTACTTTTTTTGTTTTCCCCTCCCTTTCCTTCCCTTCATTGAACTAAACATATATGGAAAGGGAAAAAAAAAACCCACAAAATTTCTATGTATTATTCCTTTAAGACCGGGGCTTAAATCTTCCCCAGCCGCTAACCAGGCCCAGACCTGAGTGGTCCTATTATCCCTTTAAAACCTGAGCCATATTCCATCCGCTTTTACCTCCACCTTTAGGGATCTTACACTTCCCACACAGCACAACACTGAGTTAGATTAAATTAAAATGCGCTAAATACCTCCCTTTCTCCTTTTTATTT